GAGAAAACGTTAACACTGTTCCCTAATGAAAACGTATTAATGGACTGTAGCCCGATTCATCGATATTGTGAGCATGCTGAATTTTTTGAAAATAGCTTTGTTGTAAGCTTAAAAGATCGGGTTCGGATTTTAACATTTCTGACTGAATATCCTGAAATAAATATGAAACATTTAAATAAGCATTTCTTTGGGTTAAATTAAATATGTGTAGCACAAATTAAACTCCCAACATGCATTTTTAGAAGGGAAACACGACAATGAAAGCGAGAATTGTTTTTAATATACCGAAAATCGCTATTTCTGGAAACTGATTAATTCTAAATAAAAATCAAATAAATTCCAAATGTAAAAGAAAGAGAGAATGCTTGGTATTAAAATGTCGTATCATATCAGGAAAATCGAATGCTACTAACGACATCTGAAGAAATAGCCGATAAAAGGTTTAGATCATTTCTTCGTCCACCTGCACTTTAATTTCAAACACAACAGAACCTGTAGTTCTTGCCGTCAAACTTCATGACTTCTATAAACTTATAAGACTCACCGTAAAACTCTCAAGAAAGTTTCTCTGAGGTCTATGCTACATATGTACCAAATATGTTGTCGATCCGAGGTCTGGTTTGAATTTTACAGAAATATTCTACGTTGTTGTTGATGTGATTTTTTTTTAAGAAGGGGGGGGGGAATGAATTATTTATTTTATGCCTCTTATAAACTAAGAATTGTAACTACTTTCACATCTTTAAGCCTGATTGTGACCTTTGGGTCAAGATCAAAGGTCAAGGTCATTTCCAAAACAAAACAAAAAAAAAAAAAAAAAAAAAAAACCAAAACAAAACAAGGAAATCTTTACTTTCTATGTTTTTACCTGATACTGGAGCTGGATGCATGTCCTTACTTTTCATTTGACCCAATGTCAAGGCCAAAGGTCAAGGTCAAAGTTCAAGGTCATTTGGTGAATTGCTATATTTTACAAATATATAAGGAATTTCTTATGTTTTTAAATGACTTTGACCTTGACCTATATTTCAAGGTCAAAGTCAAACATGCCGATGCAGTTGGTCCCATGTCTCTAGGATACACCGTTTTAAAAAAAGCTCATTAAATGTAAGCAGCATAAACTTTCAGGGGCAGTAACTCATACAAGGGACCAAAGAATGCTTTTGCAATGATAGAATGAAGAGAGTATTAAATGAGTCGAAGACACTGCTGAAGGCTTGGAATCTCTACGTTTTACGGTTTCGGAGGAGTAGCGATAACAAGGTTTTATTGCAAAAGGGGTGACAACTTTTGAATGGGTCAAGCTTTGGGGACAAGAATGAAATCCTTAAAATAGTTTTAGAAGGACATATTATAGATGCAAAGATATTCAGTATATGTCGAAAGGTTTTCTACAGAATCTCTGACAAAAAAGCTTTTAAAAATCAGCAAAAACTACCATACATGTTTTTAATGAGAGAGAAGTCATTAGCAACTGAAAAAAAGAGAAAAACAAAGAAAAAAAAATTAACTACCTCCAGCAGGATTCGAACCCCAGACAGTGGGACAAAGTTTGGATCGGTCATATCTTTGCAATAAATGCACGCATCAAAATATTGAATACATATTTAGAATTTTTGTAAAACACTCTATAAACCCTGTAAATTCTAAAGAAAAATATTGAAAAACAAAAAAGTTGAAAAATTGGACTTTTTGAATTCACTTCCGTTTGCGACCGGAAGTGGCGACGACGAAAAATAAAGGTCGTTCCCCATATTGGAATTTGATGTTCTATTTATTCATTGAGTTTCAATTTCATATCTTTAGCCGTTGTCGAGAAAAATTCTGGACAAAATGCCATTTAAAAAATACAAATTTCCCCAAAAATCGCGAACGGAAGTGAATTTTGAAAAAATGAAAAACACGTCTGGAGATATTTACATGATGCATCTTCCGCGAAAAAATCTCTGAAATCTGCTCACTCACAGCTGAGATATCGCCATAACTATGAAAAAAAGAATAATAATAATAATAATAATAGAAAACAGACGGAAAACAATAAGGTCTTCCGAAGGAAGTCGGAAGACCTTAATAATAATAATAATAAGAAACAGAGTAAAAACAATATGTTCCCAAACTTCGTTTGGGGAACATAAAAATAAATGTCGCAACATTAATTCCTCATTTATTGTCTCTGAATGTACATACAGAATAAAATAACAGGGTGCCATGGGCCACAACGCTCACCTGAGTCACTTTTGCCCTGCTGTTCTGCATCAGATTTTTTTCCCAGAATACATGTATTCTTCTGTATTTTTGATTGACTTTTTATAGCCCCACCCTTAAACCGGGGCTATGTCTGAACAAAAAGAGGGATCATTACCAGAGGATGATTCCACATTAAATTGATTCATCATGGATTTGCTCTTGAGGAGTTTTAAAGATTTTTCCCTATATAATCCCTATTGTGGCTTCACCCGACTCCCAGGGGTCATAATTTGAACAATTTAGAATCTACACTAACTCAGGAAGCTTCAACATATGATTCAGCCTTTTTGGTGCAGTGGTTCGTGAGAAGATTTTTAAAGATGTCTCCTATATATTTCAATGTAAAACATTGATTCCCTATTTTGATCTCATCCTAACCCCAGAGGCCGGCCCCACCCACCCCCGGGGGCCATGTTTCGGACAACGTAGAATCTATATTACCTCAGGAAGCTTCCACATAAGTTTCAGCTTTCCTGGTCCAATTGTTCTTGAGAAGATTTTCAAATATATTTCAAAGTAAAACTTTGATTCCCTATATTGTGGCCCCACCCTAATCCCGAAGGCAATGTTTTGAACAATCTAAAATCTACACTACCTCATCAGTCCTCATGAAGCTTTCACATAAATATCAGCTTTTCTGTTCCATGCAGTGGTTCTTGAAAAAATAAAATTTTTCCTATATATTTCAAAGTTAAACTTTGATTCCCTATTGGCTCCATCCAATTCCCGGGGGCCATGATTTGTATTATTTAGAATCTACACTATCCCAAGGAGCTTCCACATAAGTTTCATCTTTCCTAGTCTAGTTGTTCTTGTGAAGAAGATATTTAAAGATTTTCCTTTATATTTCAATGTAAAACTTTGATTCACTATTGTGGCCCCACCCTTCCCCCAGGAGCCATGATTTGAACAATTTAGAATCTACTCAGGAAGCTGTCACATAAGTTTCATCTTTTCTGGTCCAGTTTCCTTGAGAAGAAATTTTTAATGACCCCACCCTATTTTGCCTCTCCTTTATTATCTCCCCTTGGAAGGGGGCTTGGCCTTTCATTTTAAGAATTTAGAATCTCCTTTACCAAGAAATGCTTTGTACCAACTTTGGTTAAAATTGGCCCAGAGGTTCTTGAGAAGAAGTTGAAAATGTGAAAAGTTTACAGGCAGACAGACAGACGCCGGACAACGGGTGATCAGAAAAGCTCACTTGAGCTTTCAGCTCAGGTGAGCTAATAACAATTTAATTCAAGAAATTTATGCCCTTCACCTTAGGAGAGAAAAGTGTGAATACCTACATGGAACAAGGAACTGACCTTGAACTTTCATCTTTTGGGCAAATCTGCATGGATCTTTCTTCAGTTACAGAGATTCATCACACTACGTTTCATTGTATACGCTTATTAAAAAAGAACTCAATTTATTTTCTGAAAACCATTAATAATTATGATAAAAATATCACTGCAAAAGCTCTAAAAAAAATATCATATCATCTGGAAACCATTTTCGCAATATATTAATTTCTGTCCTTGACATTTGACCTAATGACGTCAAATTCAGTAGGGGTCTTCTTAACGTCATTAAGATTTACTATATAGAATTTATTTACAAAATCTCAAAGAAAACCACCTATCTGGAAAGCATTTTACGCGATATAATATTAATTTCTGACCTTGATCTTTTGATCTAAACTTCAACAAGAGTCTTCTTCTCGGTTTTGCAAAGGTGCGGGGCGGGGGGAGAATTGTTATTATCATGTTAATTATATTACTTTTGTACAATTCAATAGTAAATATTCGTTAAACCTTGCCACCATTGTTGGTTGTTTTGAATTCTTTGCTGAACGCAGGGGAATACACTGGAAGTCACTGGACAACAGAACCAATCCGGAAGTTCCTAATTCATTATTGTTACGATGTAGGAAAATCAAATATTTCATCTTAAAGGTTGGTTACGGGTGAATATTACTTTTCTATAACTTACAGAATGTTTGATTTCGCCAATCAGAGAACCTTACAATACAGACCCGTAGCAAATTTTTAAAGGGGCGGGGGGGGGGGGGCAACTTAAATCTAACAAGCCCCCCCCCAAAAAAAAAAACTAAACTGACCAAAAGGATGGGGTTGTTTGTTGTTTAACGTCCTTCTCTCGAATTTTTTCCTTCATATTGAGACGCCACCACTTGCCGGTGGAGAGCTGCAAATTTTAAACCTATATACTCGGCACATAAGGCCATTGAGCAGTGAGGGATCTTTTTCGTGCCAGCACCTTATGCGACACGGGATCTCGGTTTATACGGTCTCATCCGAAGGACCGGTCTCCACGTTCCACAGTGTGATTCGAACCCTTGATGTAAGGATCAACTCCTTACTCCGCGACTCTAGAGCAGACGCTCTACCACTACGCAATGCGGGCGACCAAAAGGGGGAGGGGGCAACTCCCCAAAACAATCTGACAAGCAGAAAAAAAATTAAATTAAAAAAATGTTTAAAAAAAAATACTAGTAATTAATTGTTTACAGTCCAAAATCCTAGAATTTGCTACTGCTCGACCTTACAGCGACAGAAAGTGGAGGCCAACCAGCATCTAAAAGAAATTTTACTATAGCAAAATACATGTACATACATCAAAAAAAAAAAAAAGGAGGCGCCCTCACCCCCACCCGCGCGATCTTCTGGCCAGTTATAATGATAATTTCTTTCTTGTTTAAAAAGTAATTGTACATGTAATATAGAAAAAAGTGTACAGAATTGCACTTATAATTAATTTTTATACATTTTATTTTTACTATTCCCCAGCTTGCATAAGCTTTCGGAGTAACATAAACGTCAAAGGCACAGATCCTCTTTCATACAATATAAGAAATTTGTTTATTTTACAGATACAGGTATGAACGACATTCAGCTAACTTTATACACAATCTGGACACCCTCTACTTGTTTCCAGTACGGACATGATGAGCAATCGATCTTTTTCCATTTTCCTTCTTTTTCAAGTTGATCACATAGAGGAAAGAAAGTATCTTTATATTCTTCTAGATTTGTTAAACACTCCATACGAGCCACGATGCATACGACTCCACCTAAAAAATAGATGGAAAAAAAACATTGGGAAACCAAATTCTTATACCATTAACAGTTATTCACTTATTGTAGGCTACAGAGGGCAGATCGTTTGACAAATACAAATGCCCCCAAACATGGACACGTTTTGATGGTCTTTGATCTGATGACATATGAAAAAGCTTTACTTTACTTGATTAATAATATGCGTGCTTACTTGAATTGAAGAATCTACCTATTAAGGTTTAAAAATGATTAAATTAAGCCAAATGTTTCGCAGAGGGACAATTTTTTTTTTAATAAGTATTATGCTCCCTATCTTTGGAACGAAACCAGCGGTCTCTGATGGCACTGTAACCTTACTGGTTTCAATTCTTGATAGTTTAGAATCTGTACTAAATTTTTACATTTTTAAAGAGTTTTATAGGTACATTTCCAGACCTGTTTACGGTATCTTCGTTGTTGTTTTTTTTTTTTAATTAAAGCAATTTTTATTCATATATTCAAAGAATTCCCATATTACTCTTTCTTCAGTGACCATTTTCCAAATTACAACACTGTTCATCAAATGATTAGAATTGTCTATCTTGATGTACTGAGTATTAAGTTGTTTACAAGGTTTTTTTTTTTTTTTTTTTTTTTTTTTGCAATCGGATTAAAACTGTATGAGAAGTAGAGTTTTGAAAGAATTTTACAGAAATTTCTATCTAGTAACCATTACTACTTCGTAAGTAATGTACAGAATTATGCAAGTTGCTTGGTGAATTCTGCTTTATTAATATCAGATTTAAACAATAGGAGTAGTTGTATTTTTGAAAGAATTTTACAGCTTTCTTCATTTTTGCATTTTTGACAAAAAAGCTTTATCTTGGTGAATCGTGAAGTCTATAGAAATCGGACCAAATTTATAGAAGGAGTAGCATGTTAAAAAAAATATTTACAATCAAACAGACGGACAACTAGACGCTCAGACCACTTTTGATACTTTACCATTGCATAATCTCTTCTCCATATCCAGTACAGAGTCAAAAATGCTGTCCAGTTGTATTTTTACTTCACTACAGAATAATTACGCCATTTCGTAAACTTTTTTCGGCTATATTTTCATGCTATTTGATTCATCCCTGTTCAAAAGAAACAAATACCAAACTTTACTGATCTGAGCGAGTTTTTGTAACCAACCTGACTTTGTTAACCTAATTATCTCGTACAGAGCCTCGCTTTCAATATGGTTCACTCCGTGACTTCCAACAACCGTGACGATATCGTATGATGCTGAAAAGAAAAAAATATGAAAAGACAAGAGAAGTTATCTATCATTTGTTTTCATACTTTTCTGGGCAAAATACTTATATGCTGCGAAATTCTGAGCACGTTGTTCATACTTACACATGTATATCCTACATGTATGTCTTATCGATAAGTGTTGCAAACAAGAACCATTTATTGTTTTCATCGAAGGATTAATACAATGTATTCTTTCATTAATGACTCTTTTTTCTATGAAAAAGTTTAATTACCGGATGGAATGTCAAGTTGTTCTTTGCCAATGGCCTCGCAGATGTAATTTCTGTAACGACCTTTCTCTTTTGCAGCGTCAATCATTCCTTGGGACGGTTCAAGGGCGTCGATGATTTTGAATCCTAATTTTTTCATCTAAAACACAAGAATCTAAGCTTAATGATATCTATTTCAAATAATTATCCTTTGTTTGTTTGTTTATTGTTTAACGTCCCTCTCGAGAATTTTTCACTCATATGGAGACACCACAACTTGCCGGTGGAGGGCTCAAATTCATACCTATACTCGGCACTGGGGGCCATTGAGCAGTGAGGGATCTTTTTCGTGCCAGCACCTACTGTGACACGGGACCTCGGTTTAAACAGTCCAAATAACTACCCGTAAAGATACCTTTAATCATTTGATTTTATGTTAATTTGGCATTCCGCATTCCGGGGTGGGGGGGGGGGGGGGTGGGGCTTTATTGCATTACTAAAATTAATAGTTGTCAAAGTATAAAAGTATTTACATTCGAATGACCAAATGCAGGCACGTAGAACGAGGATCTGGGGCCCCTAATTTGTTGAACAAGTTGTATTGTAAAACTTTGATATCCCCATATCTAGGGCCAAGGTTATAATTTTTTCAAAAGTAGGTCAAACTCCTACAAGTATGTCCTTAGGTCAGAAATGGTGGTACCCAAAAAAAGATCTTGTCACAAGAAATATATTTGTGAAATATTATGAATTTGAAAGCCCTAGCACAAATCTTTCAGAGGTCATACAGAAGCCAAGGTTGAAGTTTTTTTCAAGGAGGTCAAACTCTTAAGATTAAGAGATCAGAAATTCTGATCTGAAGAAAGATCTGTCACAAGCCATAGGACCAACCGTACAAAAGTTATGACCAGGGTTAAAGTTTTTGCAGACAAACAGACAATTACACAGACAGACGGACAAAAAAAAATCATATGCTGCTATGTCTAGCAAATATGTACGTATCTATCAGATGTAACCCTATATTATTTACCCAAGTTCTGATATGTGTAGTATATATTAGTTACTATGTATTTGTACCTCCACTGCCAATAGTCCGGTACCAGCACCGATGTCAAGCGTTGTCTTCTGTGGGCGCTCCTCCTCAGTAAAAACTTTCGCCAAAGCTAAAGCCGCGCTGGTCGGTGCCTGATAATCATTGCCCGTCATCACCTGTTCAACAAAATTGTTCAAGATTTATGAAGAGTCTGCCACACATTTCTCACCATTAGAATGATTATGGTCTTTAATATTGAATCCTCATGCTATGTCAACCCACCGTGGTTAACAACACCTATGCCTTATAATATATAGTTCTACTGGTCAGAGACCATAAGAGCGAGCTTATAAGATAGTAAGGTGTAGGTCGTCCGTCTGTCTGTCTGTCAGTCCGTCCGTCTGTAAACATTTTTTTTTTCAAAATGCTACTCCTCCTACAGTTTTGGTCTGATATCAATATAACTTGGCACACAAGTAGACTACTGTAACACTAAGATACATTATTCTGTGTATCAGTTTTTTATTTCAATAACGGTGTTGCCATGGTTACTAAAAATAGAACTTTCTGTGAAATAATTTCAAAACGCAACTCCTCCTACAGTTTTGGTCTGATTTCAACGAGTAGACTACACAAAAATATACATAATTCTGGTTATCAGTTTTTGATTTAGATGAACCGTGTTGCCATGCTTACTAAAAATAGAAATTTTTGTGAAAAACTTTCAAACGAAACTCCTCCTACAGTTTTGGTCTGATTTCAATATAACTTTGCATATAAGTAGATCGCACTAAAATACGTAAATCTTTGCATCCGTTTTTTATTTCGATGAATGGTGTTGCCATGGTTACTAAAATAGAAACTTCTGTGAAATACTTTTAAAACGATACTCCTCCTACAGTTTTGGTTTGATTTTAATATGACTTGGCACACAAGTAGATTATACTGAAATACATAATTCTGTGTATCAATTTTTGATTTTGATGAAGTGTTACCATGGTTACTTAAAATAGAACTTTCTGTGAAAAACTTTCAAAATACTACTTCTTCTATAGTTTGGTCTGATTTAGTGTAACTGTGCATGCAAGTAGACTTAATAAGATAAATAATTGTCTTTATCGGTTTTTGATTTTGATGAATGATGTTTCCATGGTTACTAAGATCAAAATTTCTGTAAAATTCTTGAAAAGGCTATTCCTCCTACAGTTTTAGTCTGATTGCAATAAATCTTGCCACAAAAAGAGACTAAATCACGGATCATTATTCTATTTATCGATGTTGCAATGTTTCAAGTCCAAATGCTACTTTTCTCCTTCTTTGGTATAAGTACAAACCAGTAGAGCTACAGTCTCGTCAGAGACTTCCGGTTTTACGTTTCAACTACCGATGTACCAGTTGCCCTTTTCACAAAAAAATCTTACGACCAAGATAAAAATTTTACAACTCTGTAATTTCTTTGTTTAATATGGTATTCATATTTTTATGCCCCCGTATCGAAGATTCGGGGGTATATAGTTTTTGACCTGTCCGCCCGTCTGTCTAGCTGTCTGTTTGTCTGTTTGTCCGCAAAAACTTAAACCTTGCCCATAACTTTTGAATGGTTGGAGCTATGACTTTCATATTTCACATGTGTATTCCTTGTGACAAAATCTTTCTTTGGGTACCATCATATTTGACCTTTTGACCTTGGAGTTTGACCCACTTTCGCAACATTTTATGAGACTTTAACTTTGGCCATAGCTTTTGAACATTTGGTGCTTGGAATTTCAATCTTCACATATGTATTCCTTGTGACAAGACCTTCCTTTGGATACCAACAACTTTGCCCTTTTTGACCTTGACCTTGGAGTTTGACCTACTTTTGAAAAACTTTAACCTTGTCCATAACTTTTGAACGTTTGGTGCTAGGGCTGTCATACTTCACATATGTAATCCTTTGTGACAAGACCTTCCTTTGGATACCAACCTCTTTGACCCTTTGACCTTGACCTAGGAGTTTGACCTACTTTTGAAAAACTTTAATCTTGGCCATACCTTTTAAACATTTGGTGCTACGGCTTTCATACTTCACAAGTGCATTCCTTGGGAGACTTTCCTTTGGATACCAACAATTTTGGCATTGACCTTGACCTTGGAGTTTGACCTACTTTAAAAAAAAATTTAACCTTGGCCATAACATGTGAACGTTTGGTTCTAAGGCTTTCACATTTCACGAACATGTGTATCACTTGTGAGAAGACCTTCCCTCGGGGTCCCACTTGACCTTGACGTTTGACTTACTTTTAAAAAAACTTTAACCTTCGCCATAACTTTTGAACAGTTGGAGCTAGGGCTTTCAAATTTCACAGGTATATTCTTCGAGACAAAACCTGTCTTTGGATACCAACAATTTTGATCTCTTGACCTGGAGTTTGACTTGCATTTGAGAAACTTTAACCTTCGCCATAAGCTGCCATACGGGGGCATCAGTGTTTCGCAAACACATCTTGTTTTTTTATTATTATTCACAATATATTGTCATGTAATAGAAATATAAGATTTTTGGTGACCTACTGTAGCTTAGATACTTTTTGGAGAATGGGAAAATTTTTGTCTTACTTAGTAGTAAGATATTTTGTGAAAAAAGTCACTCTCAGATTTGCCAATCATGTCTTCACTCAATGGTTCAGCAAACAGCTAAATGAATGTACCTTTTAAGACAAGAGACTTCCAATATAAAGATTCTTTGTGTTTGATACAGAGTGAACGATAGGATGATTTGATCCAAATTACTGTACAGCTAGATAAAACGCTGACATGTAAATCTATTCAGATTCTAAAATGGGTAAATTAAAGTACTGACGCTAGCACATGACATCATGCATGCAAAATGCAACATATTTATGGTGACATGAGACATTTATGTTGACATGCGAGTCATTTAAGTCGATATCGACTTATATATTTATGTCTTTGATATGCGAGTTGATAATGTCGACATGCAACAAAATTATGTAGACATTAGACTTATTATGTCCACATGTGCGTTAATTATGTAGACATGCAACATAATTTTGATGTCAACATTATCATCTAGCACGTTCACATAAATAAGTCGCATGTCATAAACATATTCTATCTTATACATGATGCCAGGTACAGGTATTAGTAATTTACCCGTATTAAAATCCGTGTACCGTGCATGTTAACTTATTATCTTGCAAGTAGACATAATTTTTCGCATGTTGACATAATTTTATCTTGCATGTTGGGAGAGAGAGAGAGAGAGAGAAATATCTGGCCTACCATACATATTAAATTATACCTTATTTCAAAGTTTTGTGCTGCATAAAGATAACATTTTTCATGTTTTTTTTTTCTTTACAATAGGATTCAATCTTACACAACCTTGTCGTAATCTTTGCTAACATCATCGTAAGCTGCATTCAACTCTTTCTGAGACAGTCCCTCAGCAAGCACTTTTCCTAACAGATTTACCGCCCCTTGGTCATTATTAGGGAGAGTGTATCTCTGTGTTGTCATCTGCAAAAAAAATTTCTGACAGTTAGCAACAAAAATATTTCGGGTGAACATGTATGTCACAGATCAAAGATATGGTTTTTCGAGAGACAAAAGCGTAGGGAAATTATGCATTTTTTAGGTCATTCTTGAATCTTGCGTGAAAAGGGTCTTCAGTCGACTGCCTTATTTTATCCAATACACAGAATCATTTCTATTATAATAGTGTATGCTACTTGTGGATAAAGTTTTATTAAATCGGACTGAAATTATTACAATAAGTTTGAAAGAATTTGACAGAAATTTGTATTTAAGTGAAACCATGGCAACACCTTCGTCCAAATCAAAAACCGATGAAAAGAATTGTGTATCTTAGTGTGTCTGTGTACCAAGTTTAATTGAAATCGGACCAAAAATGTGTAGGAGAAGTAGTCTTTTGAAGAAGAAGAAGAAGAAGAAAATGTTGACAGACAAACACAGGCAGCTAAACAGACCAATGAACGGACAGATGACGGACAACTTACCATCGCTTTGATCAGATGAGTTTAAAATTGAGTCCATAACTGTCTTTCACTAATTATTGTTAAAACATTAGTATGACATCATCCTTTGTTCTTTTAATACTTTCTATTCCTTGAAAGGCCCAAAGACAGTCCAATAAGTTACCTGTAACCGTCCAATAAGTTAAAAAATCTGTCCATTATTAAAAATAATGGACAGTATTTAATAACTTATTGGACGGCTACAGGTAAGTCAATGGATTAAGAAAACACAACAAAGACACAAATAAATATTTGAAGTAATGAATCCAAAATGTTTCACAATGTAATGAAATATATATTCTAAGTCACAGACACAAAAATTGAAAATGATGAAATGTTTATCCAAATCACAATGAATGTAAAAACTTAATATTGATTGAAGGAAATATCTCCGAATTCTACCGGTATGTAACTTGCACCATCAACACACGCGGGGATATCACTTTTCCTTTTTTAATGCCTTACTGGCAAGAATCAATCGCTACTTCTTTCTCACTAGAACTCCGAATAATTTTGCTCACTTTCTGCAGGAGCACATAGTTTCTTCCGTTATAGGAACGCAAGGTTATTTGGTCATTAGTCTTTGTCCGATTCGTTTCTGACTTCAGTGATGAAAAAAAAATAATTTTGTTGATTTCTTTATCATCCAACGTCATTAAGCACGAAAACATCAACATTGGGTATTGAACAACATTCTCCCTGACAGTTAAAGAACAGACATTGCCAATTTACATTTCTCTATTTTCTGAGAAAAGCCTTTTCTAAATCATCTTAATATTGTTGATTTAATTGCAGAAATCTTTCTACTTTCCCTTTGTTTTTTTGCATCCTTGAATAGCCTTGGCCAAAAGTTGAGAAATATTTGAGAAAACGTCCACTTTGAGTTCAAAGTTCATAATCTTGACAATCCTAACCTCAAAATCCAAAAATCACTTGAAAAATGACATCTGTATTATTAGTAGATTGCTCATCATATCTGGATTTGGTTTGCATCAGAAATATGCTTTCTCCCTCAGAAGAAGACGTGCTTTCAACATTGACAATCACAAGAAAATAATTTTGGAATCTCATGGCATTGTGGTTAAATATTCTTAATTCGTTTATTTAGCACTTACCTGTAACTGTCCACTTAGTTAACAATAACAATGAGTGTAAGTTTCTTTTGATTTTAAGCAACCCTTACCTGAGACCGTCCAATAAGTAGATAATGCTTACTCAATACAATGGATGAGAAGCAATTCTAAGAGAGTATATTATGAACACAATAGAGTAAATGTTTTAAGTAGGTTATAGGCCTCAAACTGTCCATTCTGTGAGAAGAGAGAACTATTGTCGGGCCTAACGGCCCTCCAACAGTTCTTTCTTCTCACAGAATGGACAGTTTTCGGCCTATAACCTTTACGTAAGTCCAACAATTAAAATAATTTTTAATTGCCAATGAGTACATGATTAATTAATTGTCGTATGTTTTTACATATTTAAATTAAAATTATAATTAAATTTGGCAGAGGGCAGTAATGATTTTTGAAGTAAAAAAAAAACAAAAACAAAACAGTCTTTGTAGCAAGTGATCTTTAAGGGGGATGTCCGGCCACCTTGGGTGCAATGAAAACAAAAAGTAAACATTTCTTCAAATGACTAAAGTACACTATAACTTGATCAAATTTTATGTCCTTAGGATGAAGAAACAATAAATATGCATAACTTAATGCATGTTTTGCGTAAATAATTTACACTTTTGCAGAAAAATGCTTTTGATATGCACTTTAGAACTGCGCAGCTACACACTTTAATAGAGCCTTAAAAAATCCAAAAAAATATGCAAAGTGTGCCTTAATGTTTTTCCTACAATCATTTGTTGAGAAAATGTCTGAATTTTGCACTGTTAAATGGTAATTGCCCGTTACAAACAAGGCACTGTTGTCTTCAAAATGAGTGTAAAGAACCATGAGAGTAGTTCATGGACAGCAGCACGTGATCTATTTTTAGCACAAAATTTTTCCAGACCACTTCTTTTTATGGAGGCACGTAAAGGTCTGAAATGAAGAAAAACTACAGACAAAGTAATAAAACACCTCTATATTAAGTTTATTTTAAAAGTAAAGGAGAATTACTTACGAATTTTTTTAAATTATTTAAACACAATAAAAAGAGATGTTGTGTGTAATAAATTGTAGTGAATTAAAATAATAATTATTATTGAACATTTGTTTTATAGTGTGTTGTTATAACAAATTCTTCAAGTCTTTGCTTCCAGGCAATGAAAATTGTGCAACATCAAAATTAAAGTTTTTGAATGAATTTTTTTCCACTTTGTAATTAAACAAATGTGGTATTTCAAGTATTGATAACTTCCAGATTTGTAATTATCAACAATGAATCACAAATAAAAAGTAGGCATCATAAAATTAATGTGAATGAGCTTGTTTTAGTACATATATTTTGTCATACATACATTTTCAAATTCCATTACATCCTAGCTCCATTTCAATAGGTACAAAATCATTAAAAGTAATTATTAGGGGATTTAATGATTTACAAACATTTTTTTAATTTCTTTATTTTGGTTTCCAACTTATAATTTCACCAAATAAAGAAAACAAAATCAACATAATTATATACAAGATTAGTACATGTTTAATCATATACCTAGTAATGCTAGAATTTTAAAACTTTGACCATAATTTCAAAAACAAACTCAAGATTGTCATGTACAATATTGCAAAACAAAGTGCTAATGAAACATTTTGCTAATAAAATTAAGACAAATATGCAATCTACTCTCCAGTGATGAAATCTAAATTTCAATATTTATTTTTTAAAGTTTATACTAGCATAATTTTTTTTATAATATTGATGGATACCTGATGTTCACAATGCTCACCTTAGTCAAATTGCTTTCTCTGAGTCTCTCAGCCCCCTGTCTCTCACATCAAGTAAATATAAAAAAACCTCCCTAAACCAGGTTTTGAGTGTTACATTATATATGTATTGACAACTGCATTTACTAAACATAAATTTGTCAGATTAGTATTCCCTTTTCAATGTAGTTCCCTTGTTATGCTCTAACCATGGAGCCCCCCCCCCCCCCCCCCTAAAAAAAAATCAAACAATTGAACCTACAATGTTCAATATACATGAGGATACACTCTATAAAACTAAATGCATATAAATGTGGACATATTTCTAATGCTGATCTGGTAATTTTTTTTACTTAATTCTTACAAATAAAATCTCAATATATTGGTCAAGAGAAATTTGAGGGGGAAAAAAATTTGACTGTTCTGAAATACACCTATGACCTATTATGATTAAAAAAACATTCAGCAAATTGACAGATGCTCATTTGAAAAAAAAATAGTGTGTTACTCACAGAAAGCTGTGATTTTAGACATTGGTTTTACATACATGTATTTTTAAAGTCTGAAGTCTTTTTTTGTAATGAGAGTGAGATAAGAACTACATGATAAATTTTAAAATAATTAGTCCCTGAAAAATTATGTATAAAAGATTCACAAGATTAATCCCTATACACATTACACATGTACATTGCACACTGCTTAAAGACATTGTATCATAATTAGCTGCAATAATGTAGCCCTCTCCGATTTTTTTTTTATCTGATATTTTCTGGAGAGGTATCATAATATGTGTGAATTTTAATTTGAATACACAGCCCTTGCAGCAGACAGATAAAAGGAATGAATTCTTTCTTATTTAGAAATCTATTTCAGAGTAATATATTTCAAAGTAAAACACTGAATGGAGTTCTCTTATTTTACATTATATGATTGATATTCTGTTACCAACATTATCTCAAAATCCTATATGTAAAACATCACAGGGAACAGCACAGTATAACGAACAGAATTGATGTTCCAAGATGGCACTATTGGGCTCTGATTTACAATGTATCCTCACTGGCAAGAGGCTGGGTTTACCACGGATTTCTTTATAGTTTAGAATTTCAATGCAATTTTCACAAGATATTCCTAAAAGACCTACAATAATAAAATGCAGTTTTAGAAGATCATTCAGAACATTCAACAATCAGAAAAAAATTATTATAACAGTACCAAATTACAAAACAATACTTATAAATCCTTTCTCTGTTGCCAAGGATGACAAGCCTTACCCTCTCTGCAAACATTGCCCTCTCTTCCAGAGTTCAAAGAAAAAAATTAAGATATTTTTATCAAACTTCATGTGCTGATATACATGTATATTGTGGAGAACTTTCAGCTTCATGAACATTTTTTGATCTTGACCTCATTTCTGAGTTTAGCTCAGTTTCAAAGAAACCATTCTAAATATTTTTATGTAAGCTTCTGCACTGATACATCATTTGGTGAGAATTTATCAAATTTGTCCAATTTTTTTAACCTTGACCTTCCCAATAATCTTTGACTTTAACATTTATTATGTATAAAACCAAATTTTAAAGAAATTATTCAAGATATTTTCATCAAACTTCATACACTGATACAAATTTTCATGTTGCATTACTAATGAACCCTGGGTGGAACATTCATGTCCTATGGACATATCTCTATTTTTTAAAACATATTTCTGGTTGCATGGTCTAATTTGCTTATCCATTACTAAGAAACCTGAACTAATATCAGGCACATAACAAAACTCTTCACTGGCCTACTTGACTTACTTACATAAATTAGCAAGAATATAAATGACACAAATCAAAGGAAGTTTAGTATTGCAAATGCAATATGTCAATTACTTTTTGTAATGTACATATCAAATTGTGAACAAGAAGAGCTTAATATTAAATTATGAGAGGGGACCTGCTTTAGAAGCTCGATATGCATTAACCAAAGATGCCTTTAGCTGATCATTGTCATCAAAGCATTTAAATGACATGCCATGCACATCATTATCTAGACAAGCTCCTGGATATCCAAATGACTTACTTCTCTCTTGCTTTTCTTTTGTAATAATGGGAAGACTCGTGTTCATATTTGCAGTCCATTTGCACCTATAACTTATATCCACACCATTATGAATCTTGAGTTTGCTTATTCTTTCATTGACTCCCCCTGTAAACAAAATTTTACAAGTACCTGTATTAATAAATTCATTGACAAATGGTGTTAAGAATGAAAAATTTTAGTGTTTATTAGCAAGAAACTTGAAATTAAAAAAGAGGAACTGCACATAAATACAAATGCATGGGCTATTAACAAACTTACTTGATTCTTTTGTGCAAAACTAAGGTCTGTATTAAATTGCATCTCAGAAAATCTATGGGAAACTAGTTAAGGATATGACACCTACAATATGTAAAGTATTTAATTCATAATAATTTAATCAACAATAAATACACAATACATGAAGCTTTCCATTAATTCCTGTTACTTTCCATACACACATCTTGATTATCTTCCTTAAATCATGCACTAGTTAATGGTTCAAATAATGTAATACATGTAATACAAAAATTTCCATGGAGAATTTTAATTTTCTAAAAAATGTATAATACTGCCTACTGTTTACATATTACACTGTGCTGCCTAGTTATAAAAATAATGGATTCATAAAATGTGATTTTCACATAGTAATTAAACCACACATTAAGAAATGTGTGTCCCACTTCCTCTCTAAAGTCACCAAGATAATAAAATTAAAAATATATTACATTTACTCAGTAGTCCCCAGAGAGACAATATATATACCTACTCTACTGTGGTTGCATGATTCTCCATCAAACTCAAAATATTAAATACTAAGAAATAATGGGTTCAAGCAAATTTAGTACATGAAATATTATCCAAAATTTTCACAAGTTTTTTTTTTTTACCGGTATCTGCAAGCAAGGCCATTTCAAGACAATTAAGAAGAGATATGTGCGACCGGTCGGCAGGGGATGCTCACTCCTCCATGGCACCTGATCCCACCTCTGATGTTTTAGAGGTCCATGTTTGCTCTGCTCCAGATTTGTATTGTTTAATGGACTTTTGAGCTTGAATACTGTTCGTTATTTCCATATATTTGATGTGTAATTTGTGAATGCTAAACCCTGGCCTGGCCTACTTATTATAAGTATTGATGCATTGGCAATTTTAGTGTAAATATTTTTTTCCAGTTCAACAGCAATATAAGTTGACACAGTTGATGCAGAAAAAAGACAAGAAAAGTGTATCATACTCAGATTTTGGAGATAAATTATTGAAGAAGAAAATGGTAGCAAACATTTTCCTATTACCTTTCCTCCATGTCCTCTGAAAGTGCTACTTAAATATATAAAAAGCTGCAATTTTTGGGAGGGTTTACTCCATGTAATTGGATTTGGCATTAGAAACCTTGAGATTATGACACGAGTCATGTAAAATTTTATTATACTATAGGGTAAGTTTTTATTACAGAAATAAGTGCATGTGTATAGATATATGATACAGTGTCAAAATTTATGCAAAACAAATTGTGGAAACAATTTCACACAGTCACATGAATAGTTTATTTTTCTGACTAATGACTATTCAACATGTCCAATAACTTAAGTATTTTAAAAAAAAATAGACTTCAAAACATTGCAGTTAAAAACCTGGACACACTTTTCCATGATGTGTTTTAGGTCCCAAACAACGTTCCATACAATGTGTGGCCCTAATACTCGACAGTACAGCAAACAATCTCCTATTATTATGAGGCTCCTGAAGGAAATTTTACTACTGACTACTTTTTCTTTCTATCTGCTGAACAATATTGGCACGTGTACTTACTTTCCGAATGTAATAATTACAATGTGTTATTGAATATATCACAACCTGCTTAACATTTTTAAATTTCAAAAAAATTCACCCTCCTTGCAGAGCCCCACTTAAAAATAGTCTTTATGTACAAACACAACTTAAAGGAGAGGCAATTCGGAACGTGAAGTCAAGAATTTTAACGGATATCTGATGACTGATCAGAAATCACATAGATATATGGCATTTTTAGAAACTCTGCAAGTCTGCATAAAATTATTACATGTTCATTGCAAGGATTCAAACAAAGAGTCACGTTTTTACACACCCGAAATGTGTCTTACCTTCTATCAGCTGTTTTCACCGGAAACAATGGACATTCATTCTTCCATCGCCATAGGAAAGAGATCCGCCGTAAACACATATGTTAAGAACTGTTTAATCTTTTCCCATTAGTTTGAAAGGAGTCAACAAACTATCAAGACTTGTTCTAAGCAAAATTCAATTGTAATAAATGCATCTATCCACAAAAGAAATATGCATATGCCAACCATGTGCTCTGTGGAATGATATGACTGAGGAAACTCGAGTGATAAACAGGACATTTTTTCCCGGTTTGCGAGAGATGGGTTAAAATCGCGTTTTGTCATTAATCAGACGATGCGATGCAACAAATAAAAGATGTAAGTTGTGTAAACTAAGGACCATTACTTAGATATGTCTTGTGTTGATGTTGTTACGGTCTCATTTATTCTAAAAACAATGTTATTTGAACTCTGTGTGACAGAGGAATGGTGGACATAATAAACGCATGGCCTCAGGGAGACCACCATATGAAAAATCAAATTTTCAAAAATTATGGACAACGACAAGAAAAAAGCAAAACAAATGGTTGTAGCCATATTATTAATGAACCGAACTGACATCATTTTCACTGCATTATTCATCTCCTAAATGCTGTGGCTGCGCAGTTCTAACATGATTAATTTTCACCAAATGCAAACAATAGAAAAATAATTATTTACTAGTTTTGGTCTCTAACAGTAGGTAATAAGTGCATTAGCACTTTGAGTAACTTTGAGCTGGTTTGGTAATGTATTGAGCGCATTCTTGGTATTTCTTATTTTAGAGCAGTATACATCCAAGATGGCTTGTACATCCCCCTTAATGAGTTCGGCAGCTGATGCTACAACAGTATTCAGACATCCTTTCATATTCTACATGTATTTTATTAATAATGCAGTAAATGTTTCATCTCATTTATAAAAATAATAGTTTGTGCAGAACATGCAGTTGATAAGCTCCCGGTTTAGTTTCAGTCAACCTTACACACGCAAAAAAAAAGATATATATAATTTACTCCTTACCTTGAAGTAATTTTAACTCGTGTTTGGACGCTATAAATATTCGCCACGCTGGTCAGTTTACAGTGTTTATGTCCACGACAGAAAATAGGTCACTTCGTACAAAGCTTTCACGGATGTTCGCAGATTGATAGGGGAAATGTACACGAATAAGGATTCGGTCCACGATGAAAAGGTGAAGGTAAAATTTAAATACAGACCATGGGGGAATTTTTTTAAACATATAATGTTTGTTGGTCAAATTTCAGACTGCGACGTTTCGTAGGCCTGTAAAATCATGTATATTTATAAACTGAAAAGTAAATACATTCTTTTGTTTATTCTTTAATTGTTCTGGTCCAGTGGGGGAGATTTAAGCATCGGGGTTTCGGGGAAGGGGGGGGGGGGTAATGTTAAAACGAAGCAAAAATGATATTGATTTTGGGGATTAAGCTTGTAAATGTAAATTAATTACTTTTATGTTCGCTATAGGTGGATCTCTGGGTCATGATTTGTTAAATATTTATCTACATGTATCTGTTTATTTATTTATTTTGATTTATTTTAATTATAATGAACAAATTTATTTATTGATTAAATTATATCTATTTCAAGATATCCTTTTTATAATAAGAGAGTATATCTTTGAAGATGCCTGTACAACACGCACGTGCTTCTGAACGGGACCATCCCCTTTCTCTCTCTGAATTTACGTCCCCTGGGCTGTTCGACTTCGTATACATCATAAATGAAATTTATTTATTTATTTATTCATCAAAATAATCAGTGACATGGTATTAATTATATATATATATATATATATATATATATATATATATATATATATATATATATATATATATATATATATATATATATATATATATATATATATATATATATATATATATATATATATATATATATATATATGGAGAGGGGTGTAAATGAATAAATATATTTAAAAAAATACTTAATACCATGTCACTGATTATTTTTATTTACATGAAGCTTGTTTTAATTCAATGTTTTATATCAATAAATGAAAAACAACGTGCCACCTGTGCAACTTGCAGTCAAAGGGAGATAAACATGCGTTACGTACATTAATTTTCGCACATGCTAATGAGAATTTTTTGTAAGACGTTCTAAGTATTAAAAAAAAAATAATAGAACAACTCCCCCCCCCCCCCCCCAAATGCATCATTTTTTCAAAAAGGGAAGACAGTCAGAAAAGTGATTGATAAGATACCTGAAAATGAGGGGGGGGGGGGTATTAAGGTTCAAACTTTCGACAAGAAAAATTTATTAGTATTACTATGAGAGGATTTGACTTACTGCCATCGTATCTATTGCATTCTTCAAACTGAACATCTATATAACATTTTAAGAAAACTGTTAGAATGTTTAAAATTACCCCTGAGCTCTTTACCAAAATTGTAAAATTCTTGTGGCAAAGTTAGATTTATATTGAAAATGTTCTTCTTTACATATGGAAATCAAAGGCAAACAGTTTCCATGATTATGATAAACACGTTTAAATTAGCCCTGCATGTACTAAAATTATGAGTTCATGGGGAAGGGGGCTTAAGGGTAATAACCTGCGTAACCTATGATGTGCTCAGGTGACTGTCAATGCCCATGGGTCTTTTTTTGTGTGCGTGTTTTTTTTCCTCCGGAATTTTCACATTAATTCTTTGTTAATTGTAACTAATTCAGCCATGAGGATATTAGTCCCGGGGTATGCAGGGTGGGGGAGAAGGTTCTGTGATACACAAGTCATTGCCAGTGTAGTTTATTTAAACAAAAATCCCAAAGTAGTGCTGTAGCAACTCAGGTACCCTCTTCCAAGATCAAACTTTAAAGAACCCCTTTGTTAAAGAGTTTTCTGAAAAAAAAATATTTATGGATTTAAGGATATTGTAATTTTTTACTCCAGGGTTATAAATAAGGATAATTCTAAAACCTGTCTGATTGAGGAGTGACAAGTTTTCCTAAAAGTAGTCATTTCAGTTACAATTGTACGTACTAACGGTTTAGATGAATGTGTGAAATCCAGATAACTTGTCATTCTAATGTTAGACACCCAACTCAGAGGAGTCCCTTGTTCATAGTATTATTTTTATTTATAGTTTTATTTCCAGTTTAACTATGCAGTGTGACGGTAGTTATTTTTTGCTGAAATCCATTTAACATCAAATATTCAACTCCTGAACTCTCTGGATAACCTCTGTTTTAGTTGTGACATGTGCATTCAGAATTACTACACTGGTTTAAATGAATGACCTTTCATATTCAATGCGGGTCATTAGTTTGAGCACGAAATTGTGATCAGTGCAATTATTTATTTTTTTTATTTATTTATTTTTAGGGTGGGGTGGGGAGATTACTTATAAAAGTTACTTTTGCATATTTTTTTCCAAGCGGGTTATCACTTTAATTTGACTTCAAGGTTTCAGTGGCCTTGACACAGGGATTACAATTGTGCGGACACGACGAAAAAAAAATTGAAATATTTGAAACATTAAGAAAGTCGTTTAAAAATGCACAAACACATTTATTGCAATAGTTATGCATAAACTAATTAACAATGCATTTACATGTACAAACTAAGCTTATAAATAACATTCGAAATAAGTAAGTGTATACCGTTCATGTTATACAAATATACATCAACACAGATCTAACTGAAAGTCTAATCAACATATATCAACAAACTCTATAGACAATTTGAACGCCTTCAATCTTGCTCCAATATGGACAAGATGAGCAGTCGATTTTCCGCCATTTTTGCTCCTCTTCAAGTTTTTGGCACAGTGGAAAAAATGAGTCTTTGTATTTATCAAGATTTGATAAACTTTCCATTCGAGCAACTATACACACGATACCACCTTTAAAATATTAGAAAGACATATTAATAATTTTAAGTTTTTGAGATTATTAGAATATTGAAACATCAGCTTCAAGGCAGTGAATTATCACATGACGAACCTGGTTTGACCAATCGAATAATCTCAATCAGAGCCTCGCTTTCGATGTGGTTTGCTATGTGGCTTCCGACGACAGTAACAATATCATAAGAATCTTTAAAGAGATAAAGAAAAGGTATTGTTATTTGTGTTCATGGACTTTGATTCAAAGATTTGGTTCAATAATTGTTTGATTTTCATCTCAAAGATAGAAATTTAAAATGGAAAGAGGGGATGTAAGAAAAAAATTCCTACTTGAGGGAATGTTGAGAGGTTCCTTGCCAACTGCTTCGCAGATGTAGTTTCTATAGACGCCTTTCTCTTTAGCAATGTCAAGCATGCCCTGTGATGGATCTAGGGCATCGAAGATTTTAAACCCCTTCTTTTGCATCTGAAATTCAAGAAAATTTATTTCCTTTTCCTGAAACCATCAACATTCTGAAAACCGGAAATCAGAAAGTACGCGTCACTTTAATTTTTTTTTTGTTTTTTGAAGACCCAATATGTTGAAAAGAGAGGCTGTTTTGACATTTCAACTTTTGAACTTTTTATTACAGGAACTCGGCAATAGTTTTTTTTTTTCTGACTAGAATTGAATTAGTTAAGTTAAGTTATAGAAATGGCTAAAATTTTTTTTAAGTGTGACAATGGTGATCATGACAGATATACCTCATCAGCCAGTAGTCCCGTTCCGGCACCAATGTCTAAGATGGTTTTTTGGGCCCGTTCAGCTTCCGGGTATAGTTTTGTTACGGCGTCTGTACAACTTTTGGGGGCTTTGTACCCGTTGTCCAATACAACCTGCAAATTTTTAATTATTTTTCAACAGGCGGAGCGTTGCATAGAAGAGACATACGTAAATGTGACAGTATACGTAAAATTTAATATCCTGTATTTTTGTTTTTTTTAATTTTTTTTAAGCAAATAATATAAAACAACTTACTTTACCAACCATAATCATTTCAAATTTTCAATACACTTTGATACAGCATCGCATCGACGTTCATGTGCATGTGTAATTAGATTATTTCGTACAATTCTTTTTCAGTTTTGTATCGGGTTTTCTTAGCAATCAAATAAGATTCTAAAATATTAGATTTTTTTTTTACCTGGTCATAGTCTCTACTGACGTCATCATAAGCTGCGTTCAATTCTCTCTGGGACAATCCTTCTGCTAGAATCTTTCCTAGCAGCTGTTGCGCACCTTTGTCATATTCGTTTGGAAGGGAATATCTCTGTGTTTGAGTGGCCATCTGTCCAAAAAAAAATTACATGTCCACTTGTTTTCAATTGAAATTAGTTGCTTTTAGTACCAAATTGAAAAGCCCTGGAACAACGAAAGTGCATCCCTTCCTTCATATTTTTTTTATGCATGGAAATAGACAAATGTTTAAAATTTTCGGGTTACAATCAATTTTTCTATCGAATTTTTCTGCATGACTTTTAAATTTTTATCAACTTTTAAATTTCATTTACCACCTTGTCTTCTCTTATATATATATATATATATATATATATATATATATATATATATATATATATATATATATATATATATATATATATATATATATATATATATATATATTTATATTTATATTTATATTTATATAACCTTTAAGAGTTATTCCTGGCGAGTAAAAAATGAAAAGAAAAGTTCGCTCAAAATTTGTTGATGATTTTTCTTTAATGAATCTAAATATTTTATCGATAACACTAAAAGGTATTTATTTTAGAAATATTAAAAATAAAAAACTAACTTCTGATCAAGATTTCCTTCTAAAAATCCTTACCTTTATGAATATGGAAATATTTACACTTCACTGGTGCGTAGTTTGTGGTAGTGGACGACAAACTTGAACTGTCATTGGTCGCTAAACTCGCCGCTATTTAAATCACGGAACGAAAACGTCACCTTGAGAAAATAAAAATTTTCCATAAAATATCTCCCCCCGGAATTTAAAAGTGCGAGATTACCTCAGTGGGTCATGTCATGCCATCCCTCTTTGAGTATACAAGGGTCAAGTTCTCTAAATACTTGTATAGATTAAACTTATCAGAACATGGCATAATATATCTAACACTAGTAAATTTTTCATTGAAGGAAATTACCTTTCCATTCACATGGAATAAATTAATATACCTCTGCTATCAATAAGGCTCTCATCAAAAAATCATCCTTATAGATCTTTAACGAAAAAGAAGTTTAGATTTCTTTATTATCAAAAATTATTTTCCCCAATGTCTATGAAACCATCACAATAAACATCATGTGTCACTGTAAATGCCCGTGGGAAACGTGGTCGGGGGCGCCCCCCCCCCCCAATAATTTTGTCGATATATGGTATACTATATAAAAAACATAGCTATATGGACTTTATGGTTGTGCCCCCTCAATAATAACCTTTGATGACCCCCTTTTTTTCTTCTGTTCTCTCTCTCTCTCTCTCTCTCTCTCTCTCTCTCTCTCTCTATTCTTCCTTATACATGCATATGTATAAAACCGCAATTTTAAAAAGTACAAAATTGAAAACCTGCAAGTCTCCCCCCCCCCCGGAAATCAAAATCTATCTGGTCATAACAAATAACAAAACTCGCGATAATGTGACATAAGACTAAGTCAATCATTCGTAAAAAATGACTTGACTTTAACATCGAATTAAATTTTGAAAATATAATACCTCACAATACCATATAATTGTAAATTTTATACATAGAAATGGAGAAGAAAAATATTTTTTTGAAAGATGCAATTATAATCATTTTACAAGAATTGAATAAAAACAGTAGTTTAGATGTCCAATCGTTTTGGGAGAGCGAAAGGCTCCCTGACAATGCGCTGATAGCGAAAGCCAACAAAGGGACTTGTATCTCTTGCATTATGCATCTCGATTCACTTTAAATTCGTATTATGCTTTTCGAATCACAACCTTTTTTGTAATATGTATCTGAAATCATTCTTGCACTATATATCTTGAATTCTTGTTTATTAATTCAATATGTGGTAGCCTAAAATAATAATCATCAAGTTCCATACTGACTTCAAGGTCTCTGCTGTTCGTGGCCATGGTCAGTGGAATTAAAAAAACAGCACCCATGCACATGATTTTGTTTTGACTAATATGACATTGCTTTATAAATGGGGGTTGCAGAAACCAACAGAATCCGTTTTACAACATGTATTAAAATACAGTCAAACCTGGCATAGCGACACTCTTTATATAAGGACTTCTTGTAATATACCTCTGAATAATTTTCCATCACATTCAGTGACTCTCTGTCTAGCGTGACGTGCGATTGGTACCGCTTGCAGAGTGGCGGACAGGAGCTGTCCCCCCCCCCCCACCACCACCACCACCACCACATACCCAATAAATAAAATAAAAATTGTTTAATAAGTGTTGAATATTGTTTTCTTCAAAAATTCAATTGATATTTAACAAATTCAATTGAAATTTAACAAAATTAGAACATACTTTAAAAAAAAACATTTTTGTTATTGAATTATACTTCAATTATCTAAAAGTATATGAACATGAATCAAAACTTTGTAAAAAAAAAAAAAAAAAACTAGGAAGTCAAGTATTATTATTCATACATTTATTTTATTTATTTAATTGATTATTTATTCATTCATTTATTTTACAGACATTTTAGTGTCATTCATAAGTATAGGATATTCATCGTCGCAGGCTATGGGTTTTGGTATCCATTTTACTTCCGCAATTTATTATTAATTTATTATTTGTGAAAATAGAATGGACACAAACACCCGTGGCTTTCGACGATCAATGGTAATGGGCACAAATTCAAACTTATTAACTCTACACCCTCTCCCTACATGGAAATGACGAAATTATATCAATTTAGTCACAGTTATTCTTATAATTCAAACGTATTTGTACCTGTATATACAACTATTCACATTTTTTATTATTGTTATATTATTTATTTTTTAGAATGTACAGATATATATAAATTTATTATTAGTGATAGGTCGCTTAATTGATACAGGTTTCACTGTAATTTCGTTTGTCCCCATCCATGTGCTAGAGACCATGACACTATCCGACACAGTGAGGTAAGCAGTGATGCATGAAGGTCATGCTTCTGAAATTTTCCCCCATGGTAGAGCATGTGGTGATTTATACCGAATATCGACAAATTTTTGCCGTATATCTGTGCATACATTTTCGACCATCCGGACCAGAAAGGAGTCATATCCTGCATGATTTCATCCATATTTGAATAAATTAAACATGTATATGAGGATCCTTTAATATTACTGAATTACTGTGATCTGTTTTGTATAAATTTAATTTTTTCATATTCTCAGGTAAATTTCTCCCAACCTAATATGGCCCTACCCTGTGGTCTTTTGTTGGACAGAATAGGTTTGTTTTTGTTGTATGATTTATCCCCAGTTTATTAATACAACTAACTTCATCATTCTCCCCCCCCCCCCCCCCCCCCCACACACACACACACAAACAATAGAAACAAATTTTTGTGTTTTCGTGGTGAAAATAATTTTTTTTAATGATCAACTACATACAGAATGATATGTTCAAAATATTATACATCATCTACGAATTATATAAAATATAGGAATATAAGAATATGACCAAACCAGAAGTTTCTGGTGAGACTGTAGCTCTACTGGTATCTATTTGTATTCCTAGTTTTATATTGAATTCAATCGAAAATAAATTGTATAGGAGTAGTAACATTTTGCATTAATTCCAACGGCATTCTATATTGAAGTAACCGTTGCAAGTCTAAATCAGAATTGCTTTGGTATAGTTTAACTATTTACCAAGGTTTATTGAAACCGGACTCAAATTGTAGGAGAAGTAGCATTTTCAGAGATATTTTTTTTTAAATTTAATTTTAATGACATAGCATACAAATGAGCATTGCTATGCACCAAAATCAAACACTATTAAATAGAATTATGGATTTTACTGTAGTTTAATGTTGGAAATAGTTTTATTGAAATTGGACCAAAATTGTAGTGAAGGGGTAGCATATTGAAAGAATTTCACAGAAATTTCTATCACCAATAACCATATGGCGAGATTTTTCTTCAAAATCAAAACCAATATACAGAGCTATACGTACATGTATGTGAGTGTAGTCTACCAATTTTATTGAAATAGGACCAAAACGATAGGGAGAGTAGCGTTTACAAAGAATTGTTTTTAGACATGTAACTATATGGCAACACAGTTTGTCACAATCGAAAAAATCAAATTCTTCGTACAATCTGCTTGATTGAAATTCCACTAAAATTGTCGACGTAGCGCTTTACAGGAATTTCGCAAGAATTTCTGTTTTAGTAAATGTTACGACACTGTTAATCAAAATCAAACCCAGGGAATAAAATATGTAAGTGCAGTAAGTCTATGTATCAAAAAAAAAAATTCTTTTCATGCGCGGATCGGGGATTTTTTCCGGAGGGGGTGGGCGGAAATTTTTTGACAAGCCAAAAACAGGATAAACAAATTGCCAAAACCTGAAAAATCTATAAATCTATTTCCGTTGGGAGGGGGGTTGTAATGTAGACACTTTCCTTAGTCAATCTTCTTCAGCTACATGACTCTCCTCCTCCTTTCCATTTTAAAGGGTTCACGTTTCCTGATAGGGTCGGGTCCAAGGTTATTTCTTCGTTATTATAACATGGAATTTAATTTCTCTTACATTCGGGGGGGGGGGGGGGGTCCAGAACCACCGCCCCCTAGATCCGCGCACGTCTTTTTAGTTTACATCAGACGGAAACTGTAGAATGAATTGCACTTTGAATATTTGTTTACAAAAGTATAAACATTTAGAGCTAAAAATTAACTATCCTTATTTAATGTATATATATAAAAAAGAATTGTTACAGTACTTGAGTTCACTTTTAAAAATGTTAAGCATCACATACTTGAGTGGAGTCTTCCTTTCGCACGTTAAGGTTAGAACAGCAATAGACAGAACGGTAGCAATGTATGATTCCTCTGCTCAATGATCTATCACATGGCATTAAGGGATGTACGTGATTTAGCACTGAATAGAATACACATCTATATATGTAATACGTTTACAGTATGTCAAAGTCACTTCTTTATGCTTTTAAACCCGACATCTGGAATCCCCAGATATCCCAGATTTTTTTTCGGTTCCAATGAGTTCGAGATAATAGAGTTCGACTGTATTTTAGCTAAACCCATCTGGCTCTAATTAACAATGAAAATCACAGTTTCATCACTGCATCAACTCTTTCATACTACTTGCTAAAATAACTATGGCATAAAAAAAGAGCAAAGAATAGTTGAATAATTTTTTTATACATTCACATGAAATAACAATTTATCACAGAGTTCTCTCAATTATTCAGGAAAAGCAATCAAACTGACAACTTGATGCTGCAGTTCATTAAAAAAAACATCTATAATAATCTTTGCTCATGTACTCTGTAAAGCTGTCTATACATTTATACCGAACTAACAACTCCATGCCCTTGCAGTACAATAGATTTATCAATTGTTAAGTTTAATTGATCTAATATTTATGTGTGCAACCCTTGCATTTTTTCATTTAAAAATACATTAGACACAGACATAAAACCGTTGGCTAAACATCCCACTGAGCTAGATGCTATAGCCAAGTCTAAAGTATGTGACATTGGAAAATACCACAGTTTAGCACAATATTCCCTGAAAATGAGAAAATCTATTCAAATAAATGTTATTTTTCTTTGTCCCATTCTTCAATATGAACAAAAATTTCTTTGTTTTGATCTGATTTTTGCACTCATTATAATGAAAAGAACTAACCTCTGTCAGAAAAAAATATATTTAAAAATACCTCTGTACAAATATGGTGAATAATGAAAAAAAGAAATTTCACAATATCTGATGTTCTATCCACAAAGTTGAAAAAACAATGATTTATACTGATAGATAACTATAAAACGTGCAAAAAAATCAAATAGAGCTCTGCTTACATTCCAGTCATGCCAACCTCATTCAAACATTTCAGAAACAAAGGTACAAGTATATGTTCCTTCCAAACAAGATAAAAATACCGGTACAATACAATACAATCATTCAAGCATCTCTCTACAGGCTGGGAGTTATTAACAGTAATCCCAATCTATCAAAAGAGAGGTTGGGTACCTTGAAAAAAATGATGGACAAGCTCAAAATCTTATTTTCACAAACGACAAAAATACTGCATTTGCCTTGTGCATCTCATGTGCTTAAAGGTTGGTTTGATGAGGTGTTTGAAGAAAAATGTGGTTTTACCACAAGGAATCGTATTTTACAAACTTCGGGACAAAAGAGCTACACAGAACCTCAGAAAGCCATGGATGCTCAATGTGGCAAATTCAGCATTTCTGTCGTTCCAAAATAATTCTATTAGTAGGAAACATTTAATATAACACTTCTCTATAATAAATTACACCATGCATTATTTTACACCAAAAGCAAACACAATGCTGAATCAGTCTAAAGCTAAAGATGACTCATAAAATTTGTACAGTTATTGATGAATATTCTTTGGACATTTCAGAAATATCATATACTGTACATTTAACAGTAAGGTACTTAAGTTTTAATGAAGCAGAGTGTATATAACTTATAAAATGAATAAGAAATTATGGCATCTTTTGCAGATTACAGTTGATATTTCATTAACAACTGAAAGAAAAGATCAGTAAAAATGTGTTTCTTTTCAGAAATTCACTGATCAATCTATATATACAGTACATGTACATATATATATATATACTGTACAAGTAAGTATGGTTTACTTGCTACATTTCAATATGAAAAGGTAGTTCCATTTCACATTGTCATTAAAGACAGAATTATTAAAATATAGTTTAAGGTTCATTATCCCTCTGTTTAACCCCCCCCCCCCTTCAAAAAAAAATTCCCTGAAACACAGTTTTTTCAAAAGAATTGTTATTTATTATTATAAAAATACATAAAATTTTAATGTACCTTGCAGGGAAACATTTGAAAGAAAAGACCTTTGAATTAGACAATGTTATAGTTAGTTATTCCAGTGTGAGTTATCTCCCTTATCAGAGGGCCAATAAACCTTAAAATTAAATTAATTCATTTAATGCAAGATAACAGTACATGAGAATATTTCACATAAAGTAAAATTTTTTCCAAAAAAAAAAAATCAGTTATGACACATTTATATTCATTCATATATATTTCACATATGATTTGATGTACATGTAGGAAATATGACTACATCACAAAAGGACTTGTCTGTATACTATCTAAAATATAAATCATTAATTTGCCATGCAAGTTTGAATTAATCTGAGAAATTTTGTTGATATAAAAATGACATAGCTCACAACAAACAAAATTTACTAAAAAGGAAGATTTATGACATTTAAAACCAAAACATTGAATCTTACCATATACTATGAAAAACAGTACATGTATGTAAAGTTAGCATGTAATTCATTTTTTAAAAACAATGAATGGATTTATGTAAGATTCGCCAAACATAACATGAAAGATGGCAAAGAATGCCAGTGGAAGAGTCGAAAAAAATATCCACAAACATATTTCACATTTATACAGTGTGTAAACCATCAATTCATTTTCATATTAAAGAATACAAAATCTTTAATTTCAATTTTCACACAATTACAATTATATAGCAGATAACACTGCACAAAATGTATTTTTCATGAGGGACAAGATCTCTTCTTGTACTTTACATGATGATCAAAAAAAAAAAAAATCCTGAAATGCATACCAGGTAGGCTAAATCCCACCATACATATTATGCATCTCCTCCGATGAATTAATGCCAAAATTACAAACCCACATGGGAATAAATATTAGAATTCCTATAATTCCTATAAATTAAACATTTGTTTCACTTCCATTATACATGTGCAATTTTCTGTACATGTAAAAAAAAAAAAAAAGCATAAAACACTACAAAATTAATGTTTCCATATTAGCACTCTGTACATGTAACCATGTTTCATTAAGAAAAACCGTTTTATGCATTTTACTGAACTTACTGAATTTAAACATCTTAAAACATGTATAAAGTTCAAAAAGACCTTCAGTCTTTTCAAAGTTCAATCTAATTAGGTTCACTATGGCAACGACATCAACAACATCCAGATTTTTGCTGTGTTGGGGTTTCATCGTCGACAACGACGACACTTTTGCGATTTGTACCGTCTCTCTGATTACGGTTATTATCCTCCCCGGCTTTTTCTATCATACCTACAAACGAACAAATTGTACAATTGTTTCAAAAACATATATTGTAACTTTAACATCCAGCAGATACCTTAAAGTAAACTTAGCTATCACACTATTACTTTGATAATTGTATATGTATTCCTCTTTCTTTGATATGCACAGATGCACAATTCTCTAGGTACTCTGAATATATGACAAATTGATTGCACTATTTTATTTAACTTTTCACACAATGAAGCTTTAAACAGGGTAGATGCTCACCACTGAATGAATTAAATAACCTGCCCATATCCTATAGAATAAGAAAGTTAACATTCCCAACAATCAAAAAAAAAAGAATTCATTGTCATCCCTTTCCAATCTCAACAGGAAAATGAAAAAATAAATATATTTTAATTTAAGCCTTCTTTCCTAACCATTTACAGCTGAATCCTGTTACTCACCTTTACTTAAATCTAAGAACATTTCCTCTATACCTTTGTTCAGTTTTGCTGAGGTGTGAAAATGTTTGGCTCCTACTGATGCAGCATAACTGTAAAGTTAAATATTTATTCATTATTAAGCTTACACACAAAAAAGAACCTTAAATCATATCTACATGCAATTAAAATCTCTAACAAAGTAATCAATGTGCAAAGTACAGTACACCATTTCTTTTTTAATTTTTTAACTGGAAACTATTCCCATACTCAAAAGGTTTCAATTTATTTAAACTAGAGAAAATAATGCAACAAAAGATCTTAATGAATCCTGTCAGTATAGCTAAAAATAGAACAATTGTTCATTATGTATTGTAGTAAAGAGAGATTTAAGTACACATGTACTCACGCTTCAGCTTCTGCCACAGAAACATGCCGTTCTTTTTCTAAATCTATTTTGTTTCCAGCTATGCACAGACAGATTTCGTTCCCTAACATTTTCCGTAACTCCTTTACCCAGTTTTTCACCTATAAAATAAATCACTTTAACATGACTTACACAATACATGAAGCTGCTGAAAATTTATGAACTTCAAAAACAAATTTCTTTTTATAAACAATTATTAATCCTGTTAAGTTCCAGAAAGATTTTACCATGATTTTCATGTTTTACAGAAATATAAGAATTAGTACAAAATTAATGTCATGGCTAGGGAAATAAAGTTTAGATGCAAATATATAATTTATACAGTTTCTTTTTATCTCGAACACTGATATCTCGAATACCATGGATATGTTGAAGTGATTCAGAAGTCCCAACCACTTATTCTTTAAATATTTTACCCCTGATATCTCGAATCCTCGGATATCTCGAAGTTTTTCTTGGTCCCATCAAGTTCGAGAGAACGAGGTTTGACTGTGTATGTCAAATATGAGGGATTTGTCAAAGTGAGTCAACCTAAAGACGAATTTGACCTTCAACCTTGTGTCCACAGATATCTCAAAATAATCGAACTGTCCCCACCATGTTAGTGATATCAAAGTTTGACAATACGTATATTAACATTGATGGGAATAATTACTATTCATGACTAGATTCTACTTTTATTTGCAATCCATCTGCAACTATTAATTTTTGAAACCTAGGAAATATTCTGCATCAATACACAAATAAATAAATGGTTCACAAGAAGAAATATTTGTGAGTAAAATAAGGTCGGAAACTTACTGATATTTCTCGTGCTGGAATAAAAAGATGGTTAACAAACATTCTCACCTTCTGGAAGGAGTCTTCGTCTGTGATATCGTACACCAGTATTGCACCATTACTGTCCCTGTAGTAGATAGGACCGAGGGCATGAAACCTCTCCTGTCCCGCTGTGTCCTACAATGTCATGTCACTGAGAGGTAAGTATATAACATTCATACAGTCACACTCAATTATATATAAAGCTCATTACTTTCCTATCCGTAATGACTGAAAACTTTGGTTTGAATCTGCTTATTCTACATAGTGCATGGTCAACATCCCTTTTCTTACCCTTTGCACAGAGCAATTTTCCATTACAAATTAATGAAAGCCAATAGTGTGTTATGTGTTCACATTTAGGTGAACTAATGCAATACAGGTACACCGTCTTTTGGATATGAACTCTCTATAAATTTTGCATGTCCTGCTTCAAACCCTTCTCTGTAGAATGTTTACTATGTACAGTAAAACACATATAACGAAGTGCCAGGGACAAAGGATTTTGTTACCTTATAAATGTATTTCATCATATCCCTTAAGTTCATAATATAATTTGAAGTCACTGGGAATGTAAATTGCATCAATGTAAGTGTCAATTCATTATAAGTCTGTTCGCTATAAATGTGTTTTACTGTACATGTAATTTTTATTGTCAAATGTGTTTTTCATATCTTGCGAAATGATTCTAATGATTGGAAATAAATTTTACTCTATTCTAAGGACTATATATGTGAACAAACAAATCTGTTTTGTTCTTACCCATATAGACAAGTTGACCCTCTTTCCTCCAATGTTAAGTTTTTTGGTGAGAAAAGATGCCTAAAAGAAAATAAAAATGTTTTCATAATAACAATATGCAGGAGTACAATTTTTACTTTAAATGCAAGGAAAAAACTTGTCTGAAAATGCATGGACATGACTTAGAAAATTCATTCTTGGTTTTCCATCTTAAAATTATATCACTCAGCTATTATGGATACATCATGTTATTGCAGTAAGAAAAATACTTTCATCAAAAAATACTTTTGATCTATTTAAAATAAAAAACCCTACATACAATACAAATTTATGACCAGAGCATGGAAATTTCTGAGGTGGGATCAGGTGCCTAGGAGGAGTAAGCATCCCCTGTTGACCTGTCGTACCCAATGTGAGTCCAACATATTAATCACATTGATCAAGTAAATGGAATATGCCATAATTAAAATTTAGTATAAAATCAAAGGCCTAACAATTGGGTATGAAATATGTCAGTCAAAATACAACCCAATGATAGATTATAGCGAGCGCAGCGAGCGTCACGAAGCGTCGCTCATCACTGCGAGCTCTTAAAGCAACGCCTGGGCAAAGAGAAAATTCGGACTTTGCACATTGATCCAAACGATTTTTTTCCGCAGTAACCCCTGGTCCCATAATGCTTTGCGAATTGCATCACGCCGCAAACAACGTTCTTGCGGTAACAAGAAGTTCCAAGAAAATATAAACTCACCTTGATTTGATGAATATATAGCAGACAAATAGTAGATTTAACCTTCTTTAATAAAATTAGCACTGTTCAGACTTCGTTTTGGTAATGCGACGTCATGTGACGTCAGAGTCTAGACGTACTGAATATCACGTGCAGTTTGAAGGGCCCAATCTAATTAAAACTGAATACTTGTAAAGGTATATCTGCGCTTGCCTTAATGGTCGCACCATCAACATATTATTTGCTAATAAAAAAATATGTATCTGATTGATGATGGTAGTGCAAGAATTGTGATATTTGCACATTAAAGTTTAGATGTAAAGCTTTAATTTGCTCTATACCTTTCAGATATCGAATACACATACATGACAGGTTTAATAATTTTTTTTTTTATTTATCTTCCCGACTATGGGTTCTAGCTTCAACTATAATATGTTTTGCAGTCATGTACTCCATAGCCTAGATTGTCAAGCCGCATGTTCTCGATTAGATCCAAGAACACTTGTAGTGCTATACTCCTATATATACCTGGCCAGTCCTGTTAAGTAGCCAAATTACTTTAAATCCTTAATACTCATGCATCAAATATGTGTCATCCCATTCCAGTAAATTGGCTAGCTTTTGTATATCATATGCTATTATAAAAACCTCGAATCAGTACCTGTAATGTTGTTATGTGTTTATCATTAAATTTGTTTTCGACATATCGCAGAACTAATGAAGTTTTCCCAACACATCCTTCTCCCAAAAGCACACATTTGAAGGAGAAGTTCCGGCCACCAGAATCAGCCATTGTTGGTGTTTACAATATCTGCTAGGATCTCACAATGGTCTTGTGATACTTTGTTTATAAGGTTAAAATTAAACATGAAATCATCGTAGAAATAACAGAAACTCTCCTCTTCTCTCTAAAACATGGCGTTTCTGTATGTGTACGTCATGAAAACGGGGGTCACGGGTTTCTTCCGCTTTAAGTCCCTTATATCATTGACAAATAAAAACAAATGCCATTGTGTTTAACAATCCATGCTTCTTGAAATTTTTTATATTTGATTGAGTCTCATTTTCCAATGAGATAATAAACATATATAATTTGAATTGTGAATTTTTTTCTTTAGCCAGATTTTATTATTTTTTTAAGGATATATGGGATAGACTGGTGTGATTTGACGTCATTTCTAAATGACAACACTTTAACTTATCTTTGAAAACATGGCACTTCAGTCACAGGTAACAAGGGTTTTAATACTTAAAATTAAAATCGGTTATATGAATGAGTGACTAGTCTCACTGACATCGAAAATCACAAGGGTCGCAATTGATTTGTCTGCCAGACACCTGTTTTCTTAAAAAATATATCATGTTGCATGTTACAGAATTAAATAATTTCCTTGATATGTTGATCACAAATTTATAGTAAAAGAAAAATACATAATGAATTATTTATGTTTGTCATTTCATTTTCCTCACTGATTACACATAGATATGGCAAGAAATTAGTGCTGACTTTCACCTATGTTCAATTGTAACCCTGTTACAAGACTATTTAATCCAGTAACATAGGTTACATATATCTCTCAATTAAAGATGGTGGTCATTTAAATCCAAAAGGGGTCTTAAAATTTTTAGGTTACACTGGTTACAACTATATTCCTTTGGTGAAAATCGGTTAAAATGGTTACAGATCATCTAAAACCTAAAGGGATCTTTATTTTTAGGTTACACTGGTTACAACTATATTCCATTGGTGACAATCGGTTACAATGGTTACAGATCATCTGAAACTGAAAGGGGTCTTTATTTTTAGGTTACACTGGTTACAACTATATTCCTTTGGTGACAATCGGTTACAATGGTTACAGATCATCTAAAACCTAAAGGGATCTTTATTTTTAGGTTACACTGGTTACAACTATATTCCTTTGGTGACAATCGGTTACAATGGTTACAGATCATCTGAAACTGAAAGGGGTCTTTATTTTTAGGTTACACTGTTTACAACTATATTCCTTTGGTGACAATCGGTTACAATGGTTACAGATCGTCTGAAACTGAAAGGGGTCTTTATTTTTAGGTTACACTGGTTACAACTATATTCTTTTGGTGACAAATCATATAAAATCCAAGTGGGAACTTGTAGATACAGATGTAACCACTGTAACCATTGTAACCAGTGTAACCAATTAATAACTGAATAAATGAAAAATGCTGACCTGTTCAGCAGAAGCTGTGTTACTGGTTACAAATGAAGATATTAAGAACTAATCACTTTGTACATGTAAATGTAACCACTGTAACCAGTGTAACCCTGTAACCTTTGTAACCAGTGTAACCAATGAAAAACTGAATAAATGCTCCTTCAGTGAAAAGGCTATGTAACCTGTGTTACTGGTTACAATTGAACATAGGTGAAAGTCAGCACTAAATTCTTGCCATATATGATTACACATACAATGATTTTCCTGTGAAATGTAGCAGTTCATATAAACGAATGTCAGACACCTCGGCCCAACGACACCTCGGCCCAACGACATCTCGGCCCATTGACACCTCGGCCCCGACGGGTCGGCCCAAGATTTGAGACACTTCGGCTCACGTAAAAGACACCTCGGCACAAACAAAAATGTATTATTTTAAACATATTTATTTGATATTTTCTTAAGTATTTTATTATTATAGGGACTATATGCGACGGATTATATTATTATATATATCCATGAAATAAAAAAGAAAATAATTGAATAATCTTCCGAGAGTAAATTGACGGTAATTAAAAAAAAAATTGTCCATCACATAGTGCTTATCGTTAAACAAACAAGAATACGCAGCGCATCCTTCGAAGTCTCAAGCGCGTGTCATATGGGGTGGTGACAATGAGCAGTTAATTACGAGCAGGCTAAATTAATCCAATTGTTGGGTACAAACCACATATCTTCCTTGGTTTGTTTAGGGAAATATATCCATTATGCTCTAATATTACGCAAAGATCTATCAGGTTAACGTAACTTCTATCTGTGTAAGGTTAAGTTTAGTTTATAAATTAAAAAAAAAAGAATCAATTAAGACATCTTATTGATCAGGACAGAATACCTCAGGACATATGCTACTGTGCACTGGTTTATACATATAATTATTATATATAGTTAAGTTTACAATACGCCCCTACTACAAAGTGATTTTTAAGTAAAAGAATTCTAAATATTATGAAATGAATAAAGTTGCATTTTCATAAGCAACAAAATACATAAATAAATAGATCTCCTATCTCCCACTCAATAAATACAGCAGCTGACATCTACACTGTCGTTCGTTCAAAAATTCTGAAATTATTTGCCCGTTTATAGTATACATACCGTCATTGTAAACATACCTACATTTATATTACCATAGGGAATACAGATAATTATTCTAAAAAAAATTCCTTGGGCCGAGGTGTCTTTAGTATGGGCCGAGGTGTCAATAATTTTGGGCCGACCTGTCAGGGCCGAGGTGTCAAGCGTGACGGGCCGAGGTGTCGTTGGGCCGAGGTGTCTGTCTACCATATAAACATGATGAAACTAAGATGGAGTGAAACTTGTTACATCTGTTCTGTACATTTTTATCAGGTGCTGTATGAAAAGGAGGGTGTTTATATTCAAGTGAATGTAAATTCAAACACATCTGACAGAGATGCTCACATTCCAGGCAAAGTGTATCTTATTAAGAAGGTAGGAAGAAATTGTTGCAAAAAATGATGGCTTTTACAGTTCGGACACAAATATACAATCTCTTGATTTAACCATATGGCTTGATTTAGCTATTCAGAATAGCAAAACATGGACACTGCCATTCTTTCTATAAAATGGAGTAACCCATCTCTTATCTGCAACTCCTATACCACTATACCTATAAAATTTGATGAGACTTTCACAGAATCTTTAATATGTTGACGGTGCGACCGTTGAGGTGAGCGCAGTTGTTCACTTATTTTAAAGATCTGCCTCTTCAAACTGCACAAGAAATTGGAACGTCTAGACCGTGGCGTTACATGACGTCGTATGTTAGCTGCATTTCCATAAACAAAGTTTGAAAAGTGTAAAATTTTAACAAAGAACGTTTAATTTACCACTGTATCTGTATGCAATATCGATTAAATCAAGGTGAGTTTATGTTGATACTGCGAGAACGAAGTTAGCAGCGAGATCAACAAGCGTTGCATTGTGGGTCTAGAGGTAACTGCATGTGGAAAAAAATCATTTGGATCAATGTGCAAAGTCCGAATGTTCTCTTCCCCCAGGTGTTGCTTTAAGAGCTCGCAGTGACATGGCACTTGGCGCAGTTCGCTGCGCTTGCTATATTACCTAGTACATGTCTTGTGCACCTCCTATTTTTTGTTTTGATTGGACAGGTATTTTGGGGTTTGCCATAGCAAAACCTGGACACTGCCATTCTTTCTATAATATTGGGAGTACTTATCTCTTATCCACAACTCCTCATATACCCAGATAGCAATGAATAAAATTTAATGAGACTTTCACAGAATCTTTCCTACATAGTTCTATAATTGTACATCTGTTTTATGTTCTGATTGGGACAGATGTTTAGGATTTCTCATAGCAAAACATGGACTTCACCATTATACTCATATGGGAGTGGGAATATCATTTTTTGAGCTTAGTGCTCACAGTACCTCTAGTTTCTTGTAACCTTTATGGTATATTTGAAATAATTTGTATTTTAATTTAAAAATTCATTGTTTTCAATCTTGTACTAGTTATTTTAAACATTTCTTACATATTAACAGCCTGAGGGAATATTTATTGAATGGAAGGCAGAGGAAGTTCTGATGTTGGATGGACAGAATTCTGCAGACCAGGAGTGGGCTGTGATTGGATCCAGTCTGTCTGTGGGTTACAAACCTGATAAAGACTCAGATGCATGTGAGGAAAAAAAATAAGCCTACACCTATTATTTTTTTTATCACTCTGCTGAGACTAAAGGATGTGTTATATGCTTGTATCAGGGTTTGACACACTTCATATATAGAAAATATCAGATTGTCCAAATAAGAGGGAACCTCAAAGATTGTAAATTTTTTTTTCATGTTCAAAGGGAAAGGGGGGGGGGGGTCTTTTTCTTCAGAATTTTGTTTGAATAATATACTATGGAATCATTTTAATTCATGGGGGTCAGTGTTTTTGGGCAAACAAAATTTTACTTGTTTGTGGGGACGTAATTTCGTGGGTGACTCGTTTATACAGTACCGTAGATTCAATGAATCAAAATGTTTACAAAATAAACGTTTGTGGGGATGTAAATTCATGTGTAATGACCCACGAAATCCACGAAAATTGGTCCCCCATGAACAATGATGATTCTACAGTATACAAATATTCAAAACAGATCCTTCATAAATTCTGAAATGAATTAAATGTTAAGTTCATAAGTATTATTTCTTGCAGTAATCTTCATCATACAAAATTATAATTGAACCAGATCGAAAATGGTGTACAAGTGTCAAGCCCGGATACAGCATATTTGTCATTACATGAATTTTTTTGTTCCCCACTTTTACAGAAGTGCTGGGATATTAAATCTCATCGTCTGTCCATCTTTCAATCTGTCTGTTTTTCTGTCACAAAAACTTAAATAACCTTGATCATAACTTTGAATGAGGAAGTTTGGGCTTTCATATTTAACATGCATTTCCTCTGACAAGACTTTCTTAATGCCTTATGGTTTTTGACCTCATGACATTGCATGATCTTGAAGTTTGACCCCCAACCAACAAGACCTCAAAAACGGGGACCACAGTGCTCTAAATTTGCTTGTTATTTTATGCTTCAATTATATTAAAGTTTATTTAGCTTGCTTTGCAAATTTTTCAGATTTTACTTTTTAACTTTAATTTTCTTTTCTAGTAAATATGAAAGCAGAATTAAGGAAGAAGTATAACATCTGCTTTGACATCTTAGACCTAAAGAGCTTCAAAAGGAGTGCTCCAAATCATGGCTGGGCATATATCATATTTATCTTAAAAGATGGCACAACGTATCCTGCTCTGCATTTCCACAATGGAGGAAGCAAAGCATTGTTACAACAGTTTGGAAAATATATCCATATTAAAAGGTACCACATGTAGTATGCAGCTCCACGTTTGGTAACCGCTGCTCTTCCTATAAATCATCCAAATGATTCTCTGAACAACATATTTGGACATTGTTATTAAAAGTTGACTCTATAATAATGTGACCCTTTCTGAATTTATACTCTCTAATGTCAGTATACCTTGAAATATATTGAGTGTTATTTATTTAAACACTTTAAAGCTATAGGTAAGAGGTGTTAGCTTACAGAATGGATTACAGAACTTTAACTTCACTATCTCAAACACTGATATTTCAAATACCATGGATATTTCTAAGGGATTTGGAAGTCCCAATGACTTATTCTCTAAGTATTTAGCCCTTGATGTCATGAATCCTCAGCTATCTTGAAGTTTTATCTCGGCCCTATTGGGTTCGAGATAATGAGGTTAGACTGTATTTTCATGACATCATTCTGAAATTTATTGCAGTTCATGAAAAGCTAAAAGGGAAAAGAGGGGATCATGAACTTGCCTTTGTCCAAGCTTTAAAAATTTCATTTATCACTTTTAGACATACATGCAGTGGTAATTCTTTGGTTGAAATGTGAACTTTTTTTTGTTGACTACTGCAGGTCCCCAAATGATAATCGATTATTCATTGTCCAAGAACATGATCCTGACATGTTGTCAAAGTCCTTTGATGAGCTTCACCTCTTTGCCGACTCCTCTGGGGATCTAGTGTCTGTGAGTAATTAATTTTAACTTGCTAATTAAAAATTAATTATAATAACTAGTCTTTGTGGTTTGTATAATAAAGAATGTAATGTTTTACTACATGTATAACCATTTCTGTGTACACCATACATACCATGTCAAAATATCGTACCTTTTCTGAAAAGGATTCTTTGATAAAATTTTGCATCGTGGAAAACTTTGGAATGGGGGAAAAATCAAATGATATGCATGCTTGTGTTTTTTAGTCTATGACACAGGTAAGCATTGATTGGCGGAAACCACTGCTTTATATGCCACCATCATATTGTTGCATTTTGCAGTTGGGGGGGGGGGGTTATTGAGTACTGGTAATAACATATTCTCTGTACATTGTATACACTTAGCAAGTGTAGGAGTGAAACAGTTCACTGCGGTATCGATTCACCGCGGTATTTTTTCTCGGTTTGATACACGGTACAAAATCTCCATTTTCAGTTCAGTTCATTTTTTGGCCGGGATCCTTATTCAGTCGTGTTTGGTATAAGTAAATCCACACTACGCGGCATAATCTAATTTTTAAAACGTAAATTTTGAGGACTGGTAGTTTGTAAAATAATCTTTAAGAGTCCAATCATTCTCATTAATTCCCTCTAGTCAATTTGCACGTAGATTTAGTGACAGGATTTAGTGAAACAAAACATAAAACAATGTTGAATTTGTTTCCTTCTATCAAAATGTGTCGTATCGAAAATAACCGTACCAAGACAAAATTATACGATACGTATCATATCGTGAAGGAGTCATATCGTTTCACCCCTAAGCAAGTGGGGTACAGTTGTAATGATTATTTTATGTTTTTTAAAAAAAGAGAAAAAAAGGAATATGAGTGTATTAGTTTTATTTTTCCTTGAAATTCAAGAACATAACAATTGTCTTCCTGATCTAGATTTCCTTCCCTGATGCTGAAAATAAAAATGTTTTTGATATTGAACTTTTCAATGTCATGGAAGGAAATCTTTGAGAAGGGAAGGAGGGGGAGGGAGATAATCCCTGCTAATTTTAGAACTATCAGCCTTTTCTTGCTACATTAATTTACTGTTTTTAGAAATATTTCTACAAGTCAGTGAAATGTATATGTTTGTCTGTATTTTGCTAACGATCAGTGAAATCCTGTCATGGAATTTTAGTACATATTTTAATTTCTTAATAGCAATTCTTCTGCAAACAGCATTTAACAATATTGGCAAAAAATTCACAGCTTAATGGGACTTTATGTAGTTTATAGTGGATGTTCAATCATTCTTAGGTCTAGTGCGATATCTACTTTAAATGAATAAGTATGGAAAAAGTTGAGCTGGGATGATAAGATTTTTAAAAAGTTTTGCATATTCCGGAATGATAATAGCCATACAATATATATTAAATTTATAAAAATTCATTTATATTCATAATTAATAATGCATGTTGAATAAAATATACATGTATTCATATATTCAGAGATTAAAGAAAATAATATACTAGTATTTTTATGCTTTGAAGAAATATAATTTAAATTATCATATTAATTAAATTTCATGAATATGTAAAGAGAGGTTTATATGTACTACATGTAATAAAAATTTGATTCTGTTGATTTCATTATTCTTTATTAACTGAATCTGTCCTGGTTGTATCTATACAAAGCTTTTATAGCTTCACATGCTACTAAATCCTGTTCTCTTTAGACATGTACAATATGTTGAATTAAAATAAAGATTTATAATATATAGTACTTGAAGTGCATTGTACGATGTATCATGAACCAAGTGGTACTGCATTCTATTTGGAATTTTTTTCACACAGTTCTATGTATTGTTTAACATACACTCTGATAGTTTAAATAATGTGTTCCCTAGATTCAAGCATGCCCCTTTAAGTATCCATTCATTAAGCCTTCCTGATGAGTGCATTCTATAAGTACTCCAGCATATTTTCCCAAGTGTTTGTAAATATTCATTCATGATATAAACCCCTGAATCAGAATGGTTAATTATTTATTTCCCACCAAAAGCTTGTTTTTCTCCACATATCTTTCAAATAGTTTAGAAAAGCTATTCAGTTTGTGTCTTGCCATTGTTCAAGTAGGATGAAACTGAAAAGGGTTCGTAAATGTTTGTTTATTATTTTACTCAATTCCATATATATAGAAAGGGTTGTTTACCATGTGCATGGTATCCAAAATATAGATGTGAGCATCATGTCCATGCATGGTATTTGAAATATAGATACAACTGTATGATGAAACTGGTACTTGAATCATTCCCAGAAAAGACATGTAAATGTTGAAGAGTTTATCAAAAGTAACTTACAGTGTATTCAATACATTGTTTTTTATTATAATAGTTATATTTGAAAATACAAAGCTTAAGTACCTTTAGTACATGCATTTACATTTAATGAGTTCTAGGACCTCTGATGGCTTTTGCTTTCAAGTATAATTTTTCAGGCTTTAACAGGTCAAGGAAACTATATTTCCTGATGTCGGAATAAGTTAACATGCTATTAATTGAGGCACCAACATGACTTACACACTAACCAATCACCTAAATGAGTTGAACTGCATTATGGGTTACTACAAAAATACTTAAGAAATTTTATTCTTAGAAAAGGCAAAATTTTCTACTAGCTCTCAGAGAGACATAATCATTTATGCATTTCATATGTTAAATTATTAGCTAACATTTCCATGCTCACATTTACAAGCAGTTGTTTTATAAACATGAAATTCTAGTTCTCTCCATTCTGTTATATAAGGCGACTTGTGTACAACTGCCTGTATTCCTGTCTAGTATTGTCAGTGAATACATGTGTGCATATTTCATGTGGATTTCCTGGCCCAAGACAATAGCAACTAAAGTGTCCACACACATTGTTAAGTTTGAAAGGTAGTAGAATTTAAGAGATGCCATGCTGCAAAATTGTGAAGAATTTGAATGGTACTTTTTCAAACTGCTATGTAAGAGGGAAAACAAACTTTGTTTCTTAAGTGAGTGACTGTGAGCATGGAATATCTCTTATATATATATCTATTAGTAGTAACTAACTAATCTTTAGATTTTTTAGAAAAATGATGAAAATTATTTTCAATTGTCTTTCCTGCAGTCCAAGTGATATCACACATCGTAAATTGTCCCAAATTGTAGTAGAATGTAAACAAGTAGTAGACCATCATGCTTTGCTATTCATTTATGAGATTGGACAATTTTTCACAGTAAGCCAGGCTGTATAGCATGATAACAATTGCCATTTAACTTAAGGTAGATTCCTTGACCTGTTTAATTATGGGAAAAAAAAAACAAACAAACAACAACAATATGCACCTATAAAGATATATATTTTACATGAATTTATTAATACCAATTCTACTGATGCTGACTTCAGCTTACCTTCTCTTGTTTAGTTTAATAAAAAATAATAATAAATTGTACTCTTGATTAATTTGAAAAAGGAATATATATATGTATATATGATTCAAAAATCAGTTTATGTATTTTAATGGGTTAATTTTGCAGGGTGCCGAGTTTTGCCTACATTTTTTACCAAATCTGAGTTATTTATATCATGATATAGTTATCATCAATAGATGTACCTCATAATACATAATACTAGTACACTGTACATGTAATTATGTTTACTAGAATCATGAAAAATATGACATAACTTTTCAACTCAATTGAAATTTTATGCCAACCAAAATAACCTACCATACAAAATTATTTATTAATAATAACAATATTTTTAAACAGACTGGCAGCAATTTTTTTTTTACAGATGTGTATGTAACTGTGTGATAAATTAAAGCAATTTTTGCAGAAATTCATCAAAGACCCTTACACCACAACCCTGGGAGGGTTCTCCAAAGTGACCAACTTTCTGAGGGACACCATGTTTCAACAGGAGCCTGTGTCCCACAGACCCAAAGAGGAGGTGGCTGAAATCCTCAGTGCTGAAGAAATTCCTGGAATGGAAATCAGTCAACAAGAGGCAGGGTTTGAAATGGTTACCAAGGTAACAGAAACAAAAGAGTTATTTCAGATAATTTTAGCTCAGATATAGAATATTGCAATTGAGGATCATATCTGACTTTTTCTGGTAACTTGGATGTATGATTTGCCAGTAATGACAAAACCTTAATTTGCAGTGTATTCAGTCAATCACTAATGGCTTAAAGCTGAATGCTGATAAAATATAAATTGTACAATGTATACTGATAGTATAGTATGATTTTATTTATGGTAACTTTGTGTTATTAGGCCTTGGATAATATGAATATCATTCATAATTTATCACATCATGATACAATAAACATAATACATGTACCATACTTGTTTTAATCATTCATATTTCATATCTAAAGTATTAAATTGGATGCAGTGTTTTGCACATCACAGAACTTTGTATTTTCAATTAGTATATCAGAATATTGTCCTTATAGCCCTATAGATTATGCAGATATATGTACATGTAATTACAGTTAGACTTGGTATCTCGAACACCGATATCTCAAATATCATGAATATGTCTAAGTGATATGGAAGTCCCAGTGACTTATTCTTTATGTATTTTACCCTGGATATCTCGTATCCTCAGATATCTCAAAGTTTTTCTCCCGGTCCCATTGAGTTTGACATAATGAGGTTTGACTGTATATCATCTGCGGAAAGTTGTGCTCGTAAGTAATATAATTTAGAAATATCTGTGCAAGAAATTGACATGATTTATTCTTAAAATTCACAGACCAAACTACCCACAAGACCACAGGTGACCAGAAGTACTCCACTGACCGCAAAGCAGTGGTCAAAACACATGGATACTGACGGAAGGATAAAGAATATAGAAAACCTCAAGGATGTTATATTTAGGGGGGTAGGTAATCAAACAGGAAAATTGTAAACTCTTAGAGCTCATACTTAACCAGCTATCTCAGTTAGGAGGGAATTGTGAGGGACTCTCTTGATTTTAAGCAGTGGCAAAACCCATTCATGCTTTCCTCAAACAGAAAGCAAGTTTCCCCAGAAATCCCATTTTTGTTTGGAGAAAAAAAAAATTACAAGACAGGTTTTAATGACTCTGCTTTTGAATTTAAATTTATTTGCACGCTGGTGTTGTGTATTCAGTTCGGTACAATTCTGCATCCATGTTAACTGTATGTTGTAGGGTATAGAACTGGGGATTGCAAAAACTCCACCATATCTGTGAATTTGCTATATCTGTATTCATACTAAATGAGTTTTACTGTACATGCTGTAGGGTATAGAGCCCAGTATAAGGATAGAGGTATGGAAGTTCCTCTTGGGTTATCATGATTGGCAGTCTACTTATAAAACCAGGACAGATGAGAGGAAACGAAAAGTGTATGTATCAATCCCAAAATTGATTGTCAGGATTCGTACATGTATGTGACATACTGTATTCATACTAATCAGAGGCATAAATAACAATGAAGAGTTTATATTTACATGTATGTCTCAGATTTTAATTCATATGAAGTCAGGGGAATTGCGTAATCTACCCACTTTCCACAAACCTATTCAGCTCGTGTGAACTTTCTTTGTAGTTTTAAATACGAACATTTACATGTAGGTAAGTAAAAAAATCAGTTTTCAACAATATTGCATGTATAGTTTATGTTTATCTTTTCTAGAGATGACTACTTTAGAATGAAGTTACAATGGAAGACCATTAGTGATGCACAGGAGAGAAGGTTTTCTACTCTTAGAGAAAGGAAGTGTCTCATTGGTTAGTTTAAATTCAACATACATGAATATTAGTGTAAAGGCAATGTTTGATTGGTTAGTTTAAATTTAACATACATATATAGTATTGTAAAGGCAATGTCTCATTGGTCATTTAAAATTATCAAAAATAAGTGTAATAAGTGGCTAATTTGAAGTTAACAAAAAATGGGCATAACCTTAGAATTTTGTTTGTAGAGAAAGATGTGACTAGAACAGACAGAACCCACAAATTCTTTGAGGGAGAGTGTAACCCTAACTTACAGGTCCTCAATGACTGTTTAATGACCTACTGCATGTATAACTTTGATTTAGGTAAGTTGAGTATTAATGGGGTTTTTTTTCTTACTTGCATATTATACATGTATCTATATTCTATTTCATACAGACATTGCTGCAGTAAAAAAAAACATTAACTGCATAACACAGTATTAACAAGGTTCAGATCAACATATTTCATCAAAGGAAGCACTATATAGTGGAAGCACTCTTCCCGTTCCCCCTCCCAACATGAGATGTAAATGGCATTACACACACCTGCAGCCACAGATTCAATTATGCACAAATGCACTCATGCATGTAATACATATTTTGAAGGGGGAAAGGGGGGAGGGGGGGGGGAGAGTAAATGCACTAAACAAGAGAGCATCACACTATAGCATGTCTTACTGTCTAAGGATTATGTCAGTATTTGCCTGTAATTTCATAATAATGAAAATAAAATCTATGAATCAATTAGTAGATGTCATTACCTGTTGTCTTATTTTCACTAGGGTATGTGCAGGGGATGAGTGACCTCCTGTCTCCTGTCCTGGTGGTCATGGAGAATGAAGTGGACGCCTTCTGGTGTTTTGCCGGCCTCATGGAACGAGTGGTCAGTATCCTTGGCCTTTTGTATTAAAGTCAGACACCTTGACATGGACTATAGTGCATTTATTGCTTTATTTGTAGTTTAATGTAATAAAAAAATCAAGAACAGAGCATTTTTATACTCATATCAAAATTCAGACAAAGATTTATAATTAAGGCTTAAGTGAAGAACATACATGTACAAGTACTGGTTCATTGTTTTATTTTACAGAAATTTTTGTTTGTTAATAAGGTGATGCAGCCTTTGTTTGGCTGCATAGTATAAGAAAATGCATATGTTTGTACTATATCACAGTGTTTACTTCATTGCAGTGTGATAATTTTGAAATGGACCAGGCTGGGATGAAAGTCCAGTTGTCTCAGATCCATAAGTTAATGCAGTTTGTGGATCCTGAGTTGTGTAGTTATCTAGGTTAGTAGAGTTTGGGATTTTTATTATTGTACAGCTCTGGATTCCAAGTTTTGTAGTTACCTACAATGTAAGCCAAGTTTGGTATTTCTAGAATTTTGTAGCTCGAAGTTGTGTAGTAACTTAGGAAAGAAGAGTTTGGGAATTCTAGTATTTTACAGCACTAGATCCCAAGTTGTTAAGTTACTTTGGTAGGCAGGATTTGGGATTTCTAGCATTTTACAGCACAAGATCCCAAGTTGTGTACAGTGTAGTTAGTTAGGTAGACAGGGTTTGGGATTTCTAGTATTTACAGCTCTAACATGTCTAGTGCATGCGTATTAAGATGTACATATTTCATAAATACTTGAGTCAAAAAATGTGTCCCCAGCAAGTGATCAGCTCCTGACCATAACTAAAAATGAAGACCTACATGTAAGTTCTGCTTTAGCATATATACACTCGTTATATATATACCAATTCATCTTGACAATTTTTGTCTTCAAAAATGACTGCTGATATTTGAATGCACAAGAGTGAAGCAGAGAACTGTTATGAAAAAGAGTATATGTAATAGCAGTGTACACAACTCATTGAAAACTTGCTACAATAAAACTCCGTTATAAGGAAGTCAAGGGAACCTCAAATTTTGCTTCCTTCTGAGATTCTTTATATCCGTATAAATAACATGGTGAAATGTCTTTTAGGGGATTCATAAAAAGTTCCCTATAACTAAGATTTCTTTATAAGTTCTTAAAAACCAAGTGTTACTGTACAGTAATATGGAAGCTCAAATTTACTTGAAAAACACTTACTGATTACTAAAAATTCCTTTAAATTTTGTTAGCTTAATGAAAAATTGACCAGAAATCTAGGCTTCTGGATGGACAGGAATTTGGTATAGCAACGTACATATAAATTTTGTTTGTTGATGAAGAAAGAAATCCTGTTTTTTGTTTCAGAGAGCCATGATTCAGGAAATTTCTACTTCTGTTTCCGATGGCTACTTATTTTGTTCAAGAGAGAATTTTCTTTTAATGATGTGATGAGCCTTTGGGAGGTGAGTGTTTAAAATTTGTACACATTAACCCCCCACCCCCAACCCCCACCCCTCTCCCAAATAAAATATAGTTATGATACTGTTGTAACAAAAGATGAGAAGAACAAAGATTCAAGTCAGTGTTCATTAAATTCAAAATAGTGAAATGAACACTTGAAAAGTTTGTCCTTGAGCAGTAAAAATGTGGATTCAAGAGAAGATAACTCCTGCATCTTTATGAAATTTTTCTATAATAGGTTTTATAATCCCTCCCCCAAATAAAAAAAAATGATACTGTTATAAAAAAAAAATGAAAATAACAAAAAATCAAGTTACTGTTCTGTTGTCTTAAATTAATCACATCACAAATGCTATGAATGGTGAAATGAACACTCGAACAGTTTGTACTTGAGCAATGATAATGTGGATTCAAGAGAAGATAACTCCTGCATCTTTATGATTTTTTTTTTCTGTAGGTATTATGGACAGACAGACCTTGTAAGAATTTTCATCTCCTGATCTGTTTGGCTGTGTTAGACACAGAAAAATCAACCCTGATGGAAAACAAATTCGGGTTCACTGAAATACTCAAAGTAGGTTTTTATTAGGTTTATGCATTTACATGTAGTTTTATTGCTCATTTAAATAATTTAGATATTTGACTTCATATATAAGCAGTGTATATTATATAAAATTTTGGGTTTGATTTTAGCAGACAAAAAGAGGAAATGCATAAATAAATACATATTTGATATTTATCAAGTACATGTGCTATTACTTGTACTTTCTTTGGAAGTTTATTGGCAAATCACTGCAAGTAAAGAAATTACAGTCAAACCTTGTTATCTCAAACACAACCGGACCAATTAAAAAGTTCAAGATATCTGAATATTTGAGATATTGAGGTTAAAATTAAATACATAATGAAAAAGTGGCTGGCATTTCCAATTCACTATCCATGGTATTCAAGATATCAATATTTGAGATCACAGAGTTCAACCTGTAGTATATTGTATGACTAATTATCATTAAGTTACTATCAGAACCTGAAATGTCTAACATTTTTCTTTCATTAGCACATTAATGATATGAGTGGTGCAATTCATCTGGAGGACACATTGAAGAAAGCGGAGGGCATTTATTTACAATTAAAAGACAGCAAAAATCTACCAAGTGCTGTGGCAGAAATTATTGGACTAGATGGTGTGTCTCCAAGTGATTCAGGTGACCTGGCATCAAGGGAAAAGTCGCCACATTTAGATCTAAAGCTGAAAGAAAACGGACTCCACACACCGAATTCTGGGTCAGGCACCACCGGAAATACACCCGATGACAGTAGTATCGAAATTTTAACAGAGAACGGAGACATTGGTGTCAACAATTTCTACAACTGAGTCTTCTCTTGTGATCTGTGATGTGAACTTGAGACTTTGGCCATACAACATATTGAACGGGTTCAAAAATTTGTATGCTTGATCTTTAGGTATAGACACGTCATGGCAGTTGTGTACTAGTTAAGCAAATATAATCTCTAAGTTGTTCAAAACCTTGGTGGAGAAATGTTGCATTACAAGTATACAAACATATTTTGTATCAATTATAAAAGCATCTTTCCCAAAACAATACACCACAGGGGTGTGCAATTACAAAAATTAGTTAATAGCCCATCAGGCTAGTGGCAGTAACAAAGTTACTAGCCCGAGGTTACCAGTCACTAGCCCATTAACTACCAAAAACAATACATGTATAACAAAAAGGTAAAAAAAAAATTTAAGTTGAAATAAATAGAACAAATAATGGTTTGCGCTCTGAAATTGTCAGGTACTTCTCCCTATTTTTATTGACTATAATTGTCACTGAAATGACTGGCGATAGCAACACACAATACATAATATATAGGTTAAAACGAATTTAAGATTATGATTTTACAACAAAGTTAATTCATACATCAATTCAGTCAATGTAAATATACGTATACTTTCGTTTTAGATATACTAGCCCGACGGGCTAATGCAGTATAGATTTATGATAGCCCGACCTCTAAAATTGGTAGCCCCGGACATCGGGCGATGGTAATTGCACACCCCTGCACCATTTTGAAATTGCCAGATTATACAATGTATACCTTTATATATGTATGTTGAACAATTTTGTTACAAGAAATGATTGTGTGAAATCAGTATGAGGGAACATGATTAAAATGCTTGTCAGCAAAAATGTTAGATTTTTTTTTATGTGATTTATGAAGATGAATCTGTTTTAATTATATGTATAAATATATTCATGAATCTTTGAAATAATGTACAGTACTTGTTTGTTGATTAATCTATCTCCATATTGTTTTTGCAAACCAATACCATTGCACACATTGTAATATTGAAGTGTGAATGAAAAGCATTCAATGTGTTATTCAAAGAATCCAAATTCAAGTAAAATATACACATTATCTGAACATGGGAAACAAAAAGTTTGTTTTCATACTTATTACATTAATTTTTGCATGTTTAGAGTTCACCTGTGTTGTGAGTGAATCATTATTTTGTTTTTATTTTTGAAATGGTGCTTCTACAAGTGCTTGATTGTGTATCGAACCAATGATATTTTCTTTTCTTTGAAGGATTGTAATAATTCTTGTAATTTTTTTTTTTTTATCATATAGCCTTATAATGTTATTTAACTCTATATTTTGTTTACTTGTATAGGTACATTTAAATGGTACTCAATATTTATATTTCTTTTCAGTTTTGGAAATTGTAAGGAAGAAGTTTTTTTTCTCTGTTTTATTTTTCTTTTATTTACTGAGATTTCACAGTTTAGTGAAAATCTTTTTCTTATAGATGCTGGGTACAATTTTTTACATGGCAGTTTCATTCTGCAACAAAATAATTTTTGGTTGTAATGGGTACATATTTGTTTCTCTGTTTAGAATTTTACCATACTTATAATTCTTTCTTCTGGTTATGGACTCTTGATAGCTAATATATATTCAGTACATGTATCTCCAACCATATCAGTGTAACCAATAACAGTAAAGCTACAGATACGTATCTTATAAAATGCTCTTTGAAAAGATCTCCTTGCAGAATACTTGTAATTTCATGTTTTGCTCTCCTGATACAAGTCTGATTTTCATACATCTTTATTACTGTAACATATTGCCATATTATTTCAGCAATATCTTTTGTTTTAAACACATCTTGTTTATGATAAAAATTTACTTTATGTTTGCATTGCATAGGGCTCTAGAGGTTAGTTACAAGTAATTACAAGAATTTTATTTATGATTTAATATTTATTAAAAATTTCAAAGTACAAGTACTCTTGTACTTATTTTGTATATATATATGCCAAGTTCAATCATAATCAAAACCATTCCATTATTAAGAACCAACTCGTAGTTATGCTATGGCTATTTTTTTGACAGCTTTAATTTGTAGCATAGTATTGATAAATTATTAGATTTTGACTTGACCATTTCATAATATATCCAATTTCACAGCTTGATTTACATGCACATTGTACATGATAGTTACTTGGATCTTTTTAATGTGACTCTGATGAGAATAGTGTGAGCTGAATTAATCCCAATTTTGGCAGTTAATTTTATAATTTTTGTAAATTTTATGATATTGTCTTGATTTTTGTTATATCCTTAAAATATTCTCCACTTGGTATTAGTTTCACACCTTCACATGCCAAAGATCATGTCAAATATTCTTGAATGGAAAGAAGCAATTAGCTTATTATGACACAAAGCCTCAACTTATTAAAAAAAACACACAAAATCATGTCACGGACACAAGTACATTATAGCCACATACAGTATTTTTTTTTTTCAAAGAGGCAGTTTAGAAGAAAAATCTCTTTAGAATTATTTGTGTTAAGTACAAATGTGTGTGTATTTTCATACAAACCTGAAGGAAAAAAAAGATGTACAGATCTAGTCAGAAGCTAGAGAGTTAGGTTTATTTTTGTGCAATTTTGCAAAAGTATCATTTTTTTAGGTATTGACAAAAATAATTGTGCTCTATTTTGTCAGAAAGTCTTGAAGTAGAAAAGTAATAGAATCTTACTCTAAGTTTCAGATTTTGTTTCTGTATTAGGTGTAAAGGTGTAGGTTTTCGAGTTTAAATTTAGTAGACTACATGTACTGTACATGTACATAATGTTTGCAAATACATGTGGGTCTTATTTGTAGTTTTATAACATGTATTATTGAAATGAAACCAATACACAGAATTAGAAATATAGGTGTATGACCAAAAACATGAAACCCACCTGCTACAATTCAGATCCTGCATGTTTTAACCCTTGTATTTCCACACATTAAAAGTCTATGAATTAATGTTTAGTTGGTGCAGTCGAATTCATTGTTTTTTATTATTGATTTGTACAAATTATGCATGTATGGTAAATTATAAGATATTTCAAATAGTCACCTTGCCAAAAGTCAGTGTATATGTGGGAAATTTTTTTTATCTGTGCAATTTGGCATGTCTGTTGAATTCTTGACTACATGTGCTGCTTGCGTCATGAACGTGTTGGCTGTAACTGCTGATGTACTGTTGGTAAATCTGTTTTTTTTTCTCCTGTGATACATTTTGAGTGTCATTTATTAATTTATATCATATGACAGAAAAACTTGATTTAATAAATTATCAAGACTTTAAAAACTTTGATTTTTTTTTAATTACATGTAACTCTTCTGTCAGTCGAAGGCTCTAAGAGCTAATTAATGCTTATGGCTATTAATTGCTCAGTGTTCATAAACTTTTTGGATTGTGTACCATATCAAAAAAAAAAAAAAAAAAAAAAAAAACGGCCAATTTTTATCAAATTTGTAGCAGAATATCCTTGGCCCTATGGCTCTTATTTTTAAAATAGAAATGTGACCCTTAAGCAAGGGGAGATAATTAGGAAAATGAAAACAAAAGTAGTGGTTACTAAAAGGTCTTCTCAAGAACCACTGGGCATATTATCAGCAAACTTATACATAAAGATGAAGATATGGTGTAGTTAAACATTGTTCAAGGCATCACCCTAGGGCAAAGGGCATGGTCTCAAGGTCACTTCATTTGAAAATGAAAAAGTAGGTCACAGTGATCTGCTTTCAATTTTATGGCTATTCATTTTCAGAGCATTTTAGCCAAAGAAATATATATGGCAAAGGCAAATCTCTGTCCCTGTAAAAATCAAAGTTTGAAAATCTCTTAAAATGTGCACGATTATATAGTTGGTGTAAGACAAATCTGAATCAACAAACTGCATTATTGATTGGGATGAAAATTTGTCATTTTTGTGTCTGTGATGTCACAAACTACTGAGAGGTCCCATTATGTTTTAAAAAGAGAAAAAAAAATGCACAAATTTTGCTCAATTTTATAGAGTGCTCAGGAACTATTTTTACATATTTCATTGATATAATCCTTATGCACATTATGGCAAAAGATTGAGTCTGAGCAGACATCCGCTTGATATTTTCAAATCAAATTATTCACATAAAATTAATGCTTGGTTTTCTTTTGAAATTATTGAAATGTTGAATTTCTGTCACTTTTTGATGTCATAGCTAACTTATGACATCATGGTGGATGAAAATGTTTAATGCTTTGAGGTCTGCATATATCCTCCTGGCTTATATTAGGACATTTAGATTTAAGATTTCTCATCAAAGTTTGATTTTTGGGGCAGATTTTTGGCCATTCTCTAATTATAATATAGTTCTTTCCAAGATACATGGATATGAATATATAAAAATATAGTAAGACGTTTAGAATAATCAAACCTTGTCAGTTAAAGCATTTTAGGGCCTCAGGGTGTGTCACCTAAAAAAGGTCACCTTGATCTGCTTTCTGAATTTTACAGTGAATCATTTTAAATTTTTAGGTCACCTGAGTCACTCAGGTGACCTATTGCTATCTGTTTTCGTCCGTCGTCGTGCGGGTGTGCGTCGTGCGTAAACTTTTCACATATTCGACTTCTTCTCAAGAACCACTGGGCCAATTTTCACCAAACTTGCCACAAACTATCCTTGGGTAAAGATGATTCAAGTTTATTGAAATGAAGGGCCACGCCTTCTTCCAAGGGGAGATAATTAAGAATTAGTGAAAAATTAATGGTATCTTTTAAAAATCTTCTCAAGAACCACTGGACCAGGTAAGATGAAATTTGTATGGAAACATCCTCAGGTAGTGTAGACTCAAGTTTGTTCAAATCATAACCCCCGGGTGTAGGGTGGGGCCACAATGGAGGATCAAAGTTTTACATAGAAATATATAGGAAAAATCTTTAAGTATCTTCTTCTCAAGAACAGCTAAGCCCTGATTGCTCATATTTATGCGGACCTATTTTGTGAATTTTATAATTCGTCATTGTCAAATCTTTTGTACTAGGAGGCTTAGGTCATCAGATCTTGTCAATTGATGCATCTTAGGACTCAGCATCTGTTGACCCCAAAATAGGTCACACTGACCCACTTCTTGAATTTTGAACATACTGTCTGTGTACTTGAAAAAGCGGGCTTCATATTTTAGCGGCTTTGGTGAGGACATCAATGCGCTAATTCATGAATATCGCTAAGAAATTATATATAAATACAATATAAAGCAAGGACACGCATAGCACAAATTCATGATTGTGCCAACAACTCCATACCAGTGACTGCGCTAAATTATGAATATGTCATTAAAATACACATTCAGCATTCATTTTCAAACTATAGATGCACATCTCAGAATTTTGAATATGTCAATTAAAGTACACATTCAGCATTCATTTTCAAACTATAGATGCACATCTCAGAATCTGTGAAGCCTAGGATCACCAAACTTTGTCAATAGATGCGTGTGTAAAGCAAAGGTCACCATGACCTACCTTCTGAATTTTACAGGTATTCATTTTTAAAACATTTTAGCTAAATATTTCAGATCATCACACCTTAACAGTTCAAGCAAATTGGTGCTTTAGAGGTAAACTGGCTTTAGAGGCATCTGATATATTGAATATACCGTGCTTATACTTCTCTGATTTAGACCAATACACATTTGAACATAACAAAAAGAATCCTGATGGAATATAGTTTAATAAAAACAAAATGAAAAAATACAAACAAACATGATGTAAAATGTCACAGAATAAATATGAACATATATAAACTTGTCAATAATTTAGACACAGATGAGAAAGCAATGAAATTTGAAGAAAAAGTCTGCAACGCTGCACAATCATGTGCCCCTCTCATCAAAATCTGGCCTCCGCGTTTGGATAATTTTGGGCTTTTCTCCGCTAAAATTGATTGGGGGATCCTCGCAGATGTGAACAACAATGGCAGGGTGCTTGTCTGATGGGGGGTGTAGCTCATGTGAGGTGCCTATAACAGAAATAGAAGAATAGTACTTTTTTTGATATACGATATTTTTTCATAGTTTTTAAGGGTTCTATCAAAGAAAAAAAAAAATGCTGGACACACTTGCTGGTACACTAATTTTTGGTACATACATCTTTAAGCTAAATACACCATCTGAACCTCCAGCCACTTTATTAAGCTTCAACAATGATAACATCATCTCACTTGTGGTTTTTGTTGCAGCACATGGGGACAAAAAATATAGAGATTTAGCAAGTGAGAGAGTTTATTATAATTAGACTGCTTAGCAAATACAATGACTATAAGAGCCCATTGATTTTAGTCTGACTCTAACACAAGCTTTTTTGTAAATGTTTTAATTAGTCAAGCTCTGTTTGTGAAATACAATTTTCATAACAATTAAGATTTTAATTAACATATATTGCATCTTTGTCCATGACCATGACTTCTGACCTGACATGAACCTTTGACCCTGACATTCAACTTGATCAAATACTAGTCATATAATATAGACTAGAAATTATACTGGCCAATGTTAAATGATAAAATAATGTGTCACCCCGGCAGCCCCATAAAAAGGTATGCCTCTCCAATCTTTTACAAGCATAAAAATTTGGTAATGCAGTGAATTTATGGATCAATGAACCTAACAGAAGAGGCTATTCTCATGCCCAAAATTAGTATGTTGCATCAATTGACAACCATTAAGGCATTTATAACTTCATTGAGTCCCTTCATTCTGCTGTAAATTAGACCAATTCATAAACTAAAAGTATATATGTGTCTCATTAAAGGCCAATAAAGGGGATCACTGACACTAATCTTCTTAGCAGCACAGAAAAGGTACTGATGAACAGTGAGTACCTTTTATGTGGTGCTAAGCAGATAAGACTTAGCCTCAAGACCGTAAACTGAGAACAGATTAGGTCAAAATTTCAAATAACTATGACTTTTGAAATAATTTTTTAAACAAAAGGTCCATGGGACACAACGCTCACCTGAGTCATGTTCTTTGGAAGTAGATCCCCCCTCTCATATATTCCTATGTCAAACTTTGATCATATATTGTTGCCCCACCCTACCCCAGAAGTTATGATTTGATCAAAACTGGATCCAGTACATTACCTAAGGATGTTTCAATATGAATGTGACTACTCATAACTTTGCTGTCCTTGAGATGAAGATTTTCGGGAATTTTTTTTTCTTTATGATATATATTTGATCACCCTTTGTGGTCCCATCCTACCTCCAGGGTTCATGAGCTGAACAAACTTGAATCTACACTACTTGAGGATGCTTCCATATTACTAATTATGGCTTTGCTGCTTCTGGGAAATAGATTTTTAGATATTTCCTAGGTATTCCCATGTAAAACTTTGACTGCCAATAGTGGCCCTATCCCTACTCCCAGGAATCATGATTTGAACAAATTTGAATCTACTGAATGTACGCAGCACAGTTAAGGCTGCAGTAAGGAGGTGGGGCCTAATTTATACGGGAAATGCTTACTATGAATCACACAAAAATATAAGTTCTTCAAAGTACCACAAAATGAAATGATCTGCTATTTTAAACTGTTGAATAGCTTTAAACTACATCAATACTAACTAGTGCATGCATTATTGTCGTTGGTTAAATCCCTCAGAGCAATATATAAACAATTCACTGATCGCAGTGCACTTGTCAATGTGACGTCATATCGTAAAATTTGACGCAGTTTGTATGCAGTGAGAGGCGGATCAAGCTATATTTATACAATGAAAAATGTATTTTTTAATTAAATAAAATATAAATTGTAGATATATAGGAGGCCATTAACTTGGATGTGATGTCTAATTTATGATTTTATTCATATACTTCTCTCACATTCCCTAGACAAGCGATACTGTCGTATATTTGGATGCAGATTCATTGAAAGGTAATAGAAGGGTCGTCATAAATCGATATATTGCAAGGGCATACCCTCAATGAATTATGACAAGCTTTTACACATAAACTCAAGAAGTATGAAGGTATTTGAAAAGTGCTGCGAACCTGTTGAAATCTTGCAAATGAATTATTTATATCTATATTTAATGTACTTGACCAGCAAAATATTCAACATACGGTCTAACAAATGTAATCTTAGCAATTAGATAGTAGAATCTATATAGGTTCGCAGCACTTTTCACAAACTACAAAGAGTGTTGAAAAAATTATATGTTAAACTTGGACTTTTAACTTGGTTATGCCCTTGCAATATTAGAATTTATAGTTGACCTCAATACTTCAGGTATATTTGCTAAAATCACATGACTGCCACATCACGTGACAAGTCTAAATAAGAAATCTAATCTTCCTCAACATGTAGTAAAGTCATAAAAAGAAACGCCCATCCTTGTAAAGTATGTATTTTCTATCTCAAAAATTCGCCGATATTTCCGTTTGGCACCTTAACTGTACTGCGTAAGGAAGCTTTTCATATAAGTTTCATCTTTTCTGGCCCAGTGATTCTTGAGAAGAAAATTTTTAAATGACCCCACCCAATTTTCATATTTCCTTATAATCTTCCCTTGGAAGAGGTCATGGCCCTTCATTTGAAAAAATTTGAATTTTCTTAATTCAAGGATACTCTGTGAGAAGTTAGTTTGAAACTTGCCCAGTGATTCTTGAGAAGATGTGAAAGGTTTACAATGACAACAACAACAGACAATGGACAAATTTTGATCAGAAAAGCTCACTTGAGTCTTCATCTCAGGTGAGCTAACAAGAAGCTCACTTGAGTCTTCAGCTCAGGTGAGCTAACAAGCAACACATGTACAGTCAAAACACAAACCTATTTGAACATCTGGACTGAATATGCTTATAGTAAAATTGACCAAATATAGATATGTTTTGTTTTCTAGACATTTTTTCTTGAAGTGATATATCTTAACGGAACATTCCAATAACAATACTTTTTTTTTTTTAAATTCAACATGGAATATGACAATAAAACAACAATAAAAATATTTCTTAATAATCTTTAAAAACAATGACAATGATACTTAAATTTTATTTTTACTTATCCCTGATTATCATTATCAAAGATTTTGGTACTCTTCTTGTTTATTAGACATGATGATAATCAACAAAGTAATTTGTTAGAGATCAAATAATTTAGTAGAATAATGATCACTCCCCTCTCACCTACTCAATTTTACACAGAAACAAAGAGAAACGTCTCCATTCCTGTCAGAACTGTTTATGATTTGGCTAACTATTGATTTCTGAATCAGTCCCTTTAATGTAAACTGGCATAACTGTCAACAAATACAATTGTTTGCTGAACTCACAAATATGATTTAAGATACTTTCATAAGACAATCCTTCCCTCCCACACTATCCCACTTTATTTTAAGGTAAAATAAGACTGACCCTCTTTTCTTTTCTATATACTGGACAGTCTGCATTGCCAGAAGCATGATACTGCTAGCATTAGTAGCTACACTAACACATGCTAACAAAAACATAACCATCCATTCACAGCCATCATACAAGAAAAGTCAGATTTCTTCCCCCTAGATATCAATCAAATGAATAATAATTATATCTAGCAACAGAAAGCATCTACCAACATATTCCTCGTAGGAAAGGTCATGTCTATTTTTTCACCTCTACTTTTCGGCACTGGGGGGTACATCTATATTGGAGAAGCATAGATTTGGCCCCCCTGGAAAGATGGTATCTTGAGGCCTGACGTCATGTGTGTCATGTGTCAGTGTGAAAATACATACCAAGACTGTTAGATCTATCAACGTCAACAAAGAAAACGGGATGAATGGGTAAATACCACAGCAAGAGATCAAATCAAATGAAAGGAGACAATCTTCCCCCCCACCTGAACCCAGTTACACCTAGAAACTTCAATTAGAGTGTTCATTAAATTCTAGTAGGACTGTTTGGTGTACCTAGGAACTAGATTGACATAATTTTTTTCCCCCAAGTTTTACGTCATATCATTCACTGACTTTCATTTGGAATGTACATTTAAACAAATTTATTTCACTTGGGGGTATTGAAATTTCTAAAAATAAACCTCTGGAAATAATCTTTTGCCAATAAAGCAATAATAAAATTACATCAGATAATTTCTTTATAACTCTTAAAATATTGAGACCAGGTTTTATAAGGTATATAAATCAAATATCTATGTGTATTCCAGTCCACTAAAATTATTGAAATAAATCATACCTCCCGTGGATTTGAAAAATTCTAGGGTTACCTGGAGTACATGTACTATATATAGATCTACAGACTTGATAAGAAAACACATGGAGAAAGAAAACAATATTCTTATTATTAAATCTAGATTTTCTTTAATCAGATTACTTTGTTCTTTATAAATCTGACAAATGTCCAAGGACCCCTTAATGTTATCTCGATCTCCAAGGTCTTTAATACATTTTTTTTTAAAATTAGATTTTGAGTTTAAAAAACAAAAATTCAAACACATTACTAACCGATAAAAAAATTTCACAAAATTATGAGATAACGACTGAACAATACATCACACAACAGATAGCAGTACGTAAAAAGGACTGTTTCATCTGATTCAAAAGTTCAATAAACATGTCTACTACTATTCCACCCACATCAGATGCTGAAATTAGTCAAATGTAATTACTGATTGATTTTTAAATCTCTACTGTACAGATCATTGACTTAATGAGAAAGGTTAATTGGAACAAAATGGCAAGTTTTAGCACACAATCGGAAGGCTGGGGATAAATGTATAAATCAGTGATGATATGAAACATTTAGAATGTCAGAGTGATGTTCTAAGGACCTGTCTTCAATGGGTTATGAATTCAATTTTAGGATTGGTTAGAGACTATACAGACTGATTAAGAGCAAAAGTGCATGCACACAAAACCAGCAAATTAATTTGAGTCTGCATGTACTTTTATTTACAGAAAAATTTTGGTTCCCTAATTAAATTTGTTTTCATATTATGATGAAAAAAAATACAAATATTATATATTAATGTACACATATTATTTAATTATCAGTTTTGAAAAACCATGTTATTTTCCAGAATGATAAATCTTTTGCAGGAAACTCAATAAATAGATTGTTTTAGGCTTCTCTTACATCATGAACTTTCAAGAACTCAATATTTGATTGCTGTACAGGTAATAAGATATAAATTACATATATTTCAAGTTTCCAAAATTTAAAAATATATGCAAAAAAAAAATTAATTTTGCATGGCCTTATAATCATGTATATTTGTAATGACATGTACATGTATGCGAGTATAAATTAACACGTAAACAGATAGAATCTGTGATGAATTTTGCCAGACCGTGTAAACAAACATCCTGCAATGCTTGAAGTCACACATGTATATACCAGCTGTATACTGCTTGAAAAAATTAATTTATTAAGGAGTAGTCAATTAATTGATATAATACGGGTGTGATGATTAAATATGAAGTACAGATCAAATTTGTTTACTGCATGAGCATAATGTGTACAAGGCTTTCAAGAAGGATATTTTATTAGCCCTTGCATGTACAAGTTGAAGGTGTCTAATTATATTAATACTTCTGTCATTTGACAGTAAGATGTGGGAATTAAATGAAAGCAAGTAGGCTCATACACATAAATACTGCATAAAAATCATGATACACTGACTAATAAGACTGTTCTTGTAATTAATTTATCATGCTAACTCTGTATTCAGATTCTGGGGTGGATCCAGAAATTTAGGAGGGGGGTATGTCTTTCAGAAGCAGGGGTCTGGTGGCTGTCTTAAGGTCCCCAGAGGGTTCAGGGCCCAGGGGTGAAGCCCCCAGAAGCTCCTGAATTTTAGTAAATTTAAAAGTAAAATTTAACATTACAAGAGGCCTACCTGATGATGCTTCCATATCAATATAACAAATGGCTTTGCTGTTCTTGAGGAGAAGCTTCCATATAAATATAACAAATGGCTTTGCTGTTCTTGAGGAGAAGATTTTTTCCTATATATTCATTTGTAAAAACTTGGGCCACATTGCTCACCTGAACACATTGGCTAGGAAAAAAGGAAAAATCAGTTCAGTATTGAAAAGTTTACATGGGGAGGGAGGGGAGGGGGACTTGAATTTCAAACTACCTGATGATGCTTCCATATCAATATAACAAATGGCTTTGTTGTTCTTGAGGAGAAGATTTTTTCCTATATATTCATTTGTAAAAACTTGATCCCCCACTTTCTACATTACCTGAATTTTAAACTACCTGATGATGCTTCCATTTCAATATAACAAATGGCTTTGCTGTTCTTGAGGAGAAGATTTTTTCCTATATATTCATTTGTAAAAACTTGGGCCACATTGCTCACCTGAGCACATTGGCTAGGAAAAAAGGAAAAATCAGTTCAGTATTGAAAAGTTTACATGGGGAGGGGGGGGGACTTGAATTTTAAACTACCTGATGATGCTTCCATATCAATATAACAAATGGCTTTGCTGTTCTTGAGGAGGAGATTTTTTCCTATATATTCATTTGTAAAAATTTGATCCCCCACTTTCTACACTACCTGAGGATGCCTCCATATCATTCAATAACTGATCATGGCTTTTCTGTTCTTGAGAAAAAGATTTCTTTCCTAAATAGTCTTATGTAAAACTTTGATCCCCCATTGTGGCCCCACCCTTCCCCTGGGGGTATTGATTTGAACAAACTTGAATCTACACTACCTGAGGATGCTTCCACATAAATATGACCAATCATGGTTTTACTGTTCTTAAGAAGAAGATTTTTAATTTTTTTTTCCTATATACTCCTAAGAAAAACTATGATCACCCATTATGGCCCCATCCTACCCCTGGGGTCATTATTTGAACAAACTTGAATCTACACTACCTGAGAATGTTTCCTTATAAATATGACCAATCATGGCTTTGCTGTTCTTAAGAAGAAGATCTTTAAAGATATTTTCCTATATATTTCTATGTAAAACTTTGATCCCCCATTGTGGCCCCATCCTTTCCCTGGGGGTCATGATTTGCACAAACTTGAATCTACACTACCTGAGGATTCTTCCATATAAATATGACCAAACATGGCTGTGCTGTTCTTGAGAAGAAGAGTTTTTAAAAGAATTTTCCTATGTGTTCCTATGTAAAACTTAGATCTCCCATTGTGGCCCCACCCTACACCTGGGGGTCATGATTTGAACAAATTTCAATATACACTACCTGAGGATGTTTCCACCTAAGTTTCATCTTTCCTGGCCCAGTGGTTCTTGAGAAGAAGATTTTTAAATGATGTCATTATTTCTTCACCAATTCCTAATTATCTCCCCTTGAAAGAGGGCATGGCCCTTCATTTGAACAAATCTGAATGCCCTTCACCCAAGGATACTTTGTGGCAAGTTTGGTTGAAATTGACCCAGTGGTTCATGAGAAGAAGTCGAAAATGTGAAAAGTTTACAGACAGACAAGGATACTTTGTGGCAAGTTTGATTGAAATTGACCCAGTGGTTCTTGAGAAGAAGTCGAAAATGTGAAAAGTTTACAGACAGACAGATGGACAGACGGACACTGGACAAGATGTGATCAGAAAACTCACTTCAGCCTTCAGCTCAGGTGAGCTAATAAGTAGCCTTCAGTGGAGTTACACACCCTTTTACAAACACAAACATTTTAGTATCAATAATCAAATTATCATGATTATGCAAAATTTCTCATCTGAGAATTTCCTTCTTGTCAAACTTATTTGCTTATCATTGAGATGTGATTTGAGCCCATCTACTTATATTTCTTGAATTTAATTCATCCCCCTGTCTTTCATCATGTCACACACACCCTCTTTCATCACCCCCCCCCCTTTCGTCATGTGTCATGACACCTCTTGATTCAATGCATGTCTTAATTCTTATTTTTATAGTAATCAACAGACTTGCACATAATTTCAGGAAATATTAGCCCCCCACCCCCCTAAAAGCATGATTCCTGAGTCAGAATGACTTTCCTGTGTGCAAATGATGAAGATAAAGGAAAATAACAGTCACATAAATTATTTTCAGTATGCCTAAATTTCATAAAACTGTAAAAAGTTAAATAATTATAATGAGTATCAACTGCCAGTGAGATCGTAGTGCAAAACTTAGACAAACTTTTAAATTCTGTTCCTATACAATTGCTACATTTTGCTTACCTGGAGCCAGATTTGCAACAGCTGATATTAGGTCATAGTTTATGACTGGTTTTTCTTCGTGCGTTTGTTCCCATCCTACGGGGGGTGAAGCTGGCGGGGAGATAAGGAACTGTTTCTGTAGGGGAGGGGGGTGTAAGTGGGGATCTTTGTTTTCATTCTCTTCATCTTTAGGCTGCAATATGCATTAACAGAAATCAGTTTGACAGATGTGTGTAATATTGATAGGAATGGAATATTGTGAATTTCTGATGTACATGAACTATAACAAGTCCTAAAGTACTGAAATAACATTGAACAGGTGACCATGGTGACAAGCTAAAAACAATCTTAAAGAAAAATTAAAAAAAATCTTATTTTATATCTGTTAATTGCTTATTACATAAAAAATTTAAAGTTTCAGTTTACAGATGATTGTGAATTTAATTATGTCTGATTCATGATCAGGAAATCCTGCTCACATCTACCCATTTACATTTGATCTTTTTTTATGAATGTCTGACTTATAGCAAAAAGAGTGGTTTGTTCATATACGTTACAAATATTACCCCCCCCCCCTTTTCAGAAGACATGATGAACATAACTAATTAAAGTGACATGTTGTCACATTACTGTTCAATATTTGAGAATTACCTCAAAATACAGTATGTCAATATGTGACTCTTTTTCTCTGTGATTTGAGATGCACTCATTGAATTATCCAATCACATTTTAACAACATGTTCAAAATAACAGGCATTATAAAATTACCATGTCAGATTACATTCATGTCAGCATGTTTATAGGACAAACATAATGCTAACTTACCATGCTTACCTATTGAAGATTCAAGCTCATTCAATTTTTTTTTTATAATCATGCATGACATGTATGTCTTCTTTTTTTTTTTATTTTCTAAGCAAAATTAGTGTATATACCTGTGCAAAGTAACATTTGACTCTTTTTCCAAATAATTCTACTTCATGGAAATGTATTCTAGCTGCTGCTGCCATTTCTGGAGTGGAAAAATTTACTCGAGCACGTCGAAAAGATCTGAGGTACAGGAATGATGCTTTGTTGTCGTATTGTCTAAATAGCGACTCAAACTCGGCCTGTAAATAGAGTATGTAATATTAATGTCATACATACAAAGGGCTGGTGAACAGTTTCAACACTGTTCAAATCACTGATGGAATATTTATTTGTGTAGATGTACTGATTCAAAGACTTGCAATGCCATAAATGCATTCTCGGAGAAGCCCAATTTCTGGAATAATTGCAGAGTAATTTGACTTCAAACTATTGAAATTCCATGCTACATGGACAAGGTTTTTTCACAAATCAAGTACAAAATATTCAGTGGCTCAGGAATTTAAGGTGAGGTTAGAGGTCTCAGGTCTGCAAGTTAAATTGGTTTGATTTCCAGTAATTTTAGCATGTTTAAATTAACCTTTAACCTAGCAGCTATAGCTATGCAACTTAGCATGCACAGAGCATTGTTGTCTACATGGACAGTTACAAATGATCAACTTGTAAACTATGTTATAAACTACATCAGAGACCTAAAATACATGTAATATAAGTTATTTATGTCTCCAACATAAAGCCCAATCCAGATGATTGTGGCAAAAGGAGCATTATTTAGTCAATATATAATAAGAATTTCTGATATAGGTAAATATATATACATTAATACCCACCGTCTAGTTACTTCATGTATCCAAGGTATACAATGTACTTTTACTGACTTTTCTTACACTGCACTAGCTAACATGTAAACATATGTATGTATCAATACACAAATAGCTAAATGAATGTGTATTTCAAATATTTTATTTAACATATTGCAAAACCATGAAATTCCAAAATCTCTAGGCCAAAATCTTATAATCCTATCCAGCAAATGACGTACACAATCGTTTTTGATCATGTTCATTTCAAAACAAATCCACGTGCCTACCTTACAATTCACATCATCAAATATACACTCATCAAGATTTGTCACAATCAATGCATCGGGTAAATCCTGAAAATACAAATTGTTATCTTGTGTGTCCGTGCTCGTATCATCATGCGTAGAGGATGACAGATTGTCAGCATTTAACACATTGTAGTGATCATCTGCATCATCGACGTCCGCCATGTTTTACAATAAATCGTCGTAATTTACGTAAATCGATCTTCGCACAAGCAGAAAATGCTTTAAATAAATTATCTCAGAAAAGATTCACTGGAATGCTGTCATTTAGAATAATTAGCAAATTCTTTAATGATCTAAAACGGCGAGTAAACCTGTGATCTTGCTGAAGACTCGACGTGCGTCACAGATAGGTGTTTCCCAAATATTTATGACGTCATGTTTCTATAATTAACCAGTTTCAAAGAATTCGGCTCTTTTTTTCTTTTGAATTTTTAACTATGTTCGTCCATGTTTTGTTCACATCATATTATACATGTATATGAGATATGAAAAAAAAAAATCAATTTAATCTAGCTAGGCCTAGAGATCTGCTGTACATAGCGAGATCCTAGATTTTTCTCATTGCATAGGCTTAAATATGTGTCTTTTGATTATATAACATGGTTTAATATTATATTATATTATATTATATTATATTATATTATATTATATTATATTATATTATATTATATTATATTATATTATATTATATTATATTATATTATAATTATATTATAATTATATTTTATTTCATTATTTTATATTATATTTTGATTGAATAATTCCCATCTCTCTGATTGGCTTGAGATCTAACAATGTTAGAAAAATACTACGTTATCAGGCCTAAACCCCCCCCCCCTCTTTTCTTCCAAAGACTTTTTTTACTATTTGAAATGTTAATTGAAAGGTCGGTTCCCCCCCCCCCACCACCACCACCACTTTTTGTTGTAAAATAGTCAAATAAGGTTTTTGTAGTAGTGTATGAAGTATGAATAAAAATTGGTACTGAAAGAAGTTGGAACCTAACCACCCCCCCCCCCCCCCCCCCACACCACCACCACCACCACGATATAGGATTTTCGAGTTCGGACAATTTTCAATTTTCCTTTTTTTTTTTCTTTTTTTTTTCTTTTTGCTTATCAAGTTTTTTTTTCAGGTAAGTTGAATTTTTTTTTTCTCTGGCTGCCCCCCTCCCCCACTTTCAAAAACGATGCTACGTCCCTGGTTATGTTGACCTGCACTTGATCTTCCAGGTCAATATAAGGAATTATTTATTCTACATTGGACCAAAAATAGATAGGGAAATTCCAAATTGATGAAAATAGTTTTGGAAAGTTATTTCACTTGCACTTGACATCCACTCATATGAACAGAACATTAAGGCACATATATTCTTGGGTGAGGGATCGAGGGGGGGGGGGGTTGCAGGAGTCCTACCCCTCTCCCCACCTTTTGAGAATGTTAAGTTTTAATTTGAATTTTAAGGATAAAAAATTTCAATGAAAGCCCCCCTCCCATCGAAAAGTTTATGAATTACCTTTACATCCCACCAAATGAAATTTTGATTTGGGAGAATTCTTTTCCTTTTTAGGGAGGGGGGGGGGGGGGCTAGTCAAAGATTTTTTTTCAGGTAAGTTGTCGATTTTTTTTCATATTATGTCCCCTTTTTCAAAACGAATCCTATATATTGCCTGAGATTTATTTTTTCTACATTCTACATCTATAAGCCCGTTTCTCTCATTACATTCGGCTAGTACTTCAATAAATGTGAACAAGTAAGATGGCACGGATTGCTTAATGAGTGTGTGTCATTTAATCATTGAATCATAATTATAATAAAACAATTATTGCTGTTTTTTCGATCAATACGATGATTTAGCCACCTTCGAAGTACAATATACACCTCGCCCTTCGGGCTCGGGGAATAGGTGTCTAATCATCACCAAATAAAATTTTGATTTGGGGGGGGGGGGGTCTAAATCATCATATTGACCTCAAAAACCAGCAATAATTATATTATATTATATTATATTATATTATATTATATTATATTATATTATATTATATTTTATTATATTATTATAAATATGAAACTAAATGAGGTATGCGCGTAGTGTATGACCCATATACTTGTGGACAGGACCACACTTTTTTATCATGTATACCATAAGAAAAATCGAGAAAAAACGCAAAATATATAATCGTTCCAAACACCCCAAAAGTAAAGTGGGGGTATTTTTTGTATGGAACGATTATTTTGCTTTTTCCGATTTTTCTTATGGTACACATGATGAATAAGTGTAATAAATATAATTTGTGGAGAAATGTCCAACAAGCCCCGGGGTTGAATGGGGGGGGTCCTTTCCACAAGCACCTGTGTGTATGACATGATTAAGAATTTATAGTGTTGGTTATGGTAGGAGAATGGAAAAAAGATATATTTATCTATAATAGAAGTTTTTTTGATTTGCTCTACAGAAATTGAAGATTCCGTTATGCTGTTAATGAACTGCTCTCTCTCTCTCTCTCTCTGAAAAATAAAATTAGGTACATGTAGTTAAAAAATTCGTGTAAAATTAAATAAGAGCTCATTGTATATATTTAATTATCAGCCACATGCAGTATAATTGCATTCAAAGGGGATATGCAATATGTTAGGGGGCCAAATATGAATTTTTTTATCTAAAAAGGTTATTTTCATCCCCCTTTCAGGTAAATCTAAGGTAGGATGTAATTAACCTAATTGATATAGAAACAAATGAACTATCAATACAGGCCCGTAGGAAGCAATTTAAGTTGGGGGGGGGCACAGCCATATACATTTTCAGTTGGGGGGGGGCACTATCAATATATATAGTAATCTAATTATCGGCAAAATTATTGGGGGCACGCCCCCCATGCACCCCCCGGTTCCTACGGTTATGCAATACATCTGTTGTTATTGCAAGTGGGAATATAGGTGGAATTGGGATTTTCTATAAAAAAAAAAAAAAAAGAAGTGGGAATAGATGGAAGACACCCTTTCAGTCACTTTATGTTCTGATATGAAGATTTGCGAAAAAAGTATTACCCTTTGAACATCTATAATTTAAATGATAACATATGTTGAAGGAAAATCATTGTAAAGTACTTTGTAATCCTGACAATGCAGTTCATTCTAGAAGGCTATGCGAATTTTTACATGAATGTTTTGAATTGCGTTCTAAAAATAGAGCTCAATAATATATATTTAATGCATTAATTAGTTCACCTATGTCCATATTATACTGTTTATACTATTTGCATAAGATTATGTATAATTTCGAATTCAAGTTGTAAACGTAGTTGACTTCACTGATTTGTACACTTGCATGTATGTATGTATTTTAGTATGTGTTTTAGTAATCTGAAAACACACTGTATTTTTTCATTTTGTATGTAACATGGTTGTATGCCAACATATTTGGTGAATCAATAAATAAATTGAAAATTGACTGAGCACCCCCTCCCCTCTCTTTTGAAAAACTATGTTATGTCCATGGAAGAAGCATCAAATTTATCTGAATTTTGTATCAGAATAAATGCCACAATGCCAGTACAATGTTTCATGAAAAAAGAGATATATAACTCTGTTAACACATCACTTTTAAAGTGATGTACTCGGCCACAAATGTATTTTTTTTAAATTTATAATCAAAACTTTGATGAAATGTTCTACCAAATAAAAATTAAACTTTATATCAAATGATATACATTGTATAGGGAAGTTTTAAATTAGATGTTGTTTTACTACACTAACAATATAATTCAATCTTACAATTAAATTTGAAGCTAGAATTAGATCGGTTGCATATATGCTAGTTTTAGGTTCACTTTGCCATAGGTAGAGCAAGACTGAGACTGAGATATCCATGCAGAGAGAGAGAGAGAGAGAGAGAGTAATCCTGCATGGCTCTCGATCATGGTTTGCTAGCTTTACTCTGTATGGTCTAGTATATAATTAAGCTGAAAGTTCGTTGAATAAAATTTGAAAAAAAATTAAATTATTACAGTATAAGGGATACGAAAGCCCATTGAGCTCATATTCGTAGATAAAAAAATATATTTTTCGCGTTATAACGCGAAACTTTCGCGAATAAACGCGTAACTTTCGCGTTATAACGCGTATCTTTCGCGAATAAACGCGAAACTTTGGCGTTATAACGCGAAACTTTCCCTGTAAAACAGAGACATTTGCATAAGTCTACAGTTTGTTTTACTTTTTAATGATCTAGTTTATTCATTACAATGAAAAACGAAAGACTATTTTGAACTTGGATTATCACGAGCTGAAATTTTATGTTTTCTCGCCATTGAATGTGTCTTTCCTCTTTCTAAATCTTTTTTGCCGTCACATTTTGTCTTTCTCAATGCTGTTCAATACAAGTGTTGAAGCGTATAGTAGAGGAGCGAAAATACAAGTCTAATCTTAATTAGATTGAACACTCTATATAGAATTTGAAATAAAAGATCTCAGAAAATTGACAACAATGAGGTAAATTTGTATTTCACGGAACAATTGTGTCACATCACATGAGTAACCTAATGTGAAAATTGGATGACAAATATTCGTATCAAATATTTCATCTCCGATAGACTCACTGAAGAAATACAACATTGTATTTTAAGGTTGCACCATTTGGTCATACCATTACTTACGAAAACATTGACAATTTATTCAAAGAAAGCAACGAGTGGAGATCTTCCTTAGAAAAAAAAATAGTCTACAGAATTTCTTGGATTCAACAAGTGAAAAACAAGAAAATCTTTAAAGGAATATTCATTTAATTAATTAGTAAGGGTTTTGAGATTAAATGCAAAATCAACACTGATCTATCCATTTCTCGCATCAATTCTCTTTTACATCTTCTGAAGAAATGTCATTTATAAATTCATAGAAGTCCCCCTCTGCGTTCATGTTTTTTATCTGTCAGTCAAGATCACAGGTTCCTGAGTAACATGACTATATATGCATAATTTCGCGTTATAACGCGAAAGTTTCGCTTTTTTTTTTGCGAAAGTTACGCGTTTATTCGCGAAAGTTTCGCGTTATAACGCGAAAGTTAGGCGTTTATTCGCGAAAGTTACGCGTTATAACGCGAAAGTTTCGCATTTATTCGCGAAAGTTACGCGTTTATTCGCGAAAGTTACGCGTTATAACGCGAAAGTTACGCGTTTATTCGCGAAAGTTTTGCGTTATAACGCGAAAAATATATTTTTGTTACCTACGAAAATGAGCTCAATGGGCTTTCGTAATAGTTTTATAGTAGCAGGGACCTATATACTAAGTTAGTATATAGGTTCCTGATAGTAGATATGTATTTTTTTAACAATTATCGATGATGGGGAGTGCCTATGATATAATACATGTATACATTGTTATATACATTGGATCAAACAAGAAATGTGAGTCAAGTCTAGCTGGAGGGAGAAGATCTAGAGACTACACAATTAATTTTAGTAATAAATGTAAACAGCTTTTTTTTTAAAATTTTTTTTTAAATATAAAAATTCAACATCTCATTTCATAAAACTTCCAGGCTTAGAGCAAAATTTCTGGCACAAGAATTTCTTTCCCAGATATCCTAAAGCATTACATTCTAAAATACAATGTATAGTGGTATTCAGAACCCAAGGCCACACAGTTACCCCCACCCCCCATATTTCCAGAAACTATTAGCGCATTGAAAGGAGGGTAACTCGTACCATCTTCGTAAATTTGGCAAGTCGTAAAATAAACTTATCCTTCCTATTCCACAGAAAAAAATTTCTCAAATAAAGTTTGAGAAATGGACCCATCTTAAGTAATATGATCATATAAATGTATCTTATGTGATTTAAACATTTAGAAACAACGAAGCATCCTTGTCGTTTATTAGTTCGCGCGCATTTCCGGCAACGAGTGCACATGGTTGACAGCCAAAATTTTGCTAAATACACATTGGTTTCGGTTGAGCAGTGATGGATCAAATCCCGGCCGCCATGGATCGGCACTTGGACGTGATTCAGTGTCGCAAAGGTAAATCTTATTGTTTTTGTATGAAATGCCCACATTGTCATTTCTTTGTACTCCAAAGAACCAAGCTTAATTTTCTCTGTGAGTCTGTCATGGATTCACGATCGACATAATTGAATTGTCAAAGTGAAAACGATATTTTTAATTGTGGATTTTAATTTGTTGTTTATTATGTGGACCCACGTGGTTAAGGTCAAGAGCAAGTGTGTCCTGATTGTATTTTAAGAATTGAACATTCTCTGTGCAATATTGATTGACATTACATGATTGTGCTGACTTATTAACCAATCAATTATCTTGTTGTCCTGCTTTATAATTTCATTCCAGAAATAAATTGCTTTATATAACCAAAAAGTTCTTTGAGCATGTTGAGTGCAGAGGCTACGGATTTCTAAACAGTTTTTCACGTATTAATTGTTTTCAGAACAACACACAAAGTTGAAAACTATCACAGCAGCAAAATAAGACGTTTCTTTCATGTACTAGAATAAAATGCACATTTTTAAAAAAAGAAAGTATTATAATATAGCTAAATCAAGCTAGTTTCAATAGCTTAATCAAGCTTTATAGCTAATTCGAGCTTTATAGCTGAATCAAGAGATTGTGTCAGACCTCACCATGTCATTATAATTAACATTTAACAAACTTAAAAGCTGCATAGGGAACAATGCCTGGGAAGGTCAAAGAACAGGAGGGTCCAATGGCACCATTTTTCCTGAAATGATGGGTCCATTTTGAAAGTTTAGGGGCCAAGAGAAAATTCATTGGGTCTATTTTAAAATATTAGGTGTAAAAAAAGTAGATTTAAGAGATTGTCACTGTCTGTTATTTTCACCTTAAGTTTGATCACTTTTTGTTGTATACTTGGACAACAATATTTATAGGAAAATCATAATAAAAAAAACTATAAGAATCAACAAATCATCATATCTCACTTTGACTTTATGAATTCTTTACCATATCATTGAACTTTGTATGTTCAGTAAATCATTCTAACATGACAAGTATTTTGAAAAATAATAATAAAACTAATTAAAGCACATTTTTTTTTAAAAATTCTAAATGCTAATTTATGGATTGAGGGAATTAAAGGCCAAGATAAGTAGACTGTTGATATGGTATATTACATTGTAAGGTAGCATTTTCTATGTGCGATACTTTCATGAAGTTAAATTTGTGTTGCTGTATGGTCAGCCGTCCAAAACAACTGAACAGTTACAAACCAGGTGGGAGGAAAAGCTTCTGTTTCCTTGGCATCAGGTTGTCAATATGTTATATGGCATTTCTGATTTTATTAATCCATACTATCATCATCATTGAAATAAGATGGAATCGTCTATAATGCGCTGACTGTGATGAACTTACAAACTAAAAAATTGTGTTCTCGCATTCTACAGAATATTTGCGAGGTGTGCTACATGGCGCAGTGCAACATTACTGCATTGCACCATTTTTCGGCAGTATGCACTTATGGCGCATGGTGCAGTCCCTTCCCAGGCCCCGAGAGAAAATAGTCTTTCGTTTGGTCAGAAAATTAGGGGTGAAGCAGTAATAATTTGTTTTTGTCTGCAATAGTACTTAATGGTTCAATAAAAGTATAGGTGCTGTGGATGTTACAAAGAGCAATTTATCAATTTATCTCAACTTCTATAAAGATTTTCTAAGTTGGGGATTACAAAGGAAAGCACTTTATTTTTTTTCTATTAAAAGAAGTGAAGACAGATATTTCTGAAATTTCTAGATTCCTTCTCTTTTCTTTATTCTCAAGGACAAATTAGGTGTATGGCTAAAATTTTGTAACTGAGAGAAAAATTTCTTTCTCTGATTTAATCCCTACTGCAAACATATTGTAAATTGTGTATTTCACATGATCCTGAAGTAAAAAGGAAGATAAATAAATTTAGTTTTAGCATTTTCATTCTCTGGACTGTTGACCTAGTTATGTAGAATTCAAATAATGGGAGGAAAAAAAAGATTTTGCAAGAAAAGATTTTATCGCTGTGAACCTATACAACTCATCTGAAATAAACTAAGGGCCATCATCTTTTAAATATCCTGTATAGCTGACAATGAGGAGTTGTTCTTGAGTGTGTGTAACTGTTTCTGATTTTTCCAGATCAGTTACGAGCAATAATTTACTATGGGAAGATTAAGGGTTCGACAGCTCTATCAATCTGTGTATCAAATTTTAGATCAATTAAGTGCAGTATAGGAATACCTCTGGAATTTATGGCCACACATATGATAGGGTTCATTGTATGCATATATTGTTTGAAATGCAGACTTGGATTATAATATAATTGTAAAGAATTTAAAATGAACTAAACTGGGAAATCTTTTAAAAATAAGATATAAAACATCTACTTATATAATAATACCCACTTTATCAAACTTATTAACTTATTAATTAAAATACTTAAATTTATTTATAAATTATTTATCAGGGATTATTTGACTTACCTTTTCATGTAAGAGGAGAAAAATGAGAACAATGGCAGGAAATTAGTGCTAGAGGAATGGGTGGATCTAGAGGGTCTGGGAAGGGAACCCCTTCTCTTGGAAATTAAGTGTACATGGTAAATAATTAATTAAGGAGGCTGGGGGGGTCAACAAATTAACTATCAGATATAACTTATTTTTTTTTAGATATGATATCTTAAGCTGTCAACTATCATTTGGCAAAGAAAAAATTCATACATTTTAGTTTTAAAATTTGATCATTTTTGTATATCTTTAAATGGAGCTTTTCTTCTAAAGGAGATCAATATAGTCTAAAAGTGGCCACGACCACCCAGCCCTCTTAAATAAAAACCTTAGAACCCCTCCCCTTTAGAAAACATGGACCCCTAGGGGTTGAGTTGGAAGACTCATTCATATGAAGCTTATTAAGAAGTGAAGGAAAGAGGCTCAACATCCCATCCTTCGCTCAAAATAGGTTTATCCTGTTTGGGAATGGAGTTTACTTTTTTTTTTTGAAAAGGGGGGGGGGGGGTTCCCCTGTCAACAAATTTTTGGGTTGGATTTTTTTGGCCTAGGGTGGGACCCCCCCCCCCCCCCCCCCCCCCAAGAAATCCCTGTATCTGCACCTGGGAGGTGTGAATGTACTACAGGAGTTCAAGGGCATGCCCCTTGAAATTTTCAGATGAATGAAGCAAAATTCTGCATTCTGAGAGAAGAGGGGGGATCATTTCTTGAACTATCATTAATAAATATATTTTAATTGTATAAATGCATTTTTAATCAGGAAATTTGCTGTAACTAAAAGGGCCATTCGACATTTTTTTGCTACTGTTTACCGATAGTTAAAAACGTATTGATAAATCCCTGTTTACATTATAATCATTGATGAATTACATTCTCAGTTTTATAAAGGTTGAATAAAAAAAAATATGTGTCCATAAAAATGAAGGTTGTTAGATTTTAGTCTTACTGTAGAGTCTTTAGAGATAACAAGATTCATTAGACATGTTAGAATTGTCATTGTAATATACATAATAAAGGTTAACTTTTAACCTGTCTCTTTAGTCTTAACATTCTAAGAAACATCCCCTCCCTCAACACACTGATGAGTGAACATGAAGATGAACAGAAATAGGGTTTAGAAATGTCAAGAACCAGAAAAGTCCCAAGTATTTTTTTTTCATCCATATAGATCCCATGTGGGCACACTCCCAGATTTCTAATTTGCTTGGCACAAAAGACAGGGATATGTATACCTACACAGTTTGTGTCAATAAGTGATTAGCTTTGTAGCTGGATATAGTCCATCACTTCCATGTTATCAGTTCTCCAGTTAGAGAGGGGCTCTTTCCTTATCACGTCTATTCAAACAAGCTCACTTTCTTCTGTGGATTAATCAGACCTTCAGGGATACAATAATTGTTTCAACAATCTCAATTTCTTCTCCTTGATTGAAAAGGGAAAAATTCTTTATAAGAAGTTAGAGGAGATAGGTGTAAGGCTAGACTCACCTTTTCACTATATATCTTATCATAATATGTTTTCAATTAAAAAATGCGAAGTCAATTTTGCAAGGTTCATTTGATCAGAGTTACATGGTCGGTGATCAAAGCTATATATGAATTATTCATATTGATCAGTAATTGAAAAATAAAATTGTAGTTGTAAACAATATTCTTGTCATAAAACTTTTTTTCATTATTAATTATTCTGGTCATTATCATGAAATGTTTAAATTTATAAAAAAAGAACTGCACATCTGATTTTCTATAGACTGTAGACTTGCTATATATGAAGTGCTTTCTTCATTATACTGTGGTATGGCACAGAAAACATACCTCCAACTGTCTGCAAGATTTCTTTCTTTTTTTTTTTTGTTTAGCTTTTTGTTTCTTTGCATTCTTTTCTATTTCCACAAGAATGCAAACACAGGCTTCTTAAAAATAGTTTGGAATAGTTTTTAAACAAAACTGTGGAGCAATAGGAAGCCATTCACACAAAGTTTACCTGTTTGGTCATTTGGACCACTGCTTCAGTAGCAATTCTTCAAGGAGAATCATTAGAAGTATTTTTTTTGGGGGGGTGGGGTGGGGGGTCTACTTTCATGGATTTTATGGGTAGTGCATGTATTGCCATAGTCTACAAAGGGAATGGTATAGTAGTAGTTCTTACATTTCAAAGTTTATTTCAGCTGTGTTTAATATTTAAATCTTAGGTGCTTGGGAGTCAGAAAGTTCCATTATTATTAGGATCATTTTGATCACTTTAAGATTAGCAAGCATTAAGAGCTGTTTGAATGGGACTTTAACATGATATGTGATGATCCTTCCCAACATCATGAAACAAAAAGTCCTAATGTATGTAGCCTGGCTACATCTAAATGTAATCATTCATTTTTATGCTCCCTCCACACAATTTCTATTTTTCTATCTTACCCATGCCTTGTAAGATATTGAGGAATTTGTGGTATTCATACTGAGGTTAAATTTGTCCTACCTTATGAACAAAGCCTAGAGGTGTGATTTCATTATTTTGTCATACATGTCTCGACTAATATACATATAGCTAGGTGAAGGTTATATTTTGAACATTTATGGATTTAGAACCTTTCATTATTAATGTATTCTTGCTGTTGATTTAATTACAAATACCTGTCTTTAAGGTGAAATATACAAATTAACTTAAAATTACAATTTCTTGTTTCTTGCAATTGTACATATTTTGATGCTCCTGTATCAATGTGATTATGCAAACCTCTCTAAATCTTTCTGGAAATTTACATATGATGTTAAAGTTTTCTCGTTTTATAATTTATTTAGATGGAGGGATTCTGCTGGGAGCGTCCGGATTAACAGGGAGGTACTGGTATGGATCCCTATGGTACTACTCAAATCCAGATGGTGCTCCAGATGTGGAGAAGTGTACAGCTGGAGTTCAGCTGGAGGCCGGATTCAAGGAGGCTGTTTGGCTGGATGACACAAAAGTCCTGGTGGGATTAGACACGGGTAAGTGGTGGATCTAGGTTTTCCATTTACCACTATCTTGGTAGTCAAAACTATAGAGAAATGAAAAGTGATAATTATATTTATACCAATTTTTTGGTGGCATAATTTATTTAGCATTCCAAGTACTTTGTATCTCCCAGAGAAATATTTCAGTAAAAAAAGCACCCGTCCAGTACTTATCTGTGTATTTCGTTGTTTGAATATAGAATTCTATTACCAAGATTATGAAGGCATTTCCAAGACTTGAAAAAAAAACCCAGCGAAATGTTTTCAAATACCAAATGTTTCCAAATACCATTTAAATGTGTGTTTTAAAATGAAAATATCTGATCAAGACTATTTAAAATATGTTAAAGGTTACAAAAGGTGAAGGTTTACTGAAAGTAAAAAAAGAAACTTGAGTGTAAAACAGTCATTTAACGAGTCTCTGGGGAGGTGCCAGCTCTGATAAAGAAGGATTAGGCTAGGCAGGGCATAGTACAGAACTAATTGTCTCTGTATTAATGGCATGTTAATTAATCGTGGCACTTCATGGACACATACATATAACCGTTGATAAAGAAGGGGACATTTATTCCAACAGTGTGTTATTGTGTCTGAGTAAATGTCTGTGATAAAATTTTGAATCAAAATTATTCTATTGAAATATACAAATTTTGAATAGTAATGTAGGTGGTAAATATTGGGGACAAAAATTTTGAATGGCTTTTTGATGAGAATTTGATACTTATCTGAAGATTTAATTAGACTACTGCCAATACAAGTTTACCTGCAATTAGGAATTTGCAAGTTAGGAGAATTTATAAGGGGTTTGGGGTGGGGGTAGGGTGAAGGGATTAGTATTATATTTAGTTAGTTCTTGAGCACAGGGCATACTATGTATTTATGTTAAGGGGATTCATAGTAATCAACATATTCTAAAGCTATCTTTTTCATTGTTGTAACTGTAAAGTCTAATTTAAGATTCAAGGTCACATTCAAATGATTAATTATCTGGTAAATTACAGTCATGATCACGATGAATAAAAATTGTCAAATAATTGAAAAGAAGATTTCAAAATTCATCAAAATCCAAACAATGTAACCTGGTAAACTTTTTATTTGTAAAACAAAAATTAAAGCATAAAAGTGTTCTAAGAGGAGATTGAACACAGTGAAGGCAAACAAATGATCATTGTGCAAGAGGAATACATTGTCTGCTAAATTTGCCATCTGTTTTATTGTGCACCTAATCTACAGAAAAAGCAAGCAAATGAGTTTGATCAGAGTGTTATTCTTGGATGTCTACTTCATGTTCTATTTCTCTGTTTTTAGGTCCCCCACAACAAATTGTTTGTTTCCTCTTACTTGAAATTGACAAACTTAGTAGAAGACACCTTGTTTGATTGACTCATAAATTATGTTCTTTGTTTAAATGGGTTGATTTTAGGATTATTATTTTGTTCAGAATATATTATTTTGTTGAATATGTGAAAAGAAGAGGGTTTTTATATTCAGGCCTCACAAAACTATTACATATTACCGGTGCATGTACGGAGAATGTATGGGATGTAGTGTTATTTGCAGAGCAGCCATTATAATTCTATCTTTGGTGACCACAAAACTGAATGAAGGTGTAGATTACATTTTGAAAAAAAAAAAAAATCTGGATTTTATCAAAGGATGCTACAAGAAACAAATATGTATTTTTGTTTGACCTCAGACAGTAAAGCACTTGCAGTATTACACATTTTATCTTCTTGTTTCTTCTAACTCTTGATAATGTAAAGTGTTGTCCCTTTTCTTTTACATCCTCCTTACTGCAGTCATATATGTCCCAGATTTAGTTAGTAATCTCTCAGATGTCATAGTGTACTAAGTGTAGACATGCTGTGTAAGAAGGGAGAAGAATTTAGTAGTGTTAATTGGAAAATCAGACTTGGAGTATTTACAAGATTTGGAAGAAAGGGAAAGGGGGGGGGGGGTAACAAAATGAATTAATAAACCTGATTTCACCAGAAAAATATCAATTGTGCAAGGTCCTTAAATTACTTACTTATGCCTGCTACCCTTTTTGGGGCATAGGCCGCTGACAAGATTCCTCCAGGCCTCTCTATCCTGTCCTTATCTGTCCTTAAAATATCCTGACATTTTTAAAGGAAAAAATTAGTAAGGAAAAAAAAACCCACACACAGGTTTAAAATTTTCATCTAAAGTTCATTTTGAACCCAGGTGCAATACATGAGAATTTGAAAAATGGTCATGCAATGTTGCATGTCTTTGTTACTGTAGGTGGCATTGCCGTATGGGAGTTGGTGGATAATTTACACACATTTGTCCACTTGAGTGGAGCGGTGGAACATGATGACCTTGTGACCTCAGTAGCTGTGGTCAGTGGAGGAAAGAAGGCTGTCTCGTGTGGAGCAGACAGATGGTTAGTGGATCTTACCTCTTTTTATTAAGAAACCTGAAAACAAGTATTTCAGAGCCAAGAGTTCAATTTATCTGGATCATTTTGAATAGTTATGAATACCAATAGCAATGAAAAAAGGAATTTTCATTACAGGTAGTGAAATGTTATGTTTGTTTAATGTTGATGTTAATTTTTTTTTCAGTGTCAAAGTCTGGGATTTAGAAAACATGCACTCCACAAATACCTATAGAGGTTAGTCCTGTTCTTTCAAGCTTAGTATATTGTGGAGACATACCGTAATGTCACGTGTAAAGGCCGCACTCTTGTAATGGACACACCATGGGGGAAAAATCCGAGAAAAAAGCAGTTCCTATAGATAAAACGCACCCCCAAAAATGCAAATATGGATGTATCTCTTTTTGTCTATCTTGTATTTTCACAGCACAACTAATTCAAAGAAAAAGTTTAAAAAGTTAGAATATTCGTAGCATTTCAAAAACAAAAGTAGGATACAACCTTTATTTTTCTTAGCAAATTCAGTTTACATATAAGCTTTATTTACATGTATTAAGTTTAGTTTGTATTTTAATTGTTATTTGATTGGTATAAATTAAAAGCTAAGTCCCTAACTTTTTTTCTATAACCTCAAGCATGTTGAGATATTGTGCTGAAAATGCATTCCAAGTACATGTACATGTGTTTATGTAAACAAATCATCCCAAGCATAATTAGTGTCACACTTATGTATATAAGTGATACCAGGTAATTAAAAAGGTGTGTAAAACATCTATTGTTAAATAAACTTTGCTGATTACGAGCATAGGGGCTTGTCTTCCGGATTGCTTAATGTAAAATAAATTTTAAAAAATTTTTGAATCTACTTTAAAGACACTTAAAAGTTGTTACAATAAAGATTCTGATACTTTCAGTCAAGAAAAACCACAGTGATGATTTTCCTAAATGTTGATGCGTTTGTCAGTCGTCAACACCAGTTTAATCTATGTCTAGAAAAAAGGGGGTTGAATTTAGTTCCTATGTAATGCACGCACCCAAACTTTTGAACAATTTTCTGACAAAAAAAGTGCGCCCAATACACGTGACTTTACGGTATACTTTTTGCTTTGGGTTTATATCCATTGTTTTTAGAAACACCGCAGTGAATTAAGGTTTATTGTCCATTTGTTCACTCATATTAAATTTTGCCTTAATGCTAAATGAGTTTCCAAAAGAATTCTAATTTATTATTAAAATGCACATTATTTCAGCATTCCTTGGAGATAATTTGATAGAAATGGTCTTTTAAAATGACAATATAGAATTATTCCAGTAGGAGAGTTATCTCTCTTATCAAAGATCAGTGAACCTTAACAGACAAGAAACTGCAAATTCAATCTGAGCATAATAAAAATTTCCTCAGAAAATTGCAACCAAAAAAAGAAAGAAAGAGAATGATAATCAAAATCAAAGATACAAACTGTAGAATGATGATATGTTTGAATAGAAATTAATGAAGCATTCTCTGGAGGAATTCTAAATTCAGTGGTGTATTGTATTTCAGCTCACCCTGATGTGGTGGAGTGTGTAAGCTGTCATCCAACAGAACCAGCTTTGTTTCTGTCATGTTCTGCGGTAAGTTGGCCGTATGGATGGTTGTTTACTTAAGATGTGTACTTCTGGAGAAAGGAACAGTTATTCTCTGTGAACAGAAACAAGGATAATGGCATGCTCTTGCATGGTTCAGTGATTTAAAATTGAAAAATTAAATTAATCATGCACCTACATGTATACATGCCATTTTTTTTAAAGGATAGATAGAAAACTTTTGTCAGAATTTAATAGAGATCTGCATGCACTTATAATAAGGTTTTAAGTCTGACACAGCTAAATAAAATACATGTACAAACTAGGGAAAGCTCGATGATGTAATGAAAAAACTTGGAGATATCAGGGGATTCAAGATATCCAGATTAAAAATATTTAAATAAAATGTGGTTCGGACTTCCTATGCAAGGTTTATATAGATATCAAAGTTCAACTGTACTTCAAACATGATTTTAGATACAAAATGATATTTTTGTGATGGTTGTACATGTAAAATTTGTTTTTCAGGATGGCAGTGTATTTCTTTGGGACACACGTAAATCCAGACCTGTGACAGATATAGGTGGGTTCCCTCCCTTTGTAGTTCCCGTAGCTAGAGTAGGTGGGTGTAGGACAGCAGCTTTGACTAACCAGTAACAGTTTAGTAACACTGAACAGGAGAAGTAACTAAACAGAGTTAACTAATCCAGTTACAACAGAATTTTTTGTACTTTAACATAACTAACCCACTAACACTAAAAGTTGCTTATTACACTTAACTACACAGATGTGTTAAGGCAGTACCCAGATCAAATTTCAGCGAATTTAGACTTTCTTTTCGTAATATGTAACATTGATAAATCGGAAAAGCCATAGATAAAACATTTACTATTATTATCAATTGTATAGACGTCATTGATTCTTAGCCTAAAAGAAGCACTTCACCACGACGCCTTCACGTGACGTCTATAAATAGAAAAATTGCCTTAATGAAAAAGTGAAAAGTTCAACACTACCCCGGAGATAATTCATTTCTTTGAGTGAAAATGATTATGTAAAAACATCACTGGGTCATGAAAAGTGCTGCTAGAATCCTACACTCCCGACACAGAAAAAAATATTCCAAAGTTTCGCATGAAACCTTACCAAAATTTTTACATTTTATACATACGATCAAGGAATTGTTATTAATTCATGTTAACCACACGATTCTAGCAGCACTTTCCAAGTACTATTAAATACAAGCTTTCTATACAAACAAAAATTATGTTTCAAAGTATGCGGCGTAGTGTTGAACTTTTGCATCTTTGTTGTTATAGAAATGTGACCGAGTGATATAAAGATGGAAATGATGATGGTTTCTATATTTATTCACATATCAACAAGGTGATTCTACAAAAAAAAATTAAAAGTACGTGTAAATATATACAATTTATACAAAGTAATGCATTACATTTGACAAGTAAATACATATTAAACTTTATTGCTCATAATCTTAGTCGTTTATTTACTAAGAAAAATTCTAAACCAAAGTTATTGACAATTAACATTGAATAAAATACCTTGTACGAGGTGGTAAAGTCTACAGACAGGAATCGCCAGATCTGCAGTAATTTGAATTTTAGATTTGGCTCGCTTTTATCACAAAAGAAACGATCTGATTTGATATTTCATTATGATAATGGCCATTGAGAAATCATAGCCAATAGTAAAGCAAAGAAAGTGTTCACCAACTCGATCCACCTGCGCACACAAACTAGCTTAACTTTTATTCTCAATGACATAGTTAATTTATTTGGAATAGAAACATTTATTCAAAATGAGAAATTGTAATAAATATATTTCATATATATAAATCTGCCCACAGAGGAAAGGCTGATCGGGATTTCAAAGCACTGCTTGTGTCCGTCATAAGAAAACATGAAAAGAATATATCAGCGTACCTGATTCTTAATCTTTAATTCCTTACAAATCACACATAACATTCATGGTATATGCTTTAAAACTCCCATTTCATATATTTGTTTACATGAATTCTCGTCACCTTTAATTTCACCCGGCAAATATTTGATCAATAGTTATGACGTCATGGGTTTGGTATTTAACCCCTGTGCTAAATAATTAGCTATTTATACCACCCAAAAACGACAAGATTTAGTTTGTATTATGTTTTGAATGATTCCATTCATTTCTTGGACCTGAAATTAAACTTTTAATATAGATATTAAGAAATCATTATTTCTAAAGTTCACGTCATACAGCTTACTATGATGTCATATTGTAAAGGCAAGTAGGATATCTCTGGGTGTAGCCTTAACATACCCGCGTAACCCTGTAACAAAAGAATTTATTATGCTTTACACAGCTTACCCAGTAACACTTACAGTCACTGTAACAATAATTACCAACTCAATAAAAAAAGTCACAGAAATGGTACTCGGTTAAAAGAGACCTTTGAGCAAAGTAAAACATGTTTGATCTCTCAGTGATCTTTGGAAAGCTTGAAAAGTCTGTTTCTGTGGAATGTGTTAATGATCAGAGAATTTTAGGGAATAAGGATATCACTGTGGTAGATCTTGCACCAGTCTCCAAGATCTTTAGCTCTCAATAGTCTCTCAAGTAGAGTTTTCTCCTATAGATCTCCAATGCAGTCTCCAGTAACCTCCATTGATCTCTGCAGTCTACCAACGATCTCGAGAGCATCTCTACCTTAGACATTCAAAAAATTTTGTTTTCTGTTGAATGACCTGAGAGAGATCATTGGGAGATTCAAGAGATCATAGGCTGATCTTTCTGTGCTCTTCAGGTGATCTTTGGGAGTCCTTTGATGAAGTCTGTGATCATCGAAAGACTTCTAGGAAGAGTAAAAACTTGCAGAAAGAGAAACTATGGAGACCTGTGGGAGATTACTGAAAGATCATTACGATGACAGGGCAACTGTTGATCATTTAAAGATTTGGCCAGTTTTATACCCAGTAACTACAAAATGAACAGAGTTTACAAGCAATTCATCCAGTAACTACAATGTTAACCGAATTGATACTCAAACCCAAATACCTAACTGAATATTGATCGTATCTTGTAATATTGAGTGTTGAATTTATTTATACAACTTGCAACTAGATAATCGACAAACTTAAATCAATGAGCTTAATTAATTCAAAGTACCTGTGCTTTTCTTTTATTCTTTGCTGTACATTGTTACAAGTTATGCCAGTCATTTTAACTTTACTTAAATCCTTGTAATGAATTTATTATAGAAAAAAGTTTATCAAGGGAAAAAACATTGCAATTTCTTATCAAGAAAAAAATAATGTGACTTGAGCAGATCAGATTAGAAGAATCATGAATAATCTGTGATTGTAGGGTTTTTGACATAAATTGCACAAAAGTAACATATTTTGATATCATTTTTTACGTGTGATAAAATGATAAATTCATTGTCCCTTATATTTTCTGTAGATACCTCCCCCCTTCAACATTCCCCCAAACAAGTTGTATGGCAACCTGAGTCACACAATTTTGCTGTCGGTGGGGAATGTGGTCAGGTGGTTGTCAAGGATACCAGGAAAGCTGTGGGAGCAACGTTGTCTTTCAGCTGCCATTCTCGAGCAGTCACAAAATTATCATTCTGCAAAGAAAAGTAAGTCAACAGGTGCTTCTTCTGAAATGGCTGGATTTCATGGCTAATTCCATCAAGGGGAAGTAATCTGATCAAATCTTTTCTTAAATTTGAATTCATGTTTAGGATGGGACAAAGAAGTCGTATTTTTTTCAATACAAAACAGAACTTGGTGTAAACTGAAGTTTAAAATTGTGATTTTTTTTTTTCCAGTCCGAGTCTTTTAGCCTCAGCTTCAGAAGATTGTACAGCTGTAGTGATGTCCATAGACAAGGAGACTGGTCGACAAATGTAAGTCATCAAACAGGGTGTCTAAAGGATATCGTATGAAACATTACAACGTAAAACTTGTTTTATTTACAAGTTTTGCCTAAAGGATATCTTAAAAAACTAGAGCTACGTCGCAGTGTAAACTAAGTTTGTTTACAATGAGGTTGACAGTTTTATTTGAGAGATTCATTAATTTAAATAGTGGACATCAAGCTTTCTTCATGTTAACTGACAGATTTGTTTTCCGATTACTTGTATTTCAGTGTGGTACATGTAACCTTGTTTTGTATGTTAATTATTTGCTGATTGTCTTCATTAAAAATTTAGACTCTATGAAATGTTTAACCAGCTAGAAAAATCTTTCAATTTTTAACAATTTTATGTTTCAGATTCAGGGACACAACACACACAGATTTCGTGACCGGACTAAGCTGGCAAGGAAGTGAGAAGCTCTATAGCTGTGGATGGGACTCGAAAGTGAAAAAACACTGTGTTTCTAATTGTGAACAAACTTCAGAGGACTGTGTTGTTGTCAAAATGGAGACGGACAGTATAGCTAATGATAGTGTTAAAAAGATAGCCAACATTTCACTAGTTTGTAATGGGAATGGTGCTGAAGTGGAATCCACATGATGTGAATCTACCTCGTTATACATGTACTTGTGTTCTCGTGATTAGAATTTCTTGCAAAAGAATCAAAATTGTCACAGGTTCTACTCAATTTATTAGTTGTTGTATTTTTGAAAATTCTTCACAGCAAGTTTTTGATGTGGCATATGCTTGTTGTGGTGTTTTACATGTGTTAAGTCGTTTTCATAAAAGAATCTCGAAAATTCAATTTTCATTGAGTATGTTGAGTATCATATCATTATTGAAAAATAAATACAAAGGATACCATATTGGACTGTAAACCTGACTTGATCTTTTTATTTCATAAAAATATATTTAATTACATGTAGACACCCAATTGTTTGAACCTTGGTAAACCATCATCTCTACATGATAAATTCTCAGGTCACCCTTCAAATCCTGCCATTTCTGGCAGCTGGCTGGTTAAGAGGTTTTACTATATTTGAACATTATTTTTTTGCAATAATTGGATTGTACATACTTTAACTCATTAAGGACCCTTTCTACACCAAAGGAAACAACTTTCTGGACATTGAGAAAACTTGAGAAATTGTAAAGTAAATATTGAGCTTATCTATAACATTTTCATCATAGGGTACCTCACATTTCCCCCCAGGATAAATGATCAAAGAGAATGAAGTACTCGTGAACAGATATCACTGTTGTTTACTTAACTGGGCAAATACCTGCAAATGAAGTGTTCAGTCTATTTCTTTTGGTCTAATAAAGTATTATGAATGCTTGATTTTTTTTCACAAAGAAACTGGGGGGATAAGCCGAGCCATATGCCTACATAACGATCGATAAAAAATCAATAAATTCATTTTACAAAAATTTCACTTTTTGTTGAATTAATGTAATGCTTATTACCATTTGCATATAAAGAGCAAGAGCCACGGACCATCAAAAATGGCCCTGTCTCAAAAAGTAACGGGGTTTTGTCAGTTGATAGTGTACACTTTTAGCTTTTCTTTGCCGTTTTTCTTTTTTGAATATCGATTATATTTTTTTGAAAAAGAGAGTTTGAAGTATGACGGTGTTTTAAAAGAAAATGCTAGTAGAACGTCATTTTTTGAAACGTAACGTCGTAGGGCGGAAAAATAACCTTGAGCGATTTTACATATGTGATTTTGAATTAAAATTCGTATCAATTGGAATGGACATTTGTCTTACTAATAAACTTCATAATTAATTTAAGACAATTAAGAGCAGTTGGAAATTGATGTCACATCGCAGTCTTGATGGCAACTGCGTTACACTCTACCTGGTCCCTATTCTATTATAATTTTTAAGAAGGAACATTGTATTTCTATCCCTTGAACATATTTTTGTGCGATGCATCGCTCCTAGTTACATGTACGCATTGAGTATTAAACATCGTTAAAAAAAACATATGACTTGCTTCAAATGACGATAGCCCGTCCAACTTAGTTTTCCGGACTTTTTCCAATATTCCTGCAAATATTAAGCTTATATCTTTGGAATGCGCGTCCATGCACGAAGTTTGTTTTTCAAAGTGGGGAAGGGGGCAGTCAGAAAAAAATAATAAGATACTTGAAATGATCTTAAAACGAATGTTTCTAAACTGAAGAGCCACAATGTAATTCAATAACTGGATCTATAGATGTAATTGCAAAAAAAAAAAAAAATGTTGAAATGGAAATAGACTTTTAATCCGAAATTCTTAGATCCTGAACTTGCGAGCATTTTAACATATAAAAGATCTAAATGATTTGGAAAAACGGAGGAAGTAAAAAGTTGGAAGGACTTGTTTCTAATCCATTTACAGTAAAACTCAGTTATAGCGAAGTTCTGGAGAACTGCGAAATTACTTCGCTATATCCATAATTCGTTATATCCGTATAACAAATTCCTTAAAGTATACATAGAGATTTCGCGATATGTTTTTTTTCCTTCAAGTATGGCTAACAAATGTACATGTATTTACAGAAGTATAAAATACAACATTTACTTTGGAGTTCAAAAGTTTTCGGATGAATTGAGTTTCAAATATGATTACTTACAAAATTAATATATCAGTTCAATATTTTAAAAATTTAGATCTTTGAAAATTCGCTCTAAAAGATGTACATTTCTTTATTTTTAACTTCTGGGGGACACAAAATTAGTTCGGTATAACCGTAAAATTGCTATATCTGAATTCGATATAGCCGTAAAATTTTACACGGAATTGTTAGGAATTTTGCAAGGGATTGCAAAAAACTTTGCGATAGCTGTACATTCGGTATATCCGTGTTCGTACTAAATGAGTTTTATTGTATTCATTTATAACAATAATTTGAATGTCGTTTTCGAGACAGAAACATAAAACATTATAGATTAATTGAAAAGGGGTGTCGCAACTTATCAAAATGCTTTATTTAGTAAACGGAACTCATTAAAACACTGTCGCCTTAAATGTGAGTTTCTTTGGATTAATATGGAATACATTTCAAACAAAATATTCTTAGGAAAGATAAATCTGTTGAGAAATCAGTAATTTAAGGCTAAAGCAGAAAATAAATCAGCCCTGTTCATTATTATATATTTATCGGTATTTGCTAGAACCCCCACCCCACCCCAACCACACCCCGCACACACACTCTTCTCTTGCAAAATATTCGAATATTTCTCTCCCAAATATCTTTACTGCAAGGAATTCGTAAAGATAGAAATCTGCGAAAATTTATATATGATTATTTTCCATGTAAATGTAAAAAATGATTAAAGATGAGCAAATACTCGTTTTTAGCATACGTAACTATAAAGTGTAAAATTCCCACTTTCGATATCATTGCACATATATATATAATGTTTTTGGTGGTTTATGAAAAGAGTAGAGCTGCGTTTATATTGCTGATATGTGGGTCACATTCATAAGTGAAACACATGTATAGGTGTTCATTTATCCTTGTCTTATTGTCCTACAATCAGCGCAAGATTGATTTTATTCAACAAAAACTTGCTTAAAAAAGGTCTTACCCGCAGAAACAATAAAAGCTGTCCCTACATTTTCTTTTCAGTTTCCCTTGTGAAATATTTTTTTCGTACACAGTGGTGGTGCCGCACCAGGCACCCCCCCCCCCCCATTTTCACTGAGGAAAAAATGAGAGGAGTAGGAAAATCTAGACCAATTTTCAATTTCTAGATTGATTTCTATTAATAAACAATAAAGAAAGTTAAATTCAAGACAACTTATAGGATTAAACTTTGAATAATTACATTAATTAAAGTTTTGCTGTCATTAGTTTATGACACCCCCCTTTTTTTCGACCTTAACTGGAAGTCTTGAATCCACCCCTGATAAGTCCTTTCTAAATATCATAATACTAATAATTAATTAATACTGAGGAAAGAGGTAAAAGCGTACAAACCAGAATAAGCTGACAATAGATTAAAAAAAATATTATTATTATATGTATTATCAAAAAAAAAAAATTATATCGTTGGGTTTAAAATAACCAGCTATAAACAACTTACGCTGATACGCTTCAAAGAACATATTCCTGGTTCATTGTTTTGATTTTTAAACACATTTTAAGGACTCTCTCTTTCTCTCTCTCTTTTTGCTCACTTGGGTGTAGTTGAATTATGTTTCACAAATGATAAGAAAATCAGTATATATGTGTTATACACATGCATCATCTTCACTTCGAATTTATTGAATGCAGACATATTGCAAAATACATGTATATATGCTTAATATATGCTTTTGAAGTAGGATGGAAATTAACCCTTTTGTGTACATGCATAAGAATCATCTCAGAGGATTTTTTTAAATACAGTTATTACATCGATGGCTTATATATGCTGGTACAAAATAATATATAGTTATAGTATACATGTACGTGTATGTGTGTACCGATATTGGGTTTCGTCAAAACAAATGCACTTGATGAACCCGCGCCCGTGACCTAGATTCTGTTTAGCCGAAATGTAGATGATTATCCAAATGTGTTTTTTATTTCTTTTCTTTTAATTTTCACTTTGCACACTGAGCAAGTTATGTTTTTATTATTTCGTTTATTTTACAAAGGTCTAGCGTGATATCTTTGCTACATTCTCTATTAATTTGTTTACAATTTGAGTCATGTCTGTTAACACGCACAATAGTATTAAAATTGTCTCAAGAATATAAAAAAAAAATAAATAAATAAAAAGAAACATATAAATAAAAGATGTATAAAATTGAAGGTCTAATAACAGTTTTAACAAAGCAGGCATTTGGGGGGGGGGGGTGTATTGTGTTAAGGGCAGTAAAGAAAACAATTTGGCGTGAATTTCTGTTAATTAATAATTTGATGGTGTCATCCAGTTGAGCTTAAATCATACAAATAAATTAAAGACAGCATTCGAGATCATACAAAACTTTTCAGCAACATTCCAAATAGTTTAGAGCCTTTATGACGTCACAACTGACGTATTATTAGTAACGTCATATACAATGGACCTATTCACAATAAAAACCATGTTTTGCTAGATATTTATTTCAGAAAATGTTTATTCTTAAGGTGTTTTTCCACAATAAGCGTTTTAAACGAACAATAAATTGCTTTTCTCGCATATTTTGTGAAATGTATAGTTTTTTATTGGTGTATGAATTAAATGTTAACGATTGATTCACAAATTAGTGATTATTTGATGCATCAAAATTTAAATATAAAATCAAATTTCATATTGGCCACACCCACGAACAACAACGATAATAAGCATAAAGATTTGCATCGGCAATATCTATATCTATGGTAAGTATGAAAGATGTTCTTGACTGTGGCCACATCTAACTTTGGGAAAATGTGTCAAAAAATCGGCATTTTTTAACGTTTTTATCACATCGTCTCATGTTCCAACCGTCGCACGTGCCTAATGGCGCATTATTTAACAAAATACGTTACGTATGGAAAACAAGTATGTTGTCCTCTAACATTTAATGTATAGTACTCTTTTTGATTCGAAACTTTATTTTTGTGAAAAACACAGGGCCAAATTTGATGGTTCGTGGCTTTAGCTCTTTGACAAAACCTGAATACTGTAACAGCGAAAATGATTCTGATTAACACAACAAAATGACATCACGCTCAATTTTCACAGAAACTGACATAAATTGGATAATATAACTACATTTTTTAAATAGAGTGGGTCATCGTACCATTTTTTTGAGAACGATTAATGAAAGGCAATGGAAAGATGTTGCTTTTTACACTTGCAAAAATTTGGTATGAAGACCCACTCTACATAAAAAATTAAGTTAACTTACTTAAATTTTCACCGTGGTCTTAAAAAATTCTAAGTCCAAAAACGCTTGCTAAATATAGAGAACTGTATGCTATTTAAATGGAAATGTTAGTGTGCCTCCGTGGTCTAGTGGTTAGCGATGAGCTCTTTAAAGGGACGTTTATTGAGGAAAGTGTTCGAGTCATGCTCTGATTTTTTTTTTTTTTTTTGGAATTTTTTAGTTTTAATTTTGTTTTACTTTATAAAAAATGTCTATAGGAATAACATATTTTTCACTGAAAATAAAAAATATATATGTAATAATGAACTTATTTACAGTAAATTATTTAAAATGCCGGATAAAAATTATAATAGATATTTGAATACTTTTATTCCCGTTTTATTTATTTTAAAGAAAAGCGCTTCTAGATCACCATTATCATTATATACGATGTTAACATTTTTATAATATCTCCACAATAAGTGTAAACACTCAATATGCAGATTAATTAATAGAAGTCCTTACCCATGTTAGACATTTGTGACAGTAAATGAAAGTCAACTGTTTAGCTTGTTTAGAATATAAATATCATTTTGAAAACTACGGTAACATTAAAATGCTCAAGTAAATTTGAACAACTGAGAAATTTTTTCCAATAAATGTTCTTGCATAGCTGAAAAATGGGCATGGGCACATGGCTCGTCTTATCCCCCCAGATTCTTTAGTGATAAACTGTACATTCTAGATCAAAGGGCAGATTACTCTATCTGCATAAAAATACCACAAAATCAGAACTCTTAAGTGGGCAGTCTATAAAGGGGTCTTAAGTTTGCTGATGGCTGTCTTTGTAAGTATGTTGGATCGATCAATCTCAAAAACAGTGAGGCAAAGCAAAGCAGTCTATGAGATTGAAGCATCAGATATGTTTCTGTAGACAGTAACAAACCTAAGAAGAGATTTTTCTTAAGGACCATTATATCTTGAGAGATTTTGATACAGTAATATACGATTCCTAATATCGAGATAACTCTAAGGGTCAGCTTTATTGCCGGATATGAATTTTCATCTGCAAGATAAGGAAATATGGCTTGTACGTGGTAGTTCTGGGTTGAGCAATTAAATTGGATGAACAGGCTTCACTTGTGATTTTTTTTTAAACTTCAGAAGCAGGTAAATGAAGACATCATAAAATGTTTCAAATACTGCCATATGGAGTTGACCCTGATCTTTGGTTACAGAAACTATTTCTGTGGAGGTTGACCCTTTTTTTCAGGAACACATGAACACGTTTCATGAAATATACCTGAGTGAGATGTCCTGGGCCCCATTTTACAAAAGAAATTGCAACTATTAAAGACAAAAATATTTTAGCGAATAATTTTCTTATTTACATTAATTCTTTTTAAAAAAAAGATATATCTACATGTACTTTCTAAAGAATTTGGAAAGATATTTATACATATAGAAGCAATTTAGTCAACGAAATTGGGTGTGCAAGATGTAAGAAACAGGTAAAATTGATGGTCTTACTCCTTAAGTTCTTTTGTAAAGCAGGTTCCTATATTCATGAATTCTTCAAAACTGAAAGACGTTTCGTAGATGAAATTGAAGAGAACTCAATATTAACAAAACTTATATTTTCTATCTTGTCAACTACATATCGTAACAAGAGGCCCATGGACCACATCGCTCACCTGAGTAACTTTGGCCATGCTGTTTATTACCAGACTTCCCCCCTTGTAATACCCATTGTGGCCCCGCCCTACCCCCAGGGGCCATGATTTGAACAATTTAGAATCTACATTACCCCAGGATGCTTCCACATAAGTTTCAGCTTTTCTGGCCCAGTGGTTCTTGAGAAGAAGATTTTTAAAGATTTCTCCTATATATTTCAATGTAAAACTTGGATTCCCTATTGTGCCCCCCCCCCCCCCCCCATCCCTGGGGTCATGATTTGAACAATTTAGAGTGTACACTACTTGAGGATGTTTCCACGTAAGTTTCAGCTTTTCTGGCTCAGTGGTTCTTGAAAAGAAGATTTTTAAAGATTTTTCCTATATATTTCAATGTAAAACTTGGATTCCCTATTAAGGCCCCGCCCTACCCCCGGGGGTCATGATTTGAAAAAATTAGAGTTTACACTACCTCAGGATGCTTCCACATAAGTTTCAGCTTTTCTGGCCCAGTGGTTCTTGAGAAGAAGATTTTTAAAGATTTCTCCTATATATTTCAATGTAAATCTTGGATTCCCTATTGTGGCCCCGCCCTACCCCCAGGGGTCATGATTTTTACAATTTAGAATCTACACTACCCCAGGATGCTTCCACATAAGTTTCAGCTTTTCTGGCTCAGTGGTTCTTGAGAAGAAGATTTTTAAAGATTTCTCCTATATATTTCAATGTAAAACTTGGATTCCCTATTGTGGCCCCTCCCTACCCCCGGGGGTCATGATTTTAACAATTTAGAATCTACATTACCCCAGGATGCTTCCACATAAGTTTCAGCTTTTCTGGCCCAGTGGTTCTTGAGAAGAAGATTTTTAAAGATTTCTCCTATATATTTCAATGTAAAACTTGGATTCCCTATTGTGGCCCCGCCCTACCCCCGGGGGTCATGATTTTAACAATTTAGAATCTACACTACCCCAGGATGCTTCCACATAAGTTTCAGCTTTTCTGGCTCAGTGGTTCTTGAGAAGAAGATTTTTAAAGATTTCTCCTATATATTTCAATGTAAAACTTGGATTCCCTATTGTGGCCCCGCCCTACCCCCGGGGGTCATGATTTTAACAATTTAGAATCTACACTACCCCAGGATGCTTCCACATAAGTTTCAGCTTTTCTGGCCCAGTGGTTCTTGAGAAGAAGATTTTTAAAGATTTCTCCTATATATTTCAATGTAAAACTTGGATTCCCTATTGTGGCCCCGCCCTACCCCCTGGGGTCATGATTTTAACAATTTAGAATCTACACTACCCCAGGATGCTTCCATATAAGTTTCAGCTTTTCTGGCCCAGTGGTTCTTGAGAAGAAGATTTTTTTATGACCCCACCCTATTTTTGTCTTTTCTTGATTATCTCCCCCTGTAAGGGGACTTGGCCCTTTATTTTAACAATTTAAACTCCCCTTCCCCCAAGGATACTTTGTACCAAGTTTGGTTAAAATTGGCCCAGTGGTTCTTGAGAAGAAGTTGAAAATGTGAAAAGTTTACAGACGGACGGACGGACAGACGGACAGACGGACGGACGACGGACAACGGGTGATCAGAAAAGCTCACTTGAGCTTTCAGCTCAGGTGAGCTAATAAAAATTGAAAATACACTATTGTTTATTATATAATATTACACATACAGACATTTCTTCCATACAAAAATATATCACAAAATATAACATTAAGGTAAAACACTAGACTGAGATACCCGATGTTTGTCTTAAAAGCACAAAAACAACTCTTATAAATAAAATTTGCACAAGTTCATCATATTGTATCTCATTTCTCCGATAAAAACTTAAGCTCTCCCTTTCATACAAATGTATTTGTCTCTTTAATTAATTATTGTACTGTTTCTTGCACATGAATATATCTAAAGCACATGTATTTAATCAAACAAGTTAGGTGTGATCTCGAACTAATGAAGAACTGAAAGTATCCTTTCTGACAGATCCTTCTTTTCCACAACCTCACAGAGAATGGTATTTGCATAACAGTCATTTAATACGGTGTAGCTCTGAAAAGAAGAAAAGAAGACGTAATAAGTCTATTGTTTGTAGCATTATATTTTTAAACGTGACCAAAATCCAGGAGAGATTTTCTGTATTTTTACATGGAAATATCAGTCTTTTACTGATCAGTGATATTGATGAGTTTATTTTGTAACATGGAAAAAAAATAACATACTGGAAAAGATGAAAAATTTTCTTAGCCCCAATACATGCAATACCACAATAAATAACAATCTTGTGTTTTGAAAATGTTACCTAGCAAATGTGATCATGCTGATGATTCCAAAAATGAGTTCCAGTCCTATAAATGCGGCCTGAATAGCGGCGAGGATGACATCCACTCGTAACACGTAAGTCTGCCATAAGATGAGATATAGTGCCCCTAGTACTGCTGGGATACTCAGTAATATCGAGATTATAACTCCCACAATCCTCTCTGTCAAGTTTCCTTTTTGAGCTGAAATTGAGAAAAAAAAAATTTAATTCAATTTTGGCAAAGTTTATTTGGGGGGGGGGGGGGGGATATATTAGGTTTATAAATACAATAACTGTTACTTTTACTGCATGAAAAATTTACCCTATGTACTTACCAAAAAATATTCTTAAGGCCTCTATTCCTGCTAAAATGAAGACCAAAATCACCTCTGCTGGTAACACATTGTCTGCGTAGGGTAAGGTCTCGCCTAGGGAATGAATTGTATGCAAATATGTTTTTCATCAGTAAACATTTTTCAACATCCTTTCATTAATTTTGATGAAGTGGGACAGAAACGGACAAAGAAAACCTTCGTTTCAGCCATGCATAAACAAAGGACATAAGCTACCTTAAAATATGCAGAAGTTAATTAAATATAGTCAACAAATGGTGAATAGACACACAAAAACAAGAGGCCCATGGGCCACATCGCTCACCTGAGTAACTTTGGCCATGTTGTTCATTACCAGACTTCCCCCCTTGTAATACCTATTGTGGCCCCGTCCTACCCCCAGGGGCCATGATTTGAACAATTTAGAATCTACACTACCCCAGGATGCTTCCACATAAGTTTCAGCTTTTCTGGCTAAGTGGTTCTTGAGAAGAAGATTTTTAAAAGATTTTTCCTATATATTTCAATATAAAATTTGGATTCCCTATTGTGGCCTTGCCCTACCCCCGGGGGTCATGATTTGAACAATTTAGAATCTACACTACCCCAGCATGCTTCCACATAAGTTTCAGCTTTTCTGGCTCAGTGCTTCTTGAGAAGAAGATTTTTCAAGATTTTTCTTATATATTTCATTGTAAAACTTGTATTCTCTACTGTGGCCCCGCCCTACCCCCGGGGGTCATGATTTGAACAATTTAGAATCTATATTACCCCAGGATGCTTCCATGTAAGTTTCAGCTTTTCTGGCTCAGTGGTTCTTGAGAAGAAGATTTTTCAAGATTTTTCCTATATATTTCAATGTAAAACTTGGATTCCCTATTATGGCTCCGCCCTACTCCCGGGGGTCATGATTTGAACAATTTAGAATCTACACTACCCCAGGATGCTTCCATATAAGTTTCAGCTTTTCTGGCTCAGTGGTTCTTGAGAAGAAGATTTTTAAAGATTTTTCCTATATATTTCAATGTAAAACTTGGATTCCCTATTGTGGCCCCGCCCTACCCCGGGGGTCATGATTTGAACAATTTAGAATCTACACTATCCCAGGATGCTTCCATATAAGTTTCAGCTTTTCTGGCCCAGTGGTTCTTGAGAAGAAGATTTTTTTATGACCCCACCATATTTTTGTCTTTTCTTGATTATCTCCCCTTGTAAGGGAACTTGGCCCTTTATTTTAACAATTTAAACTCCCCTTCCCCCAAGGATACTTTGTACCAAGTTTGGTTAAAATTGGCCCAGTGGTTCTTGAGAAGAAGTTGAAAATGTGAAAAGTTTACAGACGGACGGACGGACAGACGGACGGACGACGGACAACGGGTGATCAGAAAAGCTCACTTGAGCTTTCAGCTCAGGTGAGCTAATAATGGCTAAATCTAAGCCTCATAAGTCACATAACAAACATCTGAGCTTGCAAATTTTTATCTGATTTGAAAATATTCTATTTATTTTTTTCCTACTGGGTAATTACCTCATAAACATAATTAAACAAAATTAGTTACTCTTATTTCAATAAGCAACAGAAAATTTATGATATTTTGGTAATTGTATATTACACTAGTAAAAATATAATAGGACAGAAGGGTCTTACCTTTGTAAACATAAATAAGAATTTCACACAGAAAGAAGAATGCAAAGTACCATCCATTAAGGTAGAGGAGAACCTGGTAGGGCAGTGATGATCTCTATTTTAAAGCTAAGGAAATTGACTCAAAAATGGAGACATTTCAAAACTACTAATTTACTATTAGTGTAGCAAGTCATGAGATATTCAAAAACCTTTCTAAGTATTGTTTACACAGGGCTAGACAAATAGCATTGCCCGACGCCCGGGACAACCAATTTTATTTGGCGGGCAAGTTATTTGATAAGTGGTACCTGCCAGCGGACAAGTGCTTCTCCAGTTAACAAAAAATCAAATGTTGTTTGTTTTACCGCTGTTGAAATGTAATGAATCACTGTAGAGCACCTGTTTTCGCTGCTGTTGACCACTACATCGAATACTCGGTCGGAACTACTCAAGAATTTCATGTGTAGTTAAAATATACACAAGACATAAAATATAGCAGCTATCGTTTCCATATCAAAAAAGTTGAAGAGGACTTTAGACCTTTACAGGTATTGTCAAAATGTAACATTCATGCAGTAATACAAACGTTTTATACTGATATTAAAATTAGAGCTGTTGACTGGCGATCATGCACAGAAAGTCACGATCGGCATGCAGTGGTGGTTTTCATAATGAATTACTGTATAATATTTTTTTTGTTTTCAATTAAATGATTGCACATTATTTTTAAAGTAAAAAAAAATACTGAATACCTCATTAAAGAATTTTGAAGAAAATAGAATGAGACTTGGACTTTATTAATACCCCAAAAATACGGAAAGAAATCTGAATCTTAAATGTAAAATTTTACTACTAATTATAAAGCATGTAATGTAAAATAATGAACTGTGATCATGTATGCATATTATGCAGGATATGAAATAACCTTTTTTCAGTTGAGAAATTGTAAGTTGACAATGTGCATTTTAATTCTAATCATGTTAATGCTTGATATTCATATGCCTTGCAACGGGAAATCATCTAATGATTTGGCATCTTCATTTTTTTTCTCTTTGAGTATTTTTTGGATGCTAAAGTAATACAGGGAAATGTTTAAATTATGTACATGTATATAGATATACACACTGCACTAGCTAGGAAATCTCCCTGGAACAACAATTACCCTTAATTTTTCCCTGGAACAATTGTGATTTTGGGTCTAATTTGGTCCCAAAGTAGTGTATCAATTGAGAAATAATTTTAATATAAACGATAATGCTTAATTTTGTGTTAATTAAGAAAAAGGTGGGACAAGCATATTTTTTGGTAGGACAAGTAATTTTACGATGGTAACCTGTCCGAGGGCAAGTACTGAAAAATTCTATTTGTCTACCCCTGTTACATCCTAATTACATGTACCAAGGTGATCCTAAGTATGACTATCTATTAAATCTACGTGTTTAGAAAGAAATACATAAAAACTGGTAGGACATTTGTTTATAATGAGCTTTTTTCTTCAAAACTTGCATGTTTCAACCCCCCCCCCCCCCCTCTCCAACAATTTGTGTAGAATGACCATCATGACTACATGGACTTAAAATGAGCAGTCAGTTCTGAAGTCATAATTAATGTCTCCCATTCCTGTTTGTCTTCTGATTCCATATACCTGATCAATGTATAAGGTGCATGCCACATGGTGGATGTGGCCATTCAACAGAGGATGCTTACTTCTCTTAGGCACCTGATTCACAGATCTGTATTGTTTGTAGGTTTTATGAGATTGATCACTCTTTGTTACCCCACCTTTGTCCTAAATAGCCACCAAGGAATAGGGTGCATTCAAGATAGTAGGGGCTGGAAAGTCTAAGTTAAGTATTCTTGAATAATAATACACCTAAAAATTTTAACGCAGTGTAACAAATGAAATATGGTGATCTTAAGTTACTAGGCATTCACATACCTCAATGTTGTCATCTTCATTATGCATGTCTGATTGAATTAACTTTTTATGGCAAATTATTTATAACTCAAGCATATACAGCTAATTTGGGAATGGGGCCAAACATTTTGAAATCTGCAACCTTTATTCTGAATTATTCAAGCATCAGCAAAGTCAGCTTATATCAGAAATGAAAGGACTATTCAAATGCAGTCAATCTATCTGAAAACATAATGAAACCCTTTTGTATTTCTTTCACAAGGGTATCATTTTCACACATATATACTGGTCATTACACAAATGCGTAACATTTTATGTGAATAAGTCAAAAGGATACAACAGTCTGTACTCTGCCTGAAAAGAGAATACAGAGACAATTTACAATCCAATATCTTGAAAATGTTTCGAAATTAGATGACAGCAGAGACATAAAAACCATGGTTTTTATATGTCTCTGATGACAGCACACGTTTTGTTTGACATAAGTAAATTGGAGTATCTTTCAGAAATAAAATATTTACAATTTTATTAAACCAACAGTGAAATTTAAAAAAGTTAAATATATCACAGCAATGAAATGTGAGATAAGGGTTTCGTGCCCATCGTTCATGTTTTTACATGAAAACATCTATGAAAGCTGCACACTTACGACCAACCTCTCTTCATAATCTATCTTTTACTTTTTGTTTTATCTGGGATACTGAAAATTTCATCTTCAATGCCATTTGACTGTTTCTTATCACATATAATTTGTAAAAATGAGAATTTACCTTTGTTTTGGCGCTGTGGCTGTCCCGTAGTCGCCATATTGAAACAAATTCTGTTTCCGCGGAACGCGGTAGATGAAAGAATAATGACCGGATAAAATTGGATTTTAAGGTCAAACACGAATGATTATTTTTTTTTTTACTTTGAGAAAAGTGTATCATAAAGATGTACATATTGAACTTATCTAGTTCATTTTCAACATAAGGTACCTGCTATTTTCCTATATTCGAAGACAATATTCAAAGTATTACAGGCCCGTACCAACGGTTTCAATATATACATATATATATATATATTTAAAAAAAAAACTGACCAAAAGGCGAGGGGGGCAACTTTCCAAAATAATCTGACAATCAAAAAAAAAAAAAAAGAAAAGAAAAATAAAAAAAAAACGTGCAAATCCTCGAATTTGCCAGTGCTCGACCTTAATGCAACAAAAAGTGATATATTATCCTGATCAGTGACCAGGTTAAAAATTTTGGGATCAGGTTTATTCCAGTGTAACTTGAAGCCCTATCTTGATCAAACTTGCCTGGATGACACATTTATAGGGCTGCACAGTGGCAGACTTGCTTCGGATGCTTGGACTGACCCAAATTTTTCAGATCATTGAACAAATTAAAGTTTTTAGAGCAGGTCAATTTCGAAGCAACGTATAAGCATGATCTCGACAAGCTTGCATAGATAATTCATCTTGGGATGAAAGCTATACCACACTTGCTTCGGATGCTGGATTTGACCTACATTTTCTGAAACAGTGACCAGAATAAAGTTTTTGGAGTAGGTTCATCCAAGTGCAACTTTAAGCACCAACTTACATTGATGATGCAATTATTGGCCTAAGGGATGTACAAAGCTGGATTTGCTTCAGATGCTGGATCTGACCTACATTTTCCAGACCAGTGAACACGCAGATTAAAGTTTTTGGAGAAGATCCATTCCTAAGTATAACAGAAAGCCTTATGGTGACAAAACTTGCATGGATGATGTACTTAGGGATGCACGGTTCAAGACTTGCCTAAGATGCCGTATCTGACCAACATTTTCCGTGAGATTGAACAGAATTTAGTTTTTAGAGCAAACTTTCATCCCCAAGTAGGTGTCTAAATTTGTATGCATGGTGCATCTTGGAACAAACAGAAACAGGTTAAAGTTTTTGAAGCAGGTCCGTTCCCAGGTAATTATAAACTCTATACCTCAACAAACTTGAATGAATGGTTTATCTAGGGATTGAAAGCTTCCAGCTTTGTTTCGGATTCTAGATCTGACCTACATTTTCTGCATTAGTGCAGAGATCAAAGTATTTGAAGTGGTTCATTCCCAGGTTACTATATCCTGACCAAATTTGCATGGATGCTGCATTTAGGTATTCACACTACCAGACTTGGTTCCAATGCAACCAGACCAAACTTGCATAAATGTTACATGTAGGGATACACACTATATCATAATATTTGTTAAGTGTGAGGCCTTGCCTTACTTATAGGTAGCACTCATTGAGTTGAGCTTTGTAATCTATTACCTATGTTTAGGCTAAAAAATATAGGAAATTGCATTAAATTGATTTCATACAGTAAGAATATCTGTGTTTTTAAAAACAAAATGATAATGTAAGGCTAGAAAAATCAGGTTTCCATATTTTTAGGCAGATCTATAGAGCTAGTAATTTGTGATAAAAAAAATTAATGCCTTTTATACAAGACAGTATAATTATATATGGACATCCAATGTCTATTGTCTCGGACCAGTGTCTCGTGAAATTTGTATTCACTATCTTACAATTTACAGGAATACAGGGGATTGTCCACATATTATTCGCCTAATTAAGGCTTATACAATGAGTAAACTAGAATTCTATGTGTATAAAACAATTGTTTGTAAATGTGAATTAACATGGAACTAGTAGTACATAAAATGTACATATCATATTTAGTCTGTGACATGCATGAAAAAAAAAATGTTTTTTCGAGAGCGAGCGGAGAAATATATACAGTGTATATGACCTTCTCCAAGCTTAACATTTCTGTTGTATTAACCCATTTATGATGCAATTTAACTCATAAACCACGCTGTTGCTTCTCTAAATGTATAAAGTTATTGCGACGTCAGATAATATATAGTCTCCTCGACCTGTTCAACGACAAAAGCATTTTCCATAATTATATGATATGTTGGTTTAATACTTTTATTCATTATTTTTCGAATTCCGGATCCGAAATGAAAGCATTGCACCTGCCTTGGATTTGCATATTTCTTGCAGCAAAAACATCGGAGTCGCTTATAACAGATCAGAAATATGAAAATCCAGTGATAGTTGTTTGTGCCAACCAATCATCGGACCAAGAAATAAACAATTTGAGACAGCAGTTGAATCAAGAGACTGTAATAAGGTTATCACTCACGAGACAAGTGTATTCCTTGGTGGATGATATGATAACAATGAAAAAACAGATGGCGAAAATGGAAGCTAGAGTACAGGAAATGGAAAAGAAAGAGGATGATCTTCAACTTGCGAATCAAAGACAGCAGAAGGAACTAGATCAGTATCAGAGGATGGACAATACTATTGATGATAATTCTGCACAAATTGGAAAGATACAGAAAGATCTCCTTACTTTGACTTCAGCTGTGGATGCCGTTTGCAATGGGACAGGTACGGGTTTGTATGATCTTAATAAAGCTTAATTTCTAAATGTTATTTCACATCCAGATGTTTAAAACAAAGAATTATAAGTCATTATATTTCCATGTAGAATAAATTTATGAATAATTATGACGACTTGGATTGAAAATGTTGTTACATTCATGTAGTTTTTGTTACCGTTTTTGATCTTTCAAAGTGGTAACCAATATACCTTATTCTCTACATCTTCTGCAGACAAAAGGGCAGTTGTATTCAATGCAGCCATCAGCAAAACATTAAATCTCCAACGCAACACTCCAGTCAATATTGTGTATGACACAGTTCTATATCAAACTGGCAACGAATATAATCCACGGAATGGTTTCTTCACGGCACCTTCTAGAGGTCTTTATGTATTTTCGTGGGCAACTTTGGTTGCAACTCGCAAGATATTTGATACAGAACTTTTGGTTAACGGTCAGCGAAAGGGTTTAGGAAATTGTAATAATGAAGGCAATCCTGGCGCCGGAAACTGTGCAAATACCATTCCTGTAGTTCTAAAATTTGGAGACGAAGTTAATATACGTACAACTACTGCAAACTATGTCCATGGAGATCTGTGGTCAAGCTTCAAAGGGTGGAAAGTTTGGTAAAACCGAAACATTTTCTGAATTATACCTTCAAAATGGTTTCATTGGATATTTAATGTTTTACTGCTTGAACATTTCAAGTAAGAATGTCCTCAGGATCATAGAATGTAAAAAAAACTCTTTCAAGTCCTATTTTCTTCATTCAGATTACTAATTTATGTCTCCTTTAACGAAAGGAGAGAATAATATATAGATTTTGGCTTGGTTGTCTTTCTTTGCCTGTTTGTTTAGATGTCTGTCGGTATTTAAATGACTGTGTGCGGAACCCTTGGTATGGTTATAAGCTTTAGTTTGTTGTTGCCCCAGACCTAAGATGCGTAATAATCTTGACCGAAGATCTTTTATTAAGCGTAGAAGTCAAAGGGATAAAATAGTGTCAGACTACATCTCTTGAATCCCTGGAAGAATTAAAAGTTGAGTATTGTTGCTGATGCATTAAAGATTTATCTTGAACTTGATCTCAAGTTTGGGATTGAAGAAATATTTATTTTTGTGTAGAAATTGAAAAATCTGTTCTTTTGTTTTTAACACAGATGTATGCATTTTTTTTTTTCTACTTTCTGATTTTCGAGTGTTTGCAGAAATTAATATTCCTCGATACATTATCTTTATACTCATTAGATTGAATAATTTATTTTGTTTTTCTGTAGAACAATAATTACTCCGCTTGTTATATCCACTTTATATGTAAATTACTTAAAAATTGTGAATCTAAAGCAAGTTTTTTTTGGAAATAAAATAGTTGTAAGGTTCGGTATATTTTTGTCTTTTGCACCCTATATGAGATACGTTCTGCACAGCATGGATAAGATAAGTGGTCCAGTCAAATAAAGGGTCTTTTGTTGATATTGAAGAAAATGTTTTCAATAGCCAATGCATTGAAGAAATAATCCTAAAAATTCAATTTTCTAATGTCTTTCCTAAGGGATGCAGACACATTTGTTGGACATCTCTCTCCACATCCATAAAAATTTCTGGGTAATAAACATTGATAAGAATATATTGGAACTTTATGTTTTTGCCAATGTTCTAAAGATGTGATATGATCTTTACTCAAGGACATATCTCAAATGTAAAGGACATATGTAAATCTGGAACCCTTTAGTGGGATGAATTCGAACACTAGCGCTAATTTGTTGTCCCATGGCCTATACATGTGTATACAAACATCTTGATTTAAAAGGGACTGGACACAGTAGCATTGCGTTTTGTTTACAATATTTTTCTTTTTACATTTCTAAGATAACGTCAGTTGAACTTACATGAAAAATTCTTAAAATTCTATAAAAACATCATTCTTCATAATATCACGTCAAACATCTGTGGTCGCCCGCGTGGTGTAGTGGTTAGAGCGTCTGCTCTTGAGTCGCAGAGTAAGGTAAGGAGTTGATCATTACGTAGCGGGTTTGAATCCCACTGTGGGACGTGTAGATCAGTCCTTCGGATGAGACGGTATATTCGAAACATATCTGGCACGAAAAAGATCCCTCACTGCTTAATTTTAATGGCCGGGAATAGGTCTAAAATTTGCAGCCCTCCACCGGCAAGAGGTGGCGTCTCAATATGAGTGAAAATTCCTCAAAAGGGAGTTAAACAAACAAACAAAAACAAGCATCTGTTTGTAAACATGACAAGAGCTCTGTTTTTGTTCATGTTTACATTTTACTGGTTCGATTTGTTTACTCTTCACACTTCACTGAAAACGGACTGACAATACTGATTAGTTGGTTTTGAAAACGGACTAACAATAATGGTTAGTTGGTTGGCTTTTTTCACATTTCTACTGTGAATTTTCTGGATTATAGTTTTAATATTTTTCATTAATACACAATAAATTTTCCACTTTTCTTAAATATTAAGGATAAAGTTTACTTCATTAAAGTGCAAGGATGTGTGTCAATCAAACGCGTCCCGAAATTCGTAGTTTTAATATTTTTAAATAAAAGAAGTTCCGAAACATGCTTTAAATTTATAATATTTTGACGTGAAATGCTCTAGCAACATACAAGTCATTATATTATATTGAAAATTTTAGCTCATATCTAAAAATAAGTTCCGATTAATTTTATTTTAAATCTTTATTCTTACACATGTAGCTGTACGAAGTATATTTCTACTTGAACCTTTTAAAGATATTTGAAACAAAAGATATTATATATAATATTTTCTTCATCATTTCATATCCCAATTTATTATTCTCATTGCGCAAAGGCAACTTGTATTCAGGAAAGATTTTAAAAAATTATATATAAAGATAGTTATGGAGAGGGTGTTAATAGGCAATGGCTGTTGCCCAGTGCAATAAGATTTTTTTTTAGAATAAATATAATTGTTTAAAGTAATATAACGTAATGCTTCACTTTGAAAATTTGTAATTATTTTCAGAACTTTTCTTGCTATGCCTGTAGATAATGTCTTGATTTTTTAAATATGTTTCTTGATATTGAGGACCAGTTTCACGTTTCGTGCTGATTAACCAAAACTTATGGCCCCTAGACTTTAAAGTTTTCTAAAATTTTCTGTTTTCCATACTTTATTTAAAATTTCCTCGTCAGCGGGGGCATTCTTGTGACCATGGCACATCAATTCAACCTCTAATTCGTAATTACAAACAGTTTTCTTTTAAGTGAGAACCTCATGCAGCCATTCAAAATGTTGAGGCAGCAGACATTTACACATGCTGATTAGAGAAGGTCACACACTCTACTAATTTCTCTACTAACTCTACTAATTTTCCGGTGGCATTAAAGTGTTTTTAAAACAAACACATTCTTCGTTTCATAATTGAATTATTATTTACTATTCATGTAGGTACTTACTGATTTAAGTACTCTTTAATTGCCACTTTTCTTGCGGTAAAATTTTCTAAAAATCAACGATCTTCACTTATGGAAGGAACGGCATTGGTTGTAATTGAATAAGTATCGTAACTAAATCGTACATAAAGAAAAGCCTCATTCATCGAGAAAAAGCATTTTTTCTGTGTAATCTATTGGTTTGATCTTTGGTGATTTCGAACTTCCAAATAGCATTGATGCTTCCGCTTTGGTTCTCCATATTGCTTGCCACAGCATCAGCGCAGTTGCTTACAACAGATAAGAAATCTGAAAATCAACTGACAGTTGTTTGTGCCAACCAATCATCGGACCAAGAAATGAACAATTTGAGACAGCAGTTGAATCAAGAAACTACAATAAGATTGTCGCTTACCAGACAAATGTATTCCTTGGTGGATGATATGATAACAATGAAAAAACACATGGCGAATTTGGAAGCCAAAGTACAAGAAATGGAGAAGAATGGTAGTGATCTTCAACTTACGAATAAAAGATTGCAAAGTGAACTAGATCAACATTTGAGGAGGAACAATACTGACATTGAGATGTCAAGGCTGATTAGAAAGATACAGAATGACCTTCTTAATTTGACTTCAACAGTGGACGCCGTTTGCAGTGACACCTATACGGGTTTGTGTTACTTGTATCTTACTGATACTTATAATTGAACCTGTAAATTCTTATTTTACTTTTAAATACTGTAAGCATATATTTTCAACGAAAAATTGAAATCGGATCTCTGAAAAAAATTTTATGAATATTAATTTAATGCCAATCTTAAAACGAATTACAAGGTCGTAAGAACAGGAAGGGGGGGGTGCCCCCTATACATGTAATTTTGCCAATAAATGGTATTCTATAGAAATCATAGCAACTTTGTGCTTGTGCCCCTTCAATAATACCGTCTTATTTCCATTTTTTTGCCTGTTAAGGAATTTTTGCGTGGAATTGCTTGGTTACCCCCCCCCCCTCACTGAAATTGCTTCCTATGGGCCTGAATGGTTCTTGTTTCTTTAATCGGTCAGTGTTTCTTCTGATACTTTACCTATATTTAAAAAAATCATTATCTAAATAGAATTACACATATATGCGTTTTATAACTGTAATACATGTGCATTCGGAAATATTGTTTTATTTACGTATTTTATTTTGGTATCTTGAATTCTCGATCAGCCTGAACTTTAACCTTTGAACCTTAATAATACTATGCCTCTTCTGCAGATAAAACAGCCGTGGTATTCAATGCAGCCATCAGCAAAACATTAGATCTGCAACGCAACACTCCAGTCAATGTTGTGTATGACACAGTTCTATATCAAACTGGCAACGCTTACAATCCACGGAATGGTTTTTTCACGGCGCCCTCTGATGGTCTATATGTGTTTACGTGGGCAACATTGGTTGTAGGCAATAAGATATTTGATGCAGAACTTTTAGTAAACGGCCAGAGAAAAGGCTTAGGAAACTGTAACAATGAAGGCAATCCTGGCAACGAAAACTGTGCAAACACCATTCCCGTTGTTCTAGAATTGGGAGATGAAGTCAATATACGGACCACCACCGCAAATTATGCCTATGGGTATCAGTGGTCAAGCTTCAAAGGGTGGAAAGTTTGGTAAAACCAACATATTTGCAATTGACGTTTGAGCTTGACTACTGTTCGTTATCTTCATATTTCATTTTAACTTTAACAATGTATTTAAATATATATTTTGCATTGGTTAGATAATATTTTGCAGACTGCGCTTTTCAAATGAAATTTTCTCGAGGAAAATGTTATTAAAGTGTTTTCTTTTTCATGTTTTTCATTTGTTTCCATCATTCAGATTATTTATAATGTTCGCTTCTTCTGGAAGAAATACCGAGTTTGTCTTGATTGTCTTTTTCCGCTATTTAGCTGTTTCAAATAAACGTACCTGAAGGTTGAGTGTTCTTATTGTTTTTGAACACGACATAACGCATGTAGTAATATTGACTAAAGGTCACATCTGAAATCAGCCCAGGTTAGTGGACAACGAGGTAAAACTCTTAAAGATGTGTTTTATTGAGACTCAAGGTCATATTTCAAGGTCACATATAGTGATGGCCATCGATACAAATGAGAGCCATCCATTTTGTATAGAAAAGAAATCTGTTATTCTTTAATTGTACCCGGATGTATGTTTTTTCCTCTACTTTCTGAGTTTTCTTCCAAACAAATTTTCTTTGTTTTTTAGTGTAAGCCTGAATTAATATTCTTCGGTACATTTACCTCATCACGATTTTTGTTGAAAATACATCTTTTCTGTAGAACAATTTTAACCTCGCCTGATTATAGGTATATTTATCTCTAAAGCAAGATTTTTTAAAAATAAATAAAACATTCGTTTATTAGCTATATATAATATTTTTTGACATTTGCCAACAACATGAGACAAGTTTTGATCAGTGGTAAATTATAGAAGTAGTCCACACTCAGATAAAGAGTCTTTGCTGAAAAAAGAGAAATCTTTTTTCTTTCTTCCACAAGAGGAAGAGGCATATTTCTTTTGACAAGCTTTTTCACTCTCCTTCCCTCTCTCTCTCTCTCTCTCCCCCCCCCCCACACACACACAGAGAGAGAGAGAGAGAGAGAGAGAGAGAGAGAGAGAGAGAGAGAGAGAGATCTTTACAAATTATCAAGTCTTGCGTGCATGGATTAATGTCGTGTATTTATGTTATTTCACGATGAAATCAACATTTTAAACGTTAAAATCCAGATCAATTCATTGTAATACTACTTTTCTGGACACATATTTTAGCTATCAGAAAAGCAAAACATTAACCAGTAACCAGCTTCTGAGGGCTTCAGCATCCAATCCAATAGATACGACCCTGCAAAGTCAAAACAAATTCAAAAAATCAAAAGCTATTTTTATAAGTATTTTTCAATTCCATAATAATCTCCGTATAAACAGGAAAAGGACTCTTGAATACAGTACTTAAAGAATCGAGCATATCCCTTCAGCAAAACAAATTATATTCTATTCATAAAAAATTGATTCATTGATTGATAAAAATCAGTTTCTCAGTGATACTTATGGTGGATAAAGTGACGATTACGCAAATTGTGATGGAAGCTTGGGTATTATTTGTATCTATACAAATTGGAATTTGTCCAATATATCAAGACAGAAGACATTCACCCATGATCATTATGAGGCACATCTCTTTTGACATACCAGGGCTTAATAACCTTTGCATCCAGGTCCTGTAAAACGTCTCTGTCCCGATTGAAAATTTACTCTTCTCCCCCAAAAATGTAGGTAAAAATTTCCAAATGACAGGCAGATTGAATTTTTCAGTGCTTTTCGCATTAAAAAAAAACTTGAATTTTAATATCTTAATGATTAGCAAAGATGTGAATAGGGAATAAGCCTTCAGAGTAGCTCTTAATTCAACAGTAGAACTTAATATGACATATTTCCAAATTTTACCACTTTTTCGATTAAACATTTCCGATTGAAAGGGTACAGAACCCTGAATCAAAAAGGCTCAATTGAGGTCTGTAAACGTACTAAATTATATTTAAAGCAATTTCAAGTACCTTAGTTTCATAAAACAAAAAAAAAAGATTTTATGTTTACATGTAAAGAGGTACTACATGTATGTAATTTCCAAGTACTCTTCAAATTCCAATTTTTCAAACGGTTATTTTCCTAAAATCAAGGAGTTTAATCTTTGGAGGGAAAAATTGGTTGAAGATATAATATATGAAACATGTACATCGTACATAAACACTACCAATATAACGAGAAAATCATTCGTCCTGATAATGCATCAGTTTAATCTTTGATGATTTCGAATTCCAAAATACCAGCATTGTACAAAATATGGTTTTACACATAGCTTGCCGCAACAACATGCAGTCGCATACAACAGATCAGAAATCTGAAAATCCAGTGATAGTTGTTTGCGCCAACCAATCATCGAACCAAGAAATGAACAATGTGAGACAGCAGTTGAATCAAGAATCTTTAATAATGTTATTGCTTACGAAACAAGTGTATTACTTGGTGGATGATATGATAACAATAAAAAAAACACATGGTGAAAACGGAAGCCAAAGTACAGGAAATGGAGAAGAAAGAGAATGTTCTTCAACTTGCGAATCAAAGATTGCAGAGTGAACTAGGCCAGCTTTTGAAGATGAATGATACTGATGATGAGACGTCTCACAAATTGGAAGGATACAGGAAAATCTCCGTAATTTGAGTTCAACTGTGGAGGTTGTTTGTACTACTTGCACTTATACCGGTTTGTTTAAAATGTTTAGAATAAAGAAGTATGTATAAGTTATCGCATCTCTTTGAAGAATAAATTTATGAATATTTATTTATGATCAATCCAAGGACGACTTTTTTTGAAAATATTATTACATTCATTTAATTCTTGTTACTGTTTTTAATCTTTCCAAGTGGGAACAAATATACCTATAATGTGCCCAGACAAAATAGCAGTTGTATTCAATGCAGCCATCAGCAAAACATTAGATCTCCAACGCAACATTCCAGTCAATGTTGTGTATGACACAGTTTAAATTAAACTGGCAATGCGTATAATCCACGTAATGGTTTCTTCACAGCGCCCTCTGGTGGACTCTTTGTCTTTTCATGGGCAACTTTGGTTGCAGCTCTTATTTGATACAGAACTTTTGGTTAACGGACAAAGAAAGGGTTTAGGGAATTGTAATAATGAAGGCAATTCTGGTAACGGAAACTGTGCCAACACCATTCCTGTTGTTCTAGAATTTGGAGACGAAATTAATATACGTACAACTACGGCAAATTATATCCACGGAAATCATTGGTCAAGCTTCAAAGGATGGAAAGTTTGGTGAAACATTTTCAGTTCTAACAATCATGCATTTGAACATGTTCTGTATTGGATATATAATATTTTACTGACTGAGCATTGCAAGTGAAAATGTTCTTGGGATCAGAAAAATATCAGTCATTATCTGGCTTTAAGGTGTACAATTAATGAATACAACTGGGAAAGGGGAGAAACCCATTTTTGTACAGAAAAGGAGAAATATATTATTCTGTAATTTTACAATAATGTATGCATTTTCCTATTTTCTGATTATGATGAACAAACTTATTTCTATTTTGTGTTTTTAATTGTCAACTTAATAAATACAATATTCAGGTAATATTTTGTAAATTTAAATGAAGATTAAGTCAAATTTACAGGACATGTTTTCTCGCAATTTTTTTTAATGCTGTAAACGATTAAGCTACCTTAAATATTAAAAGCTACTTTTTTCTTCTGATAACGAATTTCCTTTTCTTAATTTCGACTTTCGTAAATCATAATAAAGACTTCCATAAGTCTTAGTCGTTATAAGACTTTTTATCTTGTACTTTTCCATCTCATAACACAAAGGTAAACTTTTTAGCTAGTTTTGACGACTTTTTTCTCTTCCGTAACAACGACCAGAATTTCGCAGATTGTTATTATTACACTTATTAAAATATAATGTTATAGAATCCTTCATGGATACTGTATAATTTCTGAATTTTCTAAAACATTGCAATAATTTGATTTTTTTCCCCTGGAATTGAATTAGAGAGATGTGTTCTATTTTAATTGTGCCTCCTGAAGTTCATTTCCCTGACGGAAAGAAATTGAGTTAATACGTCACTAAAATAACATCGTTGAGGCACTGAGGTAAAAACTGAAAGTTTTCATGCACAAATGTTTCACTTCGTGAAAAATCAGTAGTAGTTACCCCTATAGCTGTCTGACAGCTTGCATAGGTAATCTAATATTGTGGTGGAATACTGATAATATATTTTCATCTTTTGATGTAACACATACTAGTACTGCTTGGGCAAATAGACTGAACCCGGTGTTTGGTTGAAGGTTTGTTTCAAATAAAGTATTTTCCATATAAAATGAATAAATTATAATTACAAATATCAACTTTCCAAAAAAGCTCGGCTGAAATCAAGCAATTTTATACATGTATAGTGCACGTTTCGCTCCGATAAACGATTCATGTGATATTGAATGAAAAGGGGCGGGGATCGGGGTTAAAATTCTAAATTCATTTATGAAGTAGATATGACTTTTTATGCATGACATACAAATAAATATATATGTCATGGCCGTAGGAACCGGGGGCGCACGCCCCCCCCCCCCCTTCCAATAATTTTGCCGATATATATATTACTATAGAAAATATAGCTACTATATACTTGTGCCCCCTCAATAAAACGTCTGATAACCCTTTTTTTGCTTGTCAAGGAATTTTGGTAGTTGATAAGTTGATAGAACCCCCACTGTGAATGTATGGCTGTGCCCCCCCCCCCCCCCCCCCCACTGAAATTGCTTCCCACGGGCCTGTATGTATGTATGGGCACCTAGTGTTCTATTGTCTTGGGCCAGAGAATGCACGATTTGTATTCACTAACTTACAATGTACGGGAAGACAGTTGTCCATAATTATATAATTCGCCTAATACAGTAAAATGGGATAAACTAGAATGCTACGTGTATAAAACAATTGTGTATTAATAGGAGTATCATAACCGGATCAACCTCATTCTGGACTCCAGCCTATAAACCTTTCAAACCTCAAACACCGTAGTATTTGAGTATGAGTCCTGAATGACATTGGGCCGATCATGCTTTTTCTTGTGAACCCGAGACCTGTTGCTACAAGTGAGAGGACGATCCAAGCGGAACAACTCGTACAATTCTTGAGCTTGGTTTGAGTGACCCAAATCAAATGTTATTTTTGTTATGCGAACTGACTCTTGGATATTAAGATTCCACCTTCAATATTTGAGGACCTTCCTGACTAGAGCGTCTCACAAGTTTTGAGGAGTGGCTGTGTAACCCAACCTGTATAAATGCAACAGGAGACAGACACAATCTGATTCACCACTCTTTATTAAATTGAACAATCCATTTTTATTATTTATGATTAGAATACATAATGTCACAACACACAGTGGACTAAACATTCTAATAAACATTACTATTTATAATATAAAATATTTAACCTGTAAATAAAATGAGGCATCTGAAAATTTTACAAAAAAAGCGCAAGTCTACAAAATTATCTTACTTTATATAAATGAAAACAAGAGAAAGACACAGTCTGATTCACCTCTAAAGACTGTGTCCGCCCTAGCTAGCTGCTGTCTGTATACCCCCGAAAATACCTCATTAATTTGTTATTTCTTCAAAATTTGCAATAATGACTTTAAATTTTAATTTGACTTTTAGTTGACATCATTCTGTCTTCCAACACTCTTTTATTTCTTAATGCATTTTAAAAATTATTTCCAAACTTTTGCATAATCCTTACATTTTCTCTGTCGTAGCTAATTTATACCAGCAACTGACCTCCAGTCACATAGATACTATTGGTTGCTTCTTCATCCTAACCAAATATATCTTCTGGTAAACATTAAAACTAATTCTAAAAGTGCTGTGAAATAAGGTATCTTACTAGTCTTACTATAGCCTTGTACATTTTACTTTGAGCAAGTCAAGATTATGTAAGGCTTACTCGGTTTTATAGCGTACAACAGAACTACGGCCCAAGTAAAGCCGACTCAACTGACGTTGATAAGATAAGTTTTGCACAGCATGGATGAGATAAGTGGTCCGCTCAGATAAAGGGTCATTGAATGAAATATTTTTAATAGAAATGAAAAAGGGGTGAAGATAACGAACAGTGATCGATCTCATAAAAACTTCAAACAATACAAATCTGTGAACAGGGCATAAACCTGGACATTCCAGAGGTGGGATCAGGTGCCTTGGAGGAGTAAACGTCCTCTGTTGACCGGTCACACCCGCCGTGAGCCCTATGCATTGATCAAGAAGACGGAACATTCTGTAGTTAAATTTTAGTATAAAAACAAAGATCTAACAATTGGTAGGAAACAAATCAGCCAAAATACGACCCAATGTTAGGTTATATTTCCTTATTATGTCATTATAACGATCATAGAATTTACGGAATGCTGATCTTAATCGAGGTTATTGAAATCCTGTAACATCAACTTATGTGTTAGTAGCCTGCCTCGGGTCAAAAACTGATCGTACCCAGAGCATGCTCTTGAGTAGCGAATAACTTAGGAGACATAAACACCATATGCAGGTGATAGTCGAATAAGGAAAGTTGACGATGGAAAAGGTGAGGTCATCTCGTTTGTCATACAATTTAGTTGTTAGTTGGCTTTCATCGTCTATGGTCAGTAAAACATTCAAATATGAAGCAGATGTGGCAGACTCTGTGGTGTCTTTTATTTCAAGTTCACTGAAAGTAATTGCAAATGCATTGAAGACATAATTTTATAATGTCGTTCCCAAGGGGAGCAGACACATTTTTTTTACAACTCTCTCTCTCTTTGTATCTCCACACACACACACACACACACACCCTCCCTCACACACATACACATACACACACACACAATAATTTCTGGGTAATATTGAATAGAATATATTTAAACTTTCTGTTTTTGCCCATGATCAAAATGTTTGATATTATCCTGGCTCAAGGTCATATCTCAAAAGTGATAGTGAAACATTGTTGTTCAGTTTGTAAATCTGGAATGAAATCCAACACTAGTACTAGAATGTTCGCCCAAATAGGAGACGGACAATCTAAGAATCGAGTATAAGTAAAAAAATACGTTAAAAAATGGCAAGTATTAATAATAAAGAATCAAACAATGAAGCATTTTGGGGAATATTGTTATTATCTAGCTTATCATCAGATTTGAAAAATCTTGTTAAAATAAGAAGAAAATAATTTCTTTTAAATGAAAATTATGCCTGCTGTGTTTTTACTAATAACCGAACCAAATATTCCACATAACTTTTACAAATGCGCTTAAACTGTGTCATAAATGTTTATAGTTAACAAAATTTGATGTGTGTTATCTTAATTAAATATTTTTAAATTTCTTTCGTTTCCAATTATGGCCCATCAATATCACGTAAATATGTTGGTGTAAAATTAGCATTCTAACCGCATTCATTTCGATGGAGGTCAACAAAACACAGCATGAAATATATAATTCAGATTGTGAATTTTAATAACTATACACTTTCATGTTTCAAATGACATATTAAAATTTTAAGGTTCAATTCACAAAATTGTTTGACTTTTCCACAGGCCGATTTGGCACTATAAATTGAGAATGTGTGTATAGTACACACAGAGTTTGGTATTAGAATGACTAGAACGAACCGAACTTTGAACAAAACACATTTCAAACTGTAAGAGGGCTGGGTAGTTTTGGCCATTTTTAGCTCACCTCAACATAGGTGGTGATCTTATTAGCATGGGATACCTTCGGCGTTGGCGTCTCCAAAATGTTTTGGAACAGATTTCTTAATACATGCATGTATTGCTATGGATAGATAGACGTCTCGGCCCAAAGATAATCAGGCCCTATATTGACCCGAGATGCATTGAATATGAATCTGCAATGTAGTAAATATGTTTCATTGTACAAGTGTTGCATTTTCAGTCAAAGAATAACCAGGTGAATGTTTTTTGAGTAATACATGTATATAGTTAGAAGTTTTTGGAGCAAGTTTCATTCCCAAGTTACTACATGTATATAAACCCAAACTGGACCAAACTTGCATGGATGATATCCAGGGATACAAACTAGCAGACTTGCTCAGGATGCTGGATCTGCCCTACATTTTCTGGATGAGTGACCAGGTTAAAATCTTTGGAGCAGATTCATTCCTAAGAACTGTAAGCCATATGATCACAAAAATTGCATTGATACTCCTTCTAGGGAGGCATATTATCAAGACAATGCTTCAGATTCTGGATTTGACATATATTATCCTGATGAGGACCAGGTTAAAGATTTTGGGATCAGGTTTATTCCAGTGTAACTTGAAGTCCTTCCTTGATCAAACTTGCCAACGTGACACATCTGGGGAGGCGCTCTAGCAGACCTGCTTCGGATGCTGGGTATGACCCAAATTTTCAAGATGATTGAACAGATTAATTTTTTTGGTGTAGGTAAATTTCCAAGTAACTATAAACCTTATCTCGAAGAGCTTGCATGGAAAATTCATCTAGGAATGAAAGCTACCACACTTGCGTCGGATGCTGGATTTGACCTACAATTTTTGAATCAGTGACCAGAATAAATTTTTGAGTAGGTTCATGCAAGAGCAACCTTAAGCCCTTCCTGGACCAGCTTACATGGATTATGCAATTAGCCTAAGGAATGTACACAGCTAGATTTGCTTCAGATGTTGGATCTGACCTACATTTTCCAGATCAGTGATCAGATTAAAGTTTTTAATTCGATTTTTAAGTAGCTGAAAGCCTTATGGTGACAGAACTTGCATGGATGATGCATTTAGGGACGTACGCTACAAGACTTGCCTAAGGTGCGGTATCTGACCAATATTTTCCATGAGATTGAACAGGATTTAGTTTTTAGAGCAAATTTCCATCCCCAAGAAACTAGAATCCTTATGGTGTCTAAATTTGCATGCATGGTGCATCTTGGGGTGCACACTATTAGAATTGCTTTGGATGCTGGATCTGACCTACATTTTCCAACTGAAGAAACAGGTTAAAGGTTTTGAACAGGTCCATTCCCAGGTAACTATAAACGCTATACCTCATTAAACTTAAATTAATGGCTTATCTAGGATTGAAAGCTTTAATGGCTTATCTAGGATTGAAAGCTACCAGATTTGCTTCAGATTCTAGATCTGACCTACATTTTCTGGATAAGTGCAGAAATCAACTACAATGTATTTGGTTCTTCCCAGGTTACTATATGCTGATCAAATTTGCATTGATGATTCATCTAGGTGTTCACACTACCAGACTTGGTTCTTATGCTAAATCTCACTTTAATTTTCCGGATGACTGATCAGAAAAAAAGTTTAAGGGGCAAATACCTTCTAAAGTCATCAAAAATACTACCCAGATCAAACTTGCATAAATTTTACATGAAGGGATACACTCTACCAGAATGTTTAGTGTGAAACCTTGCCTTACCTAAAGGTAACACTCACTGAGTTGAGCTTTACACTGTATTACCTATGTTTAGAGTAAAAATGTATTAAAAAAAAATTAGGAAATTAATTTAATCATTATGACACAGTAAGAACATCTGTGTGTTTTTTAAAAAAAATATTAACGTAAGGCTGTAAAAAGAATGTTTCCATATTATTCGATAGATCTATCGAATCATATTTTGAAAACCTGGCCTCCTTTTATGATAAACAAAGGCCTTTTATACATGACAGTTTATATATGTACGGACACCACATGCAGTGTCTATTTTCTTTGACCACGGAATGCACGTGGAATTTGTAATCACTAACTTACAATTTACGGGAATACAGGCGATTGTCCACATATTATTCGCCTGAGGCTTATACAATGAAGTGGAGAAAACGAGAATTCTACGTGTATAAAATAATATTTTTTGTTAATATGAGCATGAAAATAGTACATCGTCTGTGACATGCATAAAAATTTAAAAAGTATTTTTCTAGAGCAAGCGGAAAAATATATGATATGAACCTTTTCCAAGCATAAGATTTCTGTTGTAATAACCCATTTATGATACAATTTAACTCATCTAGCTGGTCGATATGTACAGCATGCTGTTACCTCAATAAGAGTGTAAAAAATTTTCGACGTCAGTCAATATAATCTCCTGGACCTGCTCAACGACAAAAAGCATCTTTTCTACATATGATCTACTGGTTTGAAATTCATAATCTTATTTCAAATTGTGGATCTGAAATGGCAGCATTTCAATTGCTGTGTTTCTGCATATTTCTTCCCATAACAATATCGCAGTTGCTTACAACAGATCAGAAACCTGAAAATCCAGTGATGGTTGTTTGTGCCAACCAAACATCGGACCACGAAATGAGACAGCAGTTGAATCAAGAAACTGTAATAAGATTAACACTGTATTCCTTGGTAGTATAACAATGGGGAAAAACATATGGCGATAATGGAAGCCAAAGTACACGAAATGGAAAAGAAAGAGGATGATCATCAACTTACGAATCAGAGACTGCAGAAGGAATTAGATCAGTATTTGAAGATGAACTTTACAAATAATATGACGTCTGCAAAAATTGGAAAAATACAAAAAGATCTACTTAATTTAACTTCAACTGTTGACGCTCTTTACAATGGCACATATTTGGATTTGTATGATTTTAATAAAACGTAGCATAATTAAATCATGCAAGCTGTAATTTCACTTTAAAATAAAACAACTCTGTCATTGGATCTCAATGACGAATAGGTATATTAATATTTATTTTTATGTAAATCCAACCTCGTAACGTTCATAAATCGATCAGTGATTTTTCTCCCATTTAATTAAAAAGTGTGATTAACAATCGTTTTACTTTTCATTTATATTTGTTATTGCACGTTCGAAAATGTGGCTACATTAGTACTGTGATTTTAACAGTACTAACGTAGCTACATTTTTTAAAACTGTTAGATCTTTCTAAGAGAATCATTAAATCTTATTCTAAAATTTTTTGCAGAAATTAGAGCTGTTGTATTCAATGCAGCCGTTAGCAAATCATTAGGTCTGCAACGCAACACTCCAGTCAATGTTGTGTACGACACAGTGTTATATCAAACTGGCAATGCTTACAATCCACGGAATGGTTTCTTCACGGCGCCCTCTGGCGGTCTTTATGTGTTTACGTGAACAACTTTGGTATTAGCTCGTAAGATATTTAACACAGAACTTTTGGTAAACGGTCAAAGAAAGGGCTTAGGAAACTGTAATAACGAGGACAATCCTGGAATTGAAAACTGTGCAAATACCATTCCTGTTGTTTTAGAAACTAGTGACGAAGTCAATATTCGTACAACCACCGCAAATTTTATCTATGGATATCATTGGTCAACTTTCAAAGGGTGGAAAGTTTGGTAAAAAGACTTAAAAAAAGGCTAAAGATTTCCTGAATTATGCCATTACACATGGTATCTTTGGATTGATAATTTCATTCTGGCTGAGCATTTAAAGTATATAAGACTCTTTCAAACCCTGTTTTCATTAATCAGATTATTGCACTATCCTAGCTGATGGACTATCCTAGCTGGGGAAAACCGGGCATATTAATACTGAACCTGTAAAGATTGAATTGGAGGGAAATTTAACATATTCACGCATGCAACTAACGTAATCATATCAATGTAGAACTTGAGTCAAGCTTCAAAAGCTGTAATGTTTGTTTGAAATTATTATTACTTTATTATAGAGTTATATAACGTTTTATATATTTGAATTAGTTCCACATTACTTCACAGAGGCAAGAATCAATGAATAAACGTTGAATCAAGTGCTTTGGTTCTCAAAAAATTGTCACGTAAATGTCATTTAGATATCATTTTATACAATAAACGATAAGTTACCGGTAGTCATATTGAATAACGAGACATATAGAATGTTGATCTTAAGCAATTCTGTCTATAGAGAAATAAAAAAAAGTACAAAACAGTTTGCAAAGAAATGGTATAAGCTAAATTCAGCAAAAAGATTTTAAATGAAATGATTAAAATTTCTATTATTATTTACTCTGAAGAGATTTCTGAAATTCGTCTGTAGATTTGCATTTTCTTTTTTTCAGTCAGTGTATTTCATATATAAATGTCTGAACAGTTATAAGTTCAACGCTTTGTTTCCAGGTGCAGATTCTAATGATATTATTTTTCCTGGCCAAGGAGAACTTTTTCTAAAGTTCCTTAAACATTTCTAGGTAAGAAAGCATGCTGTCATTGCTTTGGTGGTAAATCCTGGACCCCCTCTCTGGATATAACCCTGTCGACGTGTTATCAATCTTTTGTGTTTTTTAAATATTCATCTGTAGGAGTCAAGATATGAAAGTTCATTTGAAATTTAAATTGCAATGTTTCATAAAAGAGATTTGCCTTATACAATTCTATTCAAAAATGATCCTAAGTGTTTAAACGCTCTGTTCGTTTGTGCTACACATGACTGAGCTGGTTACAATAAAGCAATGGAAATGCTCTGTACCCCCAATAACACAGGCCTAACAAAGGACTAACATTTGGAGGCTATTTTCTTGTAATGGATGGACAATATGGAGTTACATTAACACAATGTATTGTGGGGATAGCTATAGCATTTATTTTTGGATCTGCATATGTTCTTGAGGTGAGATATAGTGATCTTCACAGTGAAATAAAAATGCGTGACGCGGAGTTAGCATTCATTAAACAGAAAATTAAAAACTTCGAATCGAAAGTAGAAATGTTCGAAAGAATGTACAAGCAATGTGAAGATAAATGTATTTCAGAAGAAAAGGAAACAAGAAATCTAACGAAGCGCATAAGCATAATAGAAAGCAGAATTGGTGATGTGGAAAATAACCAGGAAGGTAACGTATATGACCGTACAAAATTCTCATATATAAATCACAAGATTTCATTACAAGCTCGGTTTGCTGATAACAGTTTGTAAGAAACAGGTACTTGTAAATGTTGAACACTTTCTAACAGTTCACTTGTATAGCTTTAGTAACAAATAATTTAATCTAGTAATGATGCGTATGCATCTGCTTACAAATACATGGGTTTTTAAATCTTGGTTTCACAAATAATTACTAATTTTCGCATGATTCAAATAAAGAAAGAATCAACATTCAGTTTAATTTTATCATTTGCCAAGGAATCCTTACTAGTTAGACTCAGGATTTAGAACAATTTCTGATTGTATTTAGAAGGCATTTAGAAATCATTTATTTATGTATATACCATTTACAGTGCCTTTGCTAGGTTTCTGAAGAGAGGGGAGTGGGGGTAGAAATGGGATGGATAGCCCCTCTTCTGAGCCAGGATTTTTTTCTAAATGGGTATCATTTTGGTGGGTACTTTTGCATTCCTGAATTCTTTTTTACTTAATTATCCAGCATTAGTTTAAATAGTAAAATAATGAAATCATTTTGTTTGAAATAGGAAGCCACATTTACAGCACTGAAATGCACGGACAAAACATTTTTATTAGGGTCGATCATTAGGAAGTCCTTAATTAACAATTTCAGATTTTTTTTCCTTTTTTTGGGGGGGGGGGATTCACAACCAAGCAAGAATTCTTTGATAAGCAAACACCGAGAAAAAAAGTTGCCATAAGACACCATTGAGAGGCACGAATGTAAATTATAGCTTTTGTATTTTACTGTATAGCATATAAAGCAACAAATAATCTGAAGGGTGATGTCTCGAAATTCCTTTTCCTCCACCCACCCATGTGACCAGGAAGGAATGCACAGTCATTTGTCAAGATCTAATGCCTTAACTCTTCACTTTCGCTTTATCGTATACATTTATGTGGTACTGGTATCTATCACATGCATAATTTATTTTAAGTTTTGTTTCTTTCAAAGTGGTAACCAGTATACCTTATAATATGAATCTTCCACAGACAAAAGAGCAGTTGTATTCAATGCAGCCATCAGCAAAACGTTAGATCTCCAACGCAACACTCCAGTCAATGTTGTGTATGACACAGTTTTATTTCAAACTGGCAATGCTTACAATCCACGGAATGGTTTCTTCACGGCGCCCTCTGGTGGTCTCTATGTCTTTTCGTGGGCAACTTTGGTTGCAGCTCGTAAGATATTTGATGCAGAGCTCTTAGTTAACGGAAAAAGAAAGGGTTTAGGTAACTGTAACAATGAAGCCAATCCTGGATACGAAAACTGTGCATGTACCATTTCTGTTGTTTTAAAATTTGGAGACGAAGTCAATATACGTACAACTACTGCAAATTATATCCACGGAAATCATTGGTCAAGCTTCAAAGGATGGAAAGTTTGGTAAAACCAACGTATTTCAATTTTATATATAATTTTTTTTAAATATATATATTTAGATATACGTTCACCTGCTGCAAATTATGTCCACGGAGGTCACTAGTGAAGATTCAATGGAAAATGTGGTAAACCAGTTGCAGTTTTGATAACAATGCATTTAAAAATGTTTTGTGTTGGATATATGATATTTTACCAACTGAGCAATACTCGTGAAAGTGTCAGTCATTGTCTTGCTTTTCAAAGATACACAATAAAATAATGGGTTTTTTTTTTTCAAGAATTGCGTTTTTCATCATTCAGAGGTATCATCCAAGGGACACGCAATGTTATTGGCTTGCTTAGCAACCTCTAAAGATAAAACGTCGCTTAACGATAGAAATATCATTAAGTGTTGCAACTGCAACACTTAATGATAGTTCTATCATTAAGTGGCGTTTTATCATTAGTACGGTAGAAATCTATTATTCTTTAATTTTACGCTGAGGCATGCATTTTCCTATTTTATGATTTATATTACAAACTTATTTCTTTTAAATTTTTTTTGATTGTCAACTTTATAAATGAAAACTAGGGTAATATGCTGTAAATTTTATAGTATGTCAATTTTTCAGGACATGTTTTGTTAGTGTTTTTTATGCTGCCTTTAAGATTATATGACGACTTCTTTAATGAAAAATGCATTCCTTTTCTTAATTACGACGATTTTCATAAATTATAAGAATGACCTCCGTAACGTAAGCCGTTATACGATTTTTAACTTGTGAATACTTTTTATCTCGTAATACAAATATAAAGACTTTTTCTCTCGTACTTACGCTGTCTTCTGATTTTTTCTCTCGTAATTATGTTTTTTTTTCTCTCTCTCGTACTGACGACTTTTGTATATCGTAATTACAACTTTTTCTCTCTCGCACTAACGACTTTTGTTTCGTAATTACGATTTTTTCTCTCGTACTTATGACTTTTTTCTCTAATACGTTTTTTTTTCTCGTACTTGCATCTTTTTTTCTCTTGTACTGTCGAGTTTTTCTCCCGTACTTACGTCTTTTTTCTGTCATACTTACGACTTTTTTTCTCTTGTATTTACGACTTTTTTTTTCTCTTGTACTGACCTCTTTTTTGTCTCGTACTTACGACTTTTTTCTCTCTTATTTAAACCCTTTTTTCCTCGTACTTACGACTTTTTTCTCTTGTACTTACGACTTTAACATTATCAAGTAAGCTTGTTACCATTACACGTATTTAAAATATAATTTTATATAATCCTTGATGAATACTGTGTAAAGGTATTTCATTGCGGGAAAAAAAAATATAGGTAATATGTCACTAAAACACTGAAAGATTTCATGGACAAAAGTTTTTCTTCCTGAAAATAGCTATCCCACAGATTGCACAGGTAATCTCATATAATTATGGTTGAATACCGATAATATTTTATCTTGTAACGCATTTCTAGTACTACTTGGTACAAATAGACTGATTCCAGAGTTGAGTTGACTGTGGTGTTACAAAAAGAATACTTGCCATATTAAATGTATTGAATTACAAACAACAACTCTAAAAAGCTTGACAGAAAGTAATCAAATTTATGCAAATAAATTGTGGGACGTTTCTCTCAGATAAACGATTCGTTTGATATTGATGCATGAAAAGGAGGGAGAGGAGGTAAAATTAAAAGCTCACTTTATGAAGAAGGTATATATTTTATATGTTGATGTATTATTCAACATAAATGCTATCATTAATGGGAATTTTCTTATTGAAAGAACGGCGTTTATTTTTGAAATGTTCCTCTACCATACTATTCATATACGAGGGCTGTTCAGTATGTAAGGTATATTGTACCACAACGCCATAATACTTTCCACGATTTCGTGGAGATGGTACTTTTGAATAGTTCTATTCAATACCATATAAAATTTTAATGATTAAGAACTTTCTGACTGGTACAGAGTCCGTCAAAGATACAGCAAAATCTGGCCAATCTGTGACGTGAATGTCAAGGCAAATGTCTCAAAAGTCAAGGAAATAATTGAAAGTGATGACAGATACACGATTAGCGATATTGCAAAAGCATTCATTTTGAAAGCGTATTTTGAAAGTAAGAAAGATTTCTGCCAGATAGATACCATATATATTGACAGATGAACAAAAAAGGGTACGAGTACAAACCACTAGGCAATCGCTCAAAATGTTTCCCAAATTCAATGAAGGACAATTTGCAGACATTGTTACTGGCGACGAAACATGGGTTCACTATTTCAAACCAGTAAGAAAAATTCGAAGCATAATTTGCCTTACTAAACATGGTAGAAGGCCTGTGGTTGCCAGAGGAACCATTAGCATAAAGAAGGTTCTTTATTGTATATTCTTCTCATGGTATAGCGGTACAAATTTCGAATTCCTTGCCGAAGGGCAAAAGTGTTACAGATCGGTATTACTGAGATGTAATTCTAAAAAATCTCAAGAAATGTTATCATAAACGATGGATTCAGGCATGTTTGTCAACTTCATGATAATGCTTCATCACATACATCTGAGCTTGAGAAGCAATTTTTGAAGTCGGAGAAGGTTACGTACATACCGTCTTGCCACACCCACCATACTCACAAGATCTAGCCCCATGCGACCTTTTCCTTTTTCCAAAACTTAAAAAGTTCTTATCTGGTCGTCGTTACATGTCCCGACAAGCCCTTGGCTCTGTCATCAGTCAGTGTCTCAGAAGTCTACCTAAATCAGCGTACCGTTACGCATTTCAGAAATGGATTCAGAGATTGAAATTAGGTATTTCAAACCGCGGAGAATACTTTGAAGGGATGTAATGTTCATTTCACAATTTGAGTCGAATGCTTTTGAGATATCGTACAATACACATAACATATCAAACAACCCTCGTGTATTGTGGTCAGTTTTGAAGGACTTTCTGTAAGATGTCTATTCGTATTCGACTATGTTTTGGAACATTACTTGTCTCTGGCTAATATTACAAAAATGAAAAGTGAATTAAATGCACCTTAATTTTCAAACACCAATTGATGACCTTGTATTGAAGATTGTTGAAAGATTGTATACCATTAATGCGGTAGGATTAAAAAGGTTAATGAAAGTGATGAATCTGACAATACTCTATCTGTAAAGAGCTTACATAGAAATATGTTTAAAATGCATAAGTAGAATTTTTAGCAAGACGCAAATTTAGCGATTTTTCTTTAAAATAACTGTACTTAATTTTAGCGATAGGTAATTTCAGCGATTTTGTGATGTCTTGAAAGATAACAGTAACCTCAAATATGGGAATGAATTATTAGCGATATTTAATTTCAGCGATCTCAACACCATCACTAAAAATGCCAAAATTGAATCCTCTCAAAAATTTCTACTTATACGGTATATACATTTTAAACATATTTCTATGTAAGCTCTTTACAGATAGAGTATTGTCATATTCATCAATTTCATTCACCTTTTTAATTTTTCCGCATTTGTATTTTAAGACTACTTAGAAGATCGGAAATGTCTAAAAACTCTTTTAAGGTATGGTGACTATCCGACAATACAAACTCTATTCTTTATGAAAAAAAATCCTGACTGCTTACGATTGATAATATAAAATTAGGGTCAAATAATATTTAAATATTCATTCGATGAATTAATATTCGAATATGGTATCAAAATTCGAATATTCGGTTACATTATCAAAAACATATGTCGCTCTGGAGAATTCCAAAGCAAAAGTACCAAAGCTAATCTATCATATTTACTTTTTTTAATGTAGATCCGCCGATTTGTTTCATGGGTATTATATACCTACGTGCTTAATAAACTAAATCTTTTCATTTTGAGTTAGGTTTCATAAGAATAGTCATTCTTCCAAAGTCAAATTTTTGGCGGTTTTTCAAGAGGGAAAATAATGTAAATGTTAGCATGGAAATACTTGTACAACTATAGAATAAGTATAATTCCAATGCACCTATTCTGTAAAATGCATTTGATTGGCCAATGCACAGATGTTCAAGGCAGTAAAACGAGCGTTAACGAGATTGAAAGCTTTTGATTGTGACTTCATAATAGAGCGCGTGATCGGAAGGTCGTGTGTTCGAATAACGGCTTCGACTGATCAAAGTCGATATAAAATAGGTAGCAACTCTTCCTTCGTCATGCGCTCGGTACTTTTAAGTGACGTTGCGGGTCCTTTGGATGAGACCTTAAAAACCGAGGTCCCGTGTCACGGTAGGCGTTGGTACTATAAAGAACCCTCACTGCTCAATGCTTTTGACTGTGACGTCATAATAGAGCGAAGCAAAAACACAACGGTCCGTGAGTTATTTCATATAAAAAAAAAAAACTCAACAAAATAAGACGTAAACATCAAACAAAATGCATAAATTGCTTTGGAAAGTGAATAATTATCTTCAAATATGTTATATGCGAATGTTAATGCAGATTTTACGGTCGCAATTTTTTTTTCTTCATTTATACATGTAATATGTTTCATGCATGAAAAAATAATTGTGTCTCTCCGAGAGTGGACAGATGGTTGGTCTTTCCCAAGCGTTACATTTTTGTTGCATTATTCTATGATGCAATTTAACTCGCTTAGTTGATTGATGCTTTGTAAAACACACTGTTGCCTCATTTAGTGCGTAAAATTACTCCGACGTCAATGTTATTTCCTCGAGCTTTTCAACGATGAAAAAGCATATATCCTATATGATCATTTGGTTTGATCATTCATTAATTCTGGATGCAAAATGAAAACACTCCATCTCCCATGGTTCTGCATATTTCTTGCTGCAACAAAATCACAGTCGCTTACAACAGATCAGAAATCTGAAAATTCACTGGCAGTGGTTTGTGCCAACCAGTCATCGGACCACGAAATGAACAATTTGAGACAACAATTGAATCAAGAGACTATAATAAGGTTATCACTCACGAGACAAGTGTATTCTTTGGTGGATGATATGATAACAATGAAAAAACACATGGCGAAAATGGAAGCTAGAGTACAGGAAGTGGAAAAGAAAGAGCATGTTCTTCAACTTGAGAATCAAAGATTGCAAAGGCAACTAGATAAGTATCTGAGGATGAACAATTCAATTGGTGAAAATTCCGCACAAATCAGAAAAATAAAGAATGATCTCTTCAATTTCACTTCAATCATGGACGCCGTTTCCAATGGAACGTATAAGGGTTTGTATGATCTTAACAAAACTTAACTTCTAAACGTTATTTCAATTTCAAATGTTTAAAATAAAGAATTGCAGGTCATCATATCTTCTTGCTAAAAATGAATAAATTTATGATTATTTATTTAAGAAACTCTTAGGACGACTTGGTTTGAAAATATTATTACATATATTTAAATTTTCTTATTTTTTTTTTATCTTTCCAAGTAGAAACCGATAGACCTTATAATGTATGTTCATCTTCTGCAGACAAAAGAGTCGTTGTATTCAATGCAGCCGTCAGCAACACTTTAAATCTGCAACGCAACACTCCAGTCAATGTTGTGTATGACACAGTTTTATATCAAACTGGCGACGTATATAATCCACGGAATGGTTTCTTCACGGCGCCCTCTGGTGGTCTCTATGTCTTTTCGTGGACAACTTTAGTTGCAGCTCATAAGATATTTGATGCAGAACTTTTAGTTAACGGACAAAGAAAGGGTTTAGGTAACTGTAACAATGAAGCCAATCCTGGATACGAAAACTGTGCATGTACCATTCCTGTTGTTCTAAAATTTGGAGACGAAGTCAATATACGTACAACTACTGCAAATTATATCCACGGAAATCATTGGTCAAGCTTCAAAGGTTGGAAAGTTTGGTAATACCAACGCATTTTAATTTCATCAATTATGCATTTAAACTTATTTTGCATTGGATATATAATATTTTACTGACTGAAAATTGCAAGTGAAAATGTTCTTTGATCAGAAAAATGTTAGTCATTGTCTGGCCTTAAGGTGTACAATAAATATTTTTCAAATGTTTTTTCAAATATTGTTTTCAAGATTCAGATTGTATAAAACGTTTCTCTCATAGAAGGAGACGCATTGGTATTGGCTTATTTGCCCTCTGTCTGTCCAACTGTCCTTCCTCAGAAAATCGTGTCTGTGCCATATCCCCAGATTAACTGACATGGGTTTTAACTTTAAATTTGTGTTTTGTTGCGAATGAATTAAAGGTGTGTAATTATGTTGTTTCAAGGTCATATCTTAAAAGCTTAATGAGCTATGGGAATGTGTCCAGACGTGTGTAATCTTGACTTGAAGTTGAGTAAATTTTGATGACTTATTAAAGATGTTTTTTAATCTGGACTCAACGTCATACCTAAAAAATCATGGTCTTGACCTAGAGTTCATGTAGGTATGGCATTGAATACAACTTTGAAAAGGGAGACACCCATTTTTGTGTAGAAAATGAGAAATCTATTAATATTTAATTTTTCATTGAGGCATGCATTTTTCTAATATCTGATTTTGATTACAAACTGATTTCTATTATGTGTTTTTAATTGTCAACTTGCTTTTGTCCCTGTAATCGAATTAGAGAGATGTATTCTATTTTCATTATGCCTCGAAAAGCTCATTCATTGGCGGAAAGAAATCAGAGGTAATACATGTTTGTATCTGAAATTAATACCTTTGAGGCACTAAGTCAAGCACTGAAAGTTTTCATGCACAAATATTTCACTTCATGAAAAAAATCAGTAGTATTATTCCTATAGGCATCCCACAGCTTGCACAGGTAATCTAATATTGTGATTGAATACTGATAGGTTGGTAACACATGCACCAGTACTACTTGGGCAATTAGACTGAACTCGGAGTTGGGTTGAAGGTTTGTTACAAAATACATTATTTTCCATACAACACGAATTAAATGACAAGTAACAACTTTCCAGAAAGCTTGGCTGAAAGCAAGCAATTTTATACATAAAGAGTGCACATAAAGTGTCGAACGTTTCGCTAGGATAAACAATTTGTGTGATAGTATATGGAAGGGGTTGGGGGAGGTAAAAATTCAAAACTCATTTTATAGCTTTCTAAAATAAAAAGGAAAAAGGAACTGTTCTTGTAGGATCGCTAAAAACGTACAAATGTATATTTAAAACAAGATGCTTTTCTTATCTACTTGCTCCTGGTTTAAATTCTGTAACAAGCGCACCACAATGGAATTGCTAAATTCTAAAGAAATTAACAGGAAATTCTTAAGCAACCACTATAGTTCTTCAAAAAGATATAAATCAGACTTAATTGTAAAATGACGCAGACATCACGCAGACACTTGAAGGAGAAAAAAAATTCTTCAAGAATGTATCCAATCAAACCACACCCAGAATCATCCTTAGCATATAAATATGACAACATGTCCTCTTTCTGTTTGGGAGAACCACTCAATCCTCCTGCAGAGGGTTTTTACTTCGCTTTTACGTCGATGTACATGTATTTAAGCGCATCTTTGATGACGTTACGTCATCAAATAGCCAAGGGAGGGTTTTGCTTGGCACGTCACATATGTATTGTAGCATATAAAATACTTCCTAAAATTTTATAACAGTGACATATTTTGCTCCTCATTTTAAAATTATTAGAATATAAATTCTCTGCCGATCTTGTTATTTTTATATGATCCTTAATGACGACAGATTAAATCTTTTTATTTTGTAAAAAGTTGTACAATTCGATTTTTTCCTAGTTATTAAACTAGGAACTTTCATTTTGTCCCGAATCTAATTTTATGAGGAAAGAAGCCCATTTATCACGTTAAATGATAAACCTAAGGTCAATAAAAGAAATCTGAAGTACAGATTCTTGAACACTTCCTTGATTATTAGTGGGATTTTTTTCTGTAGCTAGCCCACATCTTTCATGATAATTTAATTCATCAGAAAACCGTTAAATTTGCAACAGAAAACTCCTGTCAATACTGGGAACGCGTACAATCCACGGAATGGTTTCTTCACGGCGCCAACAGGTCGTCTCTATGTCTTTTCGTCGTCAACTTTGGTTGCAACTCGTACATGTAAGATATTTGATGCAAAACTTTTGGTGAACGGTCAGCGAAAGGGTTAAGGAAACTATTACAATTAACGCAATTCTGGCAACGAAAACTGTGCATGTTTTAGAAACTGGGAACCAAGTCAATATTCGTACAACTAAAGCAAATTATAACTATGGATATCATTGGTCAAGATTCAAAGGATGGAAAGTTTGTTAACAATACATGTAATCCTTTTAAAACATATTTTGATTTGTATAGACAATATGTTGCTGACTGCACATTCAAAAGGTTTTCTGAACCTTAGAAATGTATGTTCTTTCAAATTATTTTCAACATTTAGATTTTAGTCTCCTCCAGGGAGTGTGTTTTGTCATTGTGTCTTTTTCCGTCTGTCCAGTTGTCAGTATGTCTTTGCAAAAACACATAAATCCTAGATTGATATTGGTTTTAACTTTTTGCATATATGTTGCACTTAAATTTATTAAATTTAACGTTTGATTGTTGATTTTACCACGGTAACTAAACTATAAAGAGGTATATTCTAATTCATTGTGTCTCCCAAAGCTCATTTCTTAGGCGTAAAGAAATTGGAGGTTATATGTCACTAAACATATCTTTGAGACACTGTGACAAACATTGAAAGATTTCACTTACAAAAGTTTCACTTCGTGAATAATTATTGATATTATCCTTATAGCTGTAGCTATCACACAGCTTGCAGAGGTATTCTAAAACTGTGGTTAAATACTGATAAATTTTCGACTCTTGATGTAACACATTTACTAGTACTACTTGGTCAAAGAGACTGGACCTAGAGCTGGCTTGACGGTGGTGTTACATAATAGAATATCTTCCAAACAAAATGTATTACTCTTTGTCAACTTTACTTATTTATATAGTAATATTCCGCTTTCACCTACATACGGTGTTTACGTCTCCAAGCTTATTTGATATTTAAGACCATGCTCTGAGTACGATCAATCTTATACAGAGTCGGACTACGGACTACGGCCAGATAAGCTGATGTTACAGGAATTTCAAAAAACTTTGTTTAAAGCCAGCATTTTCTAGATTCTATATGGTCGTTAAAATGAACTTTTTATCATTGGGACGTATTTTGTCTGACGTGTTTCATACCCATTGTAAGGCCTTTGTTTTTACATTAAATTTGGCTTTGGAATGTTCCGTCTACCTGATCATTACATAGGTCTCACTGTGGGTGAGACCAGTCAACAGGGGATACTTATTCCTCCTAGGCACCTGATCCCACCTCTGGAATTCCAGGGGTCCGTATTTTATGCCCTGTTAACAAATTTGTATTGTTTGTAGATTTCAATGACAGTAACCGCCTTTCGTTATTTTCACTTTATCATTACATATAACAACTTTCCAAAAAGCTTTACTGAGTAATTCAGAATTGTTTTCAATTTTTAAATTAATCTTTACAATTACTTTAAATGAGTGTGTGCAGTATCTAAATTTGCAGTAGCCGCGCAGGACAATCTTGATGACTTGTTTAGTAGCCCGACCTCAATTTTCAGCTGTCCCAGGCCAGCGGGCTATCATTAGTGTCGAACCTTGTAAGTTATCACTTACGAGACAAGTATATTCCTTGGTTGATTATATTATAACAATGACACAACACATGGCAAATATGAAAGCCAAAGTACAAGAAAAAGAAAAGAAAGAGGATGATCATCAATTTGCAAAACAAAGATTGCAAAGGAACTAGATCTGTATTTGAGGACGAACAATACTATAAGTCAGACTTCCGCACAAATAAGATAGATTCAGAAAGATCTACTTAATTTCACTTCAACTGTGGACGCCGTTTGCAATGGAACATATATGGATTTGTATGACCTTAATTAAAGTTTCTTAATGTTCTTTCACATTCAAATGTTTAGAAAAAAGAATCATAAGTTATCTGATCTCCGTGAAAAATAACCTTTTAAATATTTAAGACCAATCCCTAGGAAACTTGATTCGTAAATAATGTTACATTTACTTAGTTTTTGTCACTGTTTTTATCCTTCCAAATGGTAACCAATATCCCTTACTCTGTGTATATTCTGCAGACAAAATAGCAGTTGTATTCAATCAGTCATCAGCAAAACCTTAGATCTCCAACGCAACACTCCAGTTAATGTTGTGCCTGACACAGTTTTATATCAAACTGGCGACGTATATAATCCACGGAATGGTTTCTCCACAGCCCCATCTGGTGGTCTTTATGTCTTTTCGTGGGCAATTTTGATTGCAGCTTGTAAAATATTTTATAGAGAACTTTTGGTTAACGGTCAGCGATATGGTTTAGGAAACAGTAAAAATGAAAACGATCCTGGCGCCGGAAACTTTGTGAATACCAATACTGTTGTTCTAAAATTTGGAGACGAAGTCAATATGCGTACAACTACTGCAAACTATGTCCATATGGATCCATGGTCAAGCTTCAAAGGATTGAAAGTTTGGTAAAACCGAATTTTTACTCTTAATTATGCCTTTGAACGTGGTCTTTGGATAATTTATTTTTTACTGATTGAGTAGTTCTTGGAAAATATCTATTTTTGTGTAGAAATCAAGAAATATATTATTCGCAGTACAGTTAAGGCAACATTTTCTATAAAAAGGCACCAAAAACGAGACACTTAAAGTTCAACCGTCTTTTTTTTTAGCATGAAACTCTGTCTGAAATATCTTAATGGCTTTATGAAGAGTTTGTCCACCGCTTTTCACATCGGTATTTTTTGTCATCATGTGACCCTCTAAAGTCACGTGAGCTCCGATTTTAGGTCAAAATATGAAATGTCAAATTTAACCAAAAAGTGCAAGGGCAAGGCAAACAATATTTGAACTGCACAAGGTTTCATTGTGTCCCTTGGTATCTATCCTATCGAAAAACTGATGCTCATTCAGTCAGATTTCTGAGATATTTAAGTTATCCATTGAAAACAAACACCAGTATTCAAAAATAGGGTATTTTTCA